TCAGCATTTTCTCTCTTTGGGATGACGAACCAATGGCATGCGCGGGCGTGCTCCGGACGCGCAGCTGCGCGACTGGTTGGCTTTCTTGTTGGGCAGAGTGAGGAGCTGCGACGCCAGGCGACGGACGAATGTGGCTGACCGTGGCAGGTATCGGGTGTTGGTGCGCAGAGCCTCACGGTTTGGCCATGGTTGGAGGTTACTGGTCGCCTGTTCTGGTTCTTGCATTCTTTCCTTGCAGTCCGAGGTGGCTTTCTTGACAAGGCTCCTATTCACTGCAATTTATTCCTTCCCAAAGGGGTTCCCAGTAGCAGTTGAGGCGCACATGTGAATTGCCTACCGGCCTGTACCGGTCAACTCTAAAGGATCTGCGAGACTTTTAGAACTTGTTTCCTTCCCTTTCCCAGGCCAATAGAACCATTCAGTTGTCGTAGGTTCACTGCAATTTATTCCTCTCAAGAAAAGATGGCAGTACGTGAGGCGGACACATGCATGCCGTACCGGTCTGTACCGGTCACCTCTGAAGAGGCCTGCATAACCTTGACAAATTGTACACAGGACTCCAATCCTCTCACTGCAATTTGTTCCTCACCCAGGGCCATATCTTATGGATAAGGCAACGTATAGTAGTATTGGACATGGCCTGTTCTAGGGTGTTAAAGTGCCCTCTACCGGCCACCCTCCAAGGGACCTCATGCCAGGCCTAGGCGCGCTGCTTCCAGCCCGCCGATTCTGCACTGCAATTTCATCCTCCTCAGGGTCGTGTCCTTGGTAAGAGGGACACATGGATACCTTGTTACAGATAATACTGTCCTGAATCGACCACATGGCACTATCTACCGGTCACCTCTAAAGATCTCATGCAAGGGTACGGCAAGCTGGAAGCGGCACGCCGGTTCTTCACTGCATTTTTTTCCTCCCCCAGGGCAATTTGTTATGAGAGGCTCAACGATATATAAATGTGTTAAATGAATAATGGCTAGGATATGTGCTTTCGTTTGTTGCCGTGACTTTTGTGGTATATGTTAGTGGCGAGGATGTAATACTGTGATTATCACGTGGAGTATCTAGAGTCGTTCGGCTAACGCCAGACATGCTTGGGTTTGAAGAGCGTTGGCGGGAGTGGACTTCGCTTTCAGATAAGTGTTTAACGATGCGATAAGATAGATTTAAATCTAAATACTGAGAGCGCGCGCCCCGTCGACATATCATGGCTCGAGTGCGCCATCTCGTATGTCCAACTGTTAAAAGCTCAAGAGGAGGATGGGTCTGAGGTACTACTATCGGCAACAGCCTTTATTATAAATAATTGTACAATGTTCCCGCTCATTTGAAAGGTTATGCTACAGCTAGGATTTTTTTCGGGTACCGTGATTAAATCCAAGTATGGCATAGTGATTCGCGATGCCTGAATTTTCGAGGGCGACATCCTCAAGCATATCCTTTTCGAATGCAGTCTTTCATCGGACAGGTATTTTGTGATACGTATTGATCATTCGAGTGCATGCTTATGTTGCAGCAGCCGGCAAGGGAACTTAGGCAGGGAAAGAATGCACACGGGTCATCAACAACCACACGAGTTCGCATTCGTAGTGTAGTGGTTATCATCCCAGCCTTCCATTTCCTGGGCTAGCTGGGGACCGGGTTTCGATTACCCGCGAATGCATTCCATTTTTTCTTTTTTTTCTTCGCAACTAGTATTTTATTATGATCGAGGCTCAGCTACGATAATGACAAACCGTTTGTTATTTGAACGGCACATGTTGCGACGTTGCGCTAGGTCGGGATGATGCGCAACTATCGTGGCTCATGAAGCAAGTACCTAGACGAGGTAGCTCTCGAGGGCCTATGTACGCAAAATGGGTGTCAATCATGACGCTTACGTACACTTGTACAGTTTCTAAAACAGTCTCGAGAGTTTTTTTGACTCGGTAATAGCCTAAGATGGCCTAAGGTTTGCAAGGAGAGATTTGTGACGGGTGCCCATTTAGTTAGACTTCTGGGCCTGGAACTTGGTCTTCTGAGTGAGAGCTCTTATCAACGACAACCTAGCGAGATTAGTTCTTTGGTCGGTTTCTTGAGTGTTAGCTCTAGTATCTAGCTGTGATTGAACATCTGGGGGTGGCGTGGTACTCATCATCGAGTGGTTTAAGTGACACGCGGCATACACTGAGTTCATGTTTCGTCAAGAGCCTGAGCAGAACAGTTAACTAAGAGCTTTGTCTACAGTAAAATGGTCACAAGAGGTGGGTTGTTCTATGCTTAGAGGGAGCTCAGATAGATCTGGACGTCCTGCCGAATCTCATGTTGGCAGGTGCGGATATCTTGAAGCAAAGCTCAGACGTATAGATGGGTTGGAAGTTGGAGTTTAAGGGGGAATGTTACTATGGTGATAGGAATAATAGAATTCGTTGAGAAGTTTCAGCTAATTTCAAAACGAAGAGTGAAAGAAATATCTGTGACAGAATTTGAAGATATCGACCCCTGGGTCAGAATCACCTTGAGAGCCTCCTCACGCCGAAGTTTCTGTCCAACAAACATTATTTGTCATTATATGATACTTGTCTAGGCACATTATAAATGTCAATCCTTCCTTGCGAATAGGTTGTCATCCAGAAACCTCCCAACCAAAGGTTCGTGGGTAAGGAAACCATCCAAGGCCATAAAGCCGCGGTCAGGACTTGGGATAGCACTTCAATCACCAATCCAGCGTAACTCCACACAATAACCAAAGGTAATACAGATAGCAGAATAACCCGTTGTCTTTCTACATGCCGAACCGTAATGGTGTGAGTTTTGTCAGTGATGCTCTACTGCCACCACCAACAAAGCAGACATGCGTAAGCTAGGCGGACAAGTTGCAGATAAGTGCAACCCGGGAGTCGGGTATGATCAAATACACGGAAAACTTATGACACCTTGCGAAGCTGCATGCTACTACATCTCAGACTGGTAGCCTCTCTCGTTCGCAACAGATAGTAGCAAGGAGCAGTGTCTGGGAGGGAACTAGCCGGACTCGCACATAAAAGCTAGAACTCAATACAGGCCATCATTGTTAAAGCAGGGCATATTACCAATCGTATTGATCTGTGGTGATATGTTACACCACTACATTAGGGGCATCAGGTACATTTTCTACATGTAATAAGCTCAGGGAAGCATTGAGGGCAAATCATCTGTCGAGTGAATCATTGATGACAACAAATGACTGTCTCCAAAAACACGAGACTTGGAGGCCTCATACCATTAGTTATGAGACTGACCGCAGCTTAGATGTTGAGAGATTGCGAATGTCATCTGTAAGGCATAAAGTGATTGCTTTTGTGAAACCTATAAAGCTTCTCCAATTGCTTCAAGACGACTGGCATAGATCTGTTGACTGCCATGCTATGCCATTTCCACTCGCCAAACTGTACGTGACATTTACGGAGACCAAACAGGTATGCACAAGTTTCTCGATACAATGCCATAAGATAGTAGACCACTGACCACCAGGAACGGCATGTTATGTCGCAAATATCATCAGCAGAACGTGTTGAGGAACGAGCCACAGCGGAAATCTGATCACTAAAGGAGTAATCGGTATCAATATCGAACATGTATGATAAGGGCAGCATGCCCACTGCTCTTCAAATAAGGAGATTAAGCCATAAAATAATACAACAGTTATCCCATACCTATGATATTAACAGAACGAGAAGTTTCAAGACAACAGGATAGAGAATTAGTCGAGGTTATCAGCGTAACTAGCAATACTGCATACGATGGCCTTATGCCTCACAATTTGTCTGGGTTGACTCGATCAAGGTGGAAATCTGAGCCCATGATTTGCAAATACCTAAATGAACAAGGGTTTCCGTGCAGGATTTGTCCAGCAGTTTTCCCAGAGACGAGACGTCTTCAATTACTAGAGAGCTGCTATTTGCTCTATTGTCTATCTGTTCCGGCCGCGGTGCATCGGCCGGAGTCAATACCTTCTTCGATCAGTGTCATGGGCAATATCAATTTGCTTCCTAATTTTGCTTGATGGCTAACTACCTCGGACCTCAAAGGTATTTTCAATCGTAAATCATAAAATTATTTCCAACATCTAGTTATAGCTGCGAAGTAATAGTGATATTTACAGGTGACCGTTTGTTGCAACCAAGGCGCCGCCGCCGTGCAGCGCAAAAATGGTTCCAAACTCTTATTCTCATTTGAGGGTGATTTGGGTATGGTTTGTCTCAAAAAACAAAAACATAACACAGTGCCCAAGGCCAGAATCGAACTGACGATCTTCTCATTTCGGACCGGAGAACCGGATACTAGTGAGACGCTTTACCACTGAGCCACTCGGGCTTTGCCTGTGTTGCAAACTTCAATGATGAGTGCGCTTATGACCCTAATCTGACCCACTGTGACCTCCCTTGTGTTCCCCACCTCTTAGTTCGCCCATCTTTTTGTTTGATTCCTAGTCCGCTGGTAAAGCCTCGTGACTTACAAACCCCGGCGACTTTGCGGGCGCTCGACGAAATGAGTTTGTTGTTAGTGCGTCGAGATTTGGAATTGTTCCGTGATTTCATCTTGTTCTCTACTTGCGAACTCGCAACCCAACTACTCCCATCGCCAAAAAGGTCCCAATTCTTAAAGATCTTCCTCACGGCATACCTCTGCCCCCGGAACCAGTCTAACCTTGGCACCACTGTCACTCTGCGAGGGAATTCGTAGGCTCGGCAGAACCCACAATGGCGCCGGGTCCCGGCAGTGAAGTGGGATGCTCCCGAACTAAGAACATGTTATGTGTATCGATCAGCAGTTAAATCAGGGGCTCTGATGAAATGACGAGCGACAGGATGAGGGTATGGTAGTACAACGGAAACAAAGAAACACTTACCGTCGAACAAAGAATTCGCATCGGCTTTGCTCAAGAAGCGGGGCCACGTGACTAGAGCAATCGGAGGCTTATCTCCCGATCTCATCGGCAGAACTTCGGCTATCTCATCCATGCGGGACTCTGCCCGTTGATGACACCTGTGAGCTACGGGCTGGAGCCAGTGCGCCAGCGCGGCCCCCTTCTAAGCAGCTTCAAGGTAGCCAGACAGGCGACGGCACCTCCCACAACTTTCCTTTCCTGGTCTACATGTGAGCAAACGTACAGTACATGCGGCATGATGCGCCGTTTCAATTTGGTTTTGCTGGCGACCGTCCAGCTGTGCGGGGCCCGTCAGCCTGGCTTCAGCGTCCACGATGACCTCGTGGCATATCCGCAGGTACGCCTGGAATTTGGAAAGGGGGCTGCTTTTTATGAATGACTACTGACAACTGCCCCGATTCACAGTACGAGGTTGTATTCTCAGATGCATTCATATCAGAACACGAAGCGCAGGCTCTCATTGACCGCACGAATTCGCATCCCACCTACTCCGCCGACTTCTCGACAACCTCCGACGTGTCCCAGAATGTCCGCGAAGCCGCTGACGTCGACAATGACTCTGCGCCCGAGGTTTTTGAGCGATACGAGGTCATGAACATGAGCCCTACGAAATACCTTTGCTCAATACCCATCGTGGAACCGCAGACGCCCGAGAACCAAACTGCCACGGAGCTGGCGAAGCAACAAGAGGCGCGGGAGCTGGCCAAGGCATCTGCGCACGGTTGGGAGCTGTTGAACGATCTTGACGGTAGCTGTCTGTACTTCATGTCCGGATGGTGGAGCTATAGCTTCTGCTATAACCGTGAGGTTGTCCAATTCCATGCGCTCCCTACGGTTCCGAATGGGCAGCCGCCTGTCCGCGACCCTCATACTGCCGAGTACGTCCTCGGAAGAGCGAATAAATCGCCGACCCAACATCAGCAGCAGCAACAAACGACAAAATCCGGAGAACCTCCTGCGAATACCGACTTGCAGAGCAAGGGTGACCAGCGGTTCCTTGTTCAGAGGCTGGATGGTGGAACCATCTGCGATCTTACAGGTCGCGAGCGGACGATCGACGTACAGTATCACTGTGTCCCAGGAATGAAAGGGGACCGAATTGGCTGGATCAAAGAAGTCACAACGTGCGCTTATCTCATGGTCATCAACACACCGCGTCTCTGCGAAGACGTTGCTTTCCTCCCTCCAAAGGCTTCGAACGCTAACCCCATCAACTGCTTACGCATCCTGTCGTCGGACGACCCAGTGTCAATGGCTGATTTTCAACGTCAAAAGACATTGGAGGCGCAATTGGCGATGGCAGCACACAGTAATGACCCGATTGCCAAGGCCGAGGAGCAGGAAGACCTGCAGAAGCAGGACCCGAATGTGAGAGACAGGGCACAGAAGGGTGTGAACGTGGGCGGCGTCATTGTCGGCGCGAGAAATGTGCTGGCTGATGCAGATGAGGAGGGAAAGCCACCTGCTAAGCTTGCACCACCACGGAGCTACCTCCCCGGACGGGGCCATGGCCCGTTAGTAGAAGTTATTGCTAGTGGCAAGAGCAAAGCTGACGGTGGCGGGACGAAAGTTCTTGGCAAAGAGGAGCTAGAGAAGAGAGACTTGAGCCCTGAGCTCGTGGAAGAGATGCGGGCTGAGCTGGAGCGGATTGCTGGCGACAAGGGTTGGAAGCTTGAGGTTATCGAACAGCCGGGCGATCCCAGAGAGCTCCGTGGCATCGTCGATCAGTCGGCCGGGGAGAAGGGTGAAGGCGCCAGCGAGGATGGAAAGGGGGCCAAGGAAGATGATCATCAGGAGGGCAGTGAGGAACAGTTCTTCAAGGAAGAGATCTGAGAAGTGCACCTTTCAAAGCTGTATAGCATAGGCGTTTGGGATGTTGTCTTGTATTGATACACCACTACAGCATCAGGGAAGAAATCAGGACTTTTGCTTGTACATGAATGGCCAGGTCTCGTCTTCATTGTGATATACTAAGTAAACCGACAACGATGGCAATGTCTTGCTAGCAACTTTGTCTTTGGGGGAGGTTTAAGGTGTGATGTCCTCTTCTTACCCCCTTGAAAAGCCTCTTGATTCGGCAGGCAGGGAAGGTGAGTGGCAACTGACTCACTCCTTCCCTTGGTCTTCCCTGCTCCTTCTTTCCTCCGCCTGTTCTTGCCGTGGTAATGCTAAGCATGGGAGTCCATTCCTTCTTCAACTTTCTGTTGCCCATCACAAAGGTGATGGATGATCTTCCCATCTAAAACACACGTGCTGCTTCGCCACCCGTCTTCGAGATTGGGTTTTGGATTAGACTTGACATTTGGTTTCCCAAGACGAACTTCACTCGGTCAAGCGCTTAACCCCCCTTTCCCCCCTGCTTCTCCTCTCCCACACACCGGAACAACCTCCGAGTTGCAATCTGCAAGTCATAAAAAAAAAAAAAAACGATCGACAGAGCAAGCTAACAATAGTAAGCCTTGCAGACATTTCAGATGCCCCTGCTCGGAGGGCAAATGATATTCCTACGATGCCATCGCTTTGCTATCTTGAGAATAGCGCTCACGACCGCGAAGTAGTATTCTCATCCAGCGCAATTTCCGCTGCATGAAAACATTTTCGTGGACATCAAAAGCCTCAGTCGATCCATACCTTCGATGCATAGCGTTCGGAATTGTCCGGACGATCAGCTCACACGACATCAACACCCCCGTCTAGTAGGAAGCGACGTTAATCTCCAGGTCTCGACCAACAGACCTGACTTGCCGTAGCTTCCCCAGGATCCGAGGCAATGGTCACCGCCGTATCGTGCTTCCAGAGACGCGCCAGGCCATTGCAAGCGGGTCCCTACTATGTTAACTAAAGTTTTTGGCTGATCTTTTCACGAACTGCGGGCTGGCCCTGCCATTCAGCATCTGTCGCCCCCCCCTTGATACAGAACAGTTTAAACTTTGAAGCAGGGGCAGCGTGTTGAGGAATTCTTTTTTTCTCGCAGCAGAGCGGGCTGGCTAGTCAGTTATCAATTAACGGATAACACGGAACTGATGCCCCTTTTTTTCTCTTTCCCTTTTTTGGTTTATTTTATTTTATATTTTATTTCGTTTTTGGTTTGCCCCCTTCGTTGCTGTCGAACACATGACCGACGCTTATCAAACATGGGACTACATACGAGCGCCCCCCTACAACACCTATCGGTATTCTTCATGGCGGGCTAGTTTCAACATCAAGTCAAGCCATGATCAACCGTTTACTACTTTAGCCTTGACTGTAATGTCTCAAAAAATGGGGACCAACGGCCGATGATTAGTTGTGCCGCATCCCCCGGTATGAGCATAGCCATCTAACGCTAACGAATACTGGTCATGTGCTTGGCGCCTTGAGTTGCATACTCCTAGTTCTCGCATCAAAAGACGATTAGAGTACGGATTATGCTGGGGTTGTCAGTGTTGCGAGAGTTCCAAGAGTCATCCAGCCCCATAATCGGGATCGGGATGCTGTACCGATGTTTGCGACTCGACAAACCCTGTCCCGCTATGAACAGAACTATACAGTCATACCTGTAGTTTAACCTAGCTGCAGCAGATGACAGAGAGTTAACAGCGACTCACGCCACCCAGAGTGAGGTAGAAACGTGGCATTCTCAGCAAAGTTTGAAGCTTCGATCGAAGGAACGTGACATCCTAAAGAGGCTCGGTTCAGGCATCCTCCTCTTTACTGGGCAAACGCATAAACTCGCGCGCCTGCAGCACGGTGGGGATGGTGCCTGCGGTTGGGTCCGTTCGGCGGTACTCAGTGTGGATGCCCTGAGATGGATTGATGGCTCTTGGCATCAGCGGGCGGGTGCCGGGGCACCTGAGCGAATTGCCCACACAGCATTCAGGGCCAGGGGTATGGCGCCGCTCCCAGAGGGGCCGTAATAGCGCCGCACATCACTCAGATCGCAAACGAAAATAGCAGTGCAACTTGGGCACAGTCGTCTTCCCTACGACGCGAAAAAAAACACCTAAATGCTCCTCCTATGGCACTCGGCAGGTCATCCAAAGTTGATTGGTCTCAATCTATTTCCCCCGCATGGAACACAATCTCCAACTCCAACTCGGTGACGGCAAGTTGCGCTCATCAGCTGACTCGCCCGGCCCTCTTAATAAGTCTCTTCCGCCCTCGATCATCTCTTCCCCGCATTTCACAGAGACCGTAACGGGCAGAACGAAGGGCAGACTGAACCTGGCAGCGCCTCCAACCCTTCGGCACCTCACGCTACCCTACCTTAGCTTCCCCTTGCTAGTGAGGGGCTGAGGAGACAGACAGCAAAAGTGAACCTGGGCCGGGGGGAGGCTGGGCCTCTGGGTACACTACTAGAGTCGAGGGCGTGCTGTGTGCTCTGTTACGCTCTGTTCGGTTTTGCTCTGTTCTACATAACTGATACTTGACTGCCCAAATACTCGACCCCACCGCGAAATTCTTCGCTCAAATCCTTCACCTCCGGCACCCCTGTGACGGTTGACCTGTCTTTGCTACACTTACTTCTTCGACCACTCTCCTTCTCATTGCGTCATGTGCAAGTGATGGAGGACACAGATACCGCGAACAATGCTGCGAGCAGAGCGGGCTCTGCAGAGGTGAAGGCCGAATCACCAGGCATGAGCACCAGACCACAGCAGCAACAGCAACAGTCAGCGGCGACAAAGAGGACAGTGTGCGATCACTGTCGAAGGAGAAGTATGATGTTCCACTTCATCTCCATGTTTACTGTCATCGTCGACTTCTGATTTGCTTTTTTTCTTGGCTGTCGCGCTCATGAACTTTCGCGCAATCCTCCCTCTCCCTAGCAGTCTGCCACCAGGCCAGTCTATATGCCGCCTTCATGGTATCAACCCGCCTTAGCCACTGGTGTTGTTGCACGTCACTGTTACCACCACACCTTGTCTTCACTACCATCACCATCTACAAAACACTTGTCTTTCTCCCGCCGCACTCCTATCTCCACTGTCGCACGGCGGGCCATGTGCTAACAGCCTCTTAGGAATCCGCTGCGATGGCAAGTTTCCCTGCGAGCAGTGCGTGCACGCCTCTCTCACTTGCAAGCGTGATCATGTCCCCAAGAAGAGGGGCCCAAAGCGTGGGCATGGGAGGGTGATCAATGAGTTGCGAGCGAGGGAGTCGTCGCAGAAGCACCAGCAACAACAGCAACAGCAACCAGTCCAGAAACCTTTCAACGCAGAAAATGCGCTCGAGAGCCCTACAGAGTATGTGCGGCGTCGCTTATCAGCAGCCTGCCCGCCGCTGAACTTGGATAGCGTCGACATTGGAATGAGCGGAAGCGACCTCGGTGAGGCTGCGTCGCAGCACTCATCCAACGCGTCAGCGGCATCGACCCCCCCGAGCTTTTGGGCGGCCGTCACTTCGAACCCAGCCCACAGCAGTGTACCGGAACCCAGGGGCATCTTCTCGAGCGACGAAATGCGGCCAAGGACACGAAACTATTTTCACATGATCCCCCAGTTGGTCGAGTTGTACTACGAGCACATATATCCTATTATGCCGCTTATCTTCATGCCGGCAATCCGCGAGACAATAAGTCGGCCAGCCATGACACCGAGCGAGAAGAACCTCATCTATGCCATGTGCGCCCTCACCTCGATGCACATGTCCGGTAAGAGCATAGGTGCTCCGGGGCCAACATCGTGGGAAGTTGTAGGGAGGTTTTTCCTGGATGAGACCATCTCAACGAGGCAGTCTTACGACTTCCTCGAGGACTTGTCATTGTCCGCCGTGATCTCATCCTTTTATTTGAGCACATCCTTCTTTGAGATTAACCAGTCGCGCAAATCGTGGTACTACTTGCGTGAGGCGTTGACCAACGCGCAGGACCTAGGACTGCAGGACGACTCGACCTACTATGGCTTGAGTCGCGAGGAGACGCTGTGTCGGCAGAGAGTCTTTTGGATTCTCTTCGTGACAGAAAGGTGAGTTTTGCAGCCAACCGCATTGTGGCGTTTAGCCACTAGGCGCATCGCTATTGTTGCCACATTACTTACGTACCGCCTTTGTGCGACCGGCGTAGATCTTTTGCGATTTTGCGCAACAAGCCGATCACCTTCAAGAGAACGCCTTCTCTCCCAACAACACGGCATCCCTATGAGGGACCGGACATTCATGCGGGATTCCTGCAGCTCGTTTCATCCTACACACCTCTCGACGAATCGTTCGTGACGGCGTGGAACGAGGGGTCCGACCCCCGCGTCAGCGCGACGACATTTTTGGCATTGCAAAACCTTCTCTCCCTCCCACCTGCTTTCCTCCGACCGCGGAATACCCGCGGATCACCGCCGTCCCAACAACAGCAATTTGTAGGCTCGTTTGGCGCGGCTTCGGCCGGTCGAGATGTGGGGGGACCGGAACCCACGGATATTCAAAAAGCAGACCTATTGATTACGCAACAATGGCTACGCCTCATTGTATGGCAGTCCTCTATGCGGCAGGGTCTGTTGAGCTGGACAAACCCGGCTGATTCCGGAGGGGGTGTCTCGTCAGGAAGCGGCGTCGGCGGTGGAAACAGCATGTGCTTTTCTTTCCCCCTTACAGTTGCTCGTGATACTGCGTCGATCCTAGCAAGTCTACCGAGCAAGGCCGTCGAAGTGCACGGGATGGGCATCATGGAGAAGATTTTCGAAATCGGAACGTGGTGTGTAAACGTGTTGGGAGCGTGCGAGAGCGTAGGGTTCTCTACGACGATGGATTTCACGTCGGGTGAAATGGGCGTGCTGGGAAGTGGAAGAAAAGGTGCAAGCTTAGACCCGATTGAGTTCTTCATAAAAACCCTCAGCGCAAGCGATAACTCGCGGACGCAGTTCGCCGAGAAACTCCTCACGGCTGCTGGGGAGAACCCTGGTAGTATGAGGACACAACTCAGTCCGGCCATGTCATCCATGGGGTCCATGGTAGCCGCGATGGTGGGCGCTGGCCAGGAGCAAGGGCAGATGGACTCTACCGGATGGGGTCAGCAATCAGGGAGCGTCGTTGGGGAGGTATTTGACGACGGCGAGGAGAATAACAATGGCAATCGGCCGGTACTGGATCTCAGAAGCGCCCCGGTGCACCACCAACCCGGAATGCAAGGCATGGGGTTGGGTATCGAACTGGGCGCCGGAGAGATGGGCGGAGGAATAGCGGGGGTCGATATGGACGGCAGTAACGTCGACCTCATGAGCCCCTTGGGGCTTACGAGAAGCAACACTGGCATGTCGGCAGCAATGAGCATGTCGGGCTTCGAGACGGCCTGGAGTCCAGGCAGCGGTGGTACGGGACCAAGAGACGGAGGATACATGGATCAAGGTCCACAAGGGCCATACTCGGCTCATCGAGAAGGAGGCTACACGGACTTGGGACCTAATATGATGATGCACGACCGGATGGCAACTGGTGGTGGTCCCGTAGGAGGCGTCGTTGGAGATCCAGGGGCCCCAGATGGTCCTGTGATGGATGATCAGCAACAACAGCACCAGCCCGGACAAGGCAACAGTAACCCATACGATAATAGGAGAGGAGGAGACAAGGGCGGTGGATATCGGAACGGCGGCATGGTCGGCGTTTGGTAATGAAACTGCGCAACGGGGGTTATCTTTCTTCTTTTTAAACCCCCTCCATCAAATGTTCTCCGACGACAGGCCGATTCGGCTCTGCGTATCATATCATCATCATCATCATCATTATCATCATCATATCTTGACATTTGGGAGCAAAAGGGAGTCAAGTGGGGAGGTTAAGCGACAAGGGAGTACTCGAGAATCAAAAAAAGGGAGTGAAATGGGGGAAATTTCTTTTGGAGGAGGGGTGGAACTGGTTGGTTCTTCAAAAAAGCTCCCACTCCCCCCTTATACCAATTTTTTTTTTTTTTTTTTAAATCTCTATCGAAGCAGCACTGTCTGTGACGACTTGGGACTTGGGGTCTATTAGCGATCGTGGATAAAATAACGACGTGGTGTGTGTGTGTGTGTGTATTTGTATATATATATATGTGTAGCCATCGAAATACGAATGAAGAGAGAAAGAGACACGGATTCAAAGGATCGAGACTGTATATGTCGGCCGTCGTGATCTACGACAAATGAGTTGTTCAAAACGTATCGCCTTGTTTTGCCTCAAAAAAAAATGTAATTCACGTCACTGAAAAAAGAGGGGGAAAAAAAGAAGAAAGGTAGTTGGACTTGTGGTATCGTGTCTTCAAGGCCGTCCGGTCTGTACCGGCCTTAATTTTCCCAGACTTTTTTATTCTTAATTCTTAAGTCAATACCAACCATACCGCGTCTATACCGAACGCCAGCTGCCTATCTATATTCCACCCGTGTTCCCATCCCGTCGTACGATTGTATGAGGGGTATCAAGATGTAGCAAAACAACTGAAAGATGGGAGCAAAAGTACAAAAAGAAAGAGAGAGAAAAAAAAAACAGTAAAACGACGAAGTGCCTTAGTTTCTGCCACCACGTCTTCCTCCGCCACCACCACCACGGCCTCCGCGGCCACCGGCTCCCGCGCTGCGTCCCTCTCCACCGCCGCCGCCGCCGCCGCCACGTCCGTGACGGGCCTTGGGCGCATCAGGCACAATTACCAAGCCCCTGGTGCCACGCAGACCCATCTTGCCAACGGTGCTCTTCTGAATGGGCGGCGTTTCGGGGCATCTGAGGGCGTCGCGGGCGAAGATGTTGCCCTCGGCGACAAGCTGCTCCTTCTCCCACTTCAGAGGCTTCATCCAGTTCTTGTAATAGCCCAGCCAGGCCTGGTAAATCTTTGCCTTTTGAGCCTCGTCGATGCGCTGCTCGGCAATGTTGTACACTTGTTCCGCGGAAGAAAGATCGGCGGGACGTTGCTCGAAGCTGATCTCCTTGAGAGTCCAGCGGGGGAAGAAGTCCTCGATATCCGTGACGATGAAGATTCCACGTCCCTCAGCGCCCGCGCGAGCTGTACGACCGAGACGGTGGATGTATGACTCCTTGTCGGCGGGGATGCCGACCTGGAAAACGGTTGTGACGCCGGGGAAATCCATGCCACGAGCAATGACGTCTGTGGCAACAAGAATGCCAGTCTTGGCGTCGCGGTAGTCATTGGTGATCTTCGTACGCTTGCTCTGAGAGATGCGGGAGTGAAGGACGGACGCTTGAGGCAAGCCGGGGACGTTGGCGAGCACGTCGCCGTAGAAGTCGGCCAGGGCGGCCGTGGGGGCGAAAACGATCGCCTTGAAGGTCTCGGGTCCTACAAAGGCTGCTTCCTCGCGGATGGCACCGACCATGGCAGGCGCTACGGCGGCGAAGGTAGGAACCTTGATGAGATGCTGGGGCACACGCTCGTGAGTGTTGGCTTCGCCTGCCGGGATGGTCGAGATGAACTTGTAGCCGGGGGAAAGCACGATATGGGCGACCTGCTCGACGTGCGAGGCAATGGTGGCGGAGAAGAGCATGCCTTGGCGGTTCGTCTTGGACTTGTCGGGAAGAGCTCGGACAATATCCTTCAGCGCGGGCATGAAGCCCATGTCCAGCAGGCGGTCCGCCTCATCGAGGACGAGGGTGTCGAGGCTGTGGAAGGATTCTTTGATATACTCGTTGGCCAAATGGTCGATAAGACGGCCGGGGGTGGCAATAAGGATATCACAGCCCGAGAGGATCTGCTTCTCCTCGCGGTCCTTGTTGGTTCCTCCAATAGCGATGCAGACGCGATACTGCGGGAGGCGCTGGAGGAGACCTTCAGCTTCTTTGGCGATCTGCATGGCCAGCTCCCGGGTGGGCGAGATGACCAGCAGAGAGATGCCGCCGTTGCGACCACGGTTTTGGGTGAGGAGGGTCTGAATAGCGGGGAGCAGGAAGGCAATGGTCTTGCCAGTACCTGTCTTGGCTTGGACGAGGCAGTCGCTGCGCTTGGGGGGGAGCAGCTCTTCGAGCGTAGCGGCCTGGACAGGCATCATATGATCGAACTTGAGGTCCTCGGTGATGGCCTGGATAATAGACGGGTGGACGCCGACCATATCGGCGAACCTCGGGGTGTCCTGGGGGACAGGCTCGGTGAGGGGAGGCGTAGTGGTTTGGGGAGCAGCTGGAGCGCGAGGTTGTTGCTGCTGGTGCTGCTGCTGGTGCTGCTGGCCTCCCGACCGAGGGGAGTCATTGTTGGAGGCATCGCGGCGGTTGTCACGTCTGGGGTGACGACGCTGGTTTGAGCCTCTGCCTCTGCGATCCATCTTGATGAATGTTTATGTGGTTTGAATTTACGGCGAGAATCCAGACCGTGGTTGATGTGAAGGGGAAATTTTCCCAGTGACGACAGGGAACTTGACGAAACCGTCTAGGCCTGGTTTAGCGTGTAGTGATAAGGTGCTGCGGGATGGCCCGATAAGGGAATTTTAGGGGTATGGCTCTTCACCGCCCGATCCACTTTTATCCACTTCACCTACCCACTTCACTGTCCCGCCTTCCCTTTCGGCGTTAACTAGTTGGGCAGCTTCTCACCCTTTATTGATGTAAGGTCCTTCCTTCTACATGACCAAGCCAGCCTTATAAGAACTTCGACTTTCCATTTTTGGCGAGTGTGTCAGCATTTCCATAGTCTTTGCTTCGCCATGGGACAAGACTTTGCTTAATGCTCTTTACGGTGCTGGCCAGCGTTGATTCCTCCTATTTTAGGACTGACTGACGTGTGCCAAGTCTGATAGAAATCGCTTACAGTGAATCGTGCTGAATGTTTCCAGGTGAAGGCCTAAAGCAAACCCCAAATACGAGGATGGTTTCCTAGTGAAAAACATCCATAGTGCAAGCGCTTCGGGCCGAGATGACTATCGTCAATAGACTTCTGAGCCTCAAATACATGTCACTTACAAGGCTGTACGGGTCTTGCAAAAGTCTAATGGAAAAACTTAGGCGGCGCCTCCCTTCCAGTGGCGGTGGCTGCCTCCATAACCGTTGCAACAATATCAAGGATTACTTCTTAGTACCGGTATGCAGGGGCCCTCGTTTGCGAACGCTCTTCAGAGAAGGCTCATCTCGCCACCCAATCATAAGCCACATTGCACACGTTACCATCTTATACAACAGGGCACACTTTAAGTCTTTTGGGCTGTAGCATGTGCTCTTAAAGTCCGGTCCACCAACGACAATAACGACCAAGTCACATGCAGCCATTCAAGATTGTTCCGAACGTGACACCGTCATACACCAAGTATATAACCCGAACTTGACCACAAAAGGATGAGACGCGTTCCGCATGCTGTGCCACCTTGGGGGTGGTTTATTCCGATAATGGCAGTCCGTATGGCGCGCGTCAGCCTGGGCACCCCAAACCCCTGTCTTTCGTCCCCATTTTCGTGATCCTAAGCACAAAGGCTCCTTGGAGTTGGGAGCCTTACGCGCATTAAGGATGCTATTGTTCTGGGACATAAATTAGAGGGATCCCAGACCTTTTCATGCATTTTTTCCTTGTTTTCAACATTTTTGCATTTGCGCGATAGCTGTTTCCATTAAAGCTCTTATCTGCCAGTTTTCCACAGTGGCATCGTTTCCCTTCAACCATTCCTAGACTCGATCAAAACAATTCGGTATCAAAGTTCCCTGGCTTGGAAGCTTTTCGTATGTACATGGATTCCATTCCAACTTCCAACGATATTCTAATCATGAAAGTGGCTCGTCAAGGCTTTGTTGAGAGGCCGTCCCCCGAAGCATCTTTTAGTGCCAGGAGTACCTCAATGGCAGAACCCAACTCATTCGAGAAGAGGCAATCTCTGTATCGTCCCAAAGAGGGATTCCATGCTCCCAACAAGTCGTTCATATCAGTCATTCTCAATGTCGTATTATTCACGGTTAAGCAGCTGGTTTTGTTTTGCTATGCGGGGACAGCTGTGAGCACGGTCTTCACCTTCTTCATACTCAGCCTTCCCTTTGGGCGTCAGTTTGAGGGCATGGTGCGTTTATCCTTTCATATTATCAGGATGGAGCTGGGCCAGTCGTATGTATCATTACCAGCTGGAGGAGGTACCATCAGAAAAAAGCAGACATAAAGGCGAAGACCTTCAAACTTGAGAAGACGGAATAATACACAACATCCATAAAGCTAAACAAACATAATATCTAATTAACAGATTATTCATTCGACGTAAACTGGTTTTAAGTCTTATGAAAGGACGGTAACTTCTTGATTTCTTTGGCTTGTTTTCCGTGGCATGATAGATGAGGTTGCAGGTGACTATAACTGGGCCACGTGCTTGAGTTGTTCAGAATTTATGGTACTGCTTCTCACGCCCGCCCCGTTGGTTGCGTCTCTTTCGCAGGCCGGAATTGAAAGCGAAACCTCTGAACATGTGGAAGGGAAGTTGCGAGGTAGAATATGCATCGTATTAACATCACAGAAAATAGATGGCTGCTTTCGTACACATGGGCTATGCGGCAGAGCGGCAGAGCGGCAGACTAGCATAATGGGCGTAGCTGAACATTTCTTGGCCAGCAGTTTGTGGGGCTGTATTGCTTGACCTTTGAAGCATGCCGCACCGTTTGAGACATCTCATCGTCCGGTGGACTGATAAGGTGACGGAAACACTCCCATCCTGAGACAGGTTTTATATATCTCCCGATCCCCGGGAACAGTCATTCTATCATGAGCAGTTAGTATGTTACCATGGGCTGGTCCTAATACAACAAGTGGTACAAGGCACACACATAAGGACATTTGCAAAGGCTCAGCAGCAAACTTTGCAACCACAAAGGGCGTACAATTCGCAAAACACACAACCTATACGCTATCGACAACAACAAACATTCCTCAGAATGACAAAAGCGGCGAACAAGTGGGATTACCCCGCAAGCTATATTACAGGTTTCAAATACTACAATGCTCAAGCAGCGTACACATCGAGATTCACATTTCTACCCCGCGAAAAAAACCCATGAGGAGAACTTGAGCACTCATTCAAGGGACTAGTTTAGTAGGTCAACCATAATATTTATTAATTAGTGTATTCAGATCATATCCAAGGGTTTTTGGCTTTATTCGATGCTTTAAAATGTATATTCATGCAGCCTGGGACGACATGAAGATGCCAATTTTACAGTACGCAAAATCTCTTCCAAGCATGCGCTCTGAGAGAAGTTTTTATGCTTCAAACAAGCCACTAAAATAAAAGTCTCAGCAAGATATGAAATACGGCCTACACGCAATAATAATGGCCCTAGGTGACTTGATTCACAGCCACTGCTGTTCGCATTCATTCCTGAAGCACCCTATTGTCACGCCAACGTCGCTTCGCTTGCGCTAAACATTCATTTGTCCTGGTCATCGCTTGAACGTTCACTCAGCCAGCCTCTCGACGTACTTTCAGCTCACTACGAGCGGTAACATAAAGTAAGCGGGTCTTGAGACATGGCTGAAGTCTTCTCGCTGGACTCACAACTGCTTCACGATCTTTGACAGGGCGATAAGACCGAAGACAGAAATAATGGCAATTGTGGCATTTCCCACCATAGACAGCATACCGAATGACCACAGACCAAGATGTTCATAGAAACTGCAAGCATCATTAAACGTAAGCTTGGGTCAACGACGAACCAATTACAGGAAGTTGCCAATATTGTTTCCACAAGGCCTCATCTGAATTATCGGCAAAATAATTCGAGACCAACATCAGATCGTGATCCTCAATTCAAGTACATAAAGAGCAATGGTTCCTCCAATGCTCGGGTCTGTCTCTACATCATAACCTGCCTATCCCAAAAAAAAAATATCATTGACAGAATCCAACATCTTTTTTTTTTCCTTGAAATCTTCTCACGGTTTCATCATCAATCACCATGCCCAAGACACATATCAGAAAGGACATCGAGGAGCTGTCTCCAGAGGAGCGCGACCTCGTCGTCCGGGCCTTCCATCATATTAAAAACCTCGAGCCTGAGGACCCTAACTCTTTTTTCACTATTGCTGGCTACCATGGTTTGCCGGAGCCTATTTTCTGCCGGCATGCCAGTGTTCTCTTTCCCACGTGGCACAGGGCGTACCTTCTACGTCTTGAGAATGCTCTCCGCACTGCCCCCGGGTGCGCCAACTTGGCTTTGCCTTATTGGAACGAGACTTCTCAGAGAACTCTGGAACAAGGGCTTCCCAAGATCTTCACCGATGAGAGCTATGACTTTGTGGACGGGACCTCAATTCCCAACCCGTTGTTCTCGTACAAGATGCAACAAGCAGTCGATGGCGGCTCTAAAGGCAAAGACAATGCGAAGCCCGTAGGATACAACACCGTTCGGTACCCGTATTCTGGCCTTGTGAGTGCCGATTTTGCGGAGAAAACAAAGATTCACAACGAGACCGTCGACAGCCTTGGTCCAGGCAAGCCTACTGCTTTATTGAACGAGAATGTCACACGGTGGCTCACTTTCCAGAGATTCGAAAACCACAAGGGCGAAATCATCTACGCTGGCGAGGCCGACAATTTTAAGCAGTGTCTGGATGCTCCGAATTACACAGTCTTCTCCAACGTGAAGTCTGCTGAGATTTACAACAATTTAAACAAAGGCAGCCCTCATACACCCACTGTCGTCTCCCTCGAACACCCGCATAACTCGATGCACTTGGCTATCGGTGGATTTGAAGTTCCGTCGAAGGAGGACACCAAGAACGTTTTCCCATTTGCTAATGGGGACATGGGCGAGAACGACACGGCTGCCTTTGACCCGGTTTTCTACTTCCACCATTGCTTCATTGACTATATGTTCTGGAAGTGGCAAGACATCCACAACAAGACAACAGAATTGGACATCATACCTAAATACATCAGCTTTGAGAAATTCAATCTCGATACTGCTCTCGAGCCATTTAAGATTACCGATCCTACGAATGGGAAAGAGCGTTTCATTACCTCCAAGGTATAGTCTCTGTTGCTGTTTTTCGATTGTAAAATTGCTAACTGGTCCAGGATGTCGTCGACACGACTAAACTTGGGTATGAATACCCGAGACCCCGAGGACATGGCCTGGTGCGAACGCCGGCGCCTGTCGACGCACCGAAAGTTGCCGTCACGGGAATCAACCGGTCAAAGATCCGTGGCTCTTTCATCGTCTCTACATGGGCCAAGGGTCAAAATGGAGAGCCTGATCGCCTTATTGATACCAAGGCAGTTCTCAGTCGCTGGGCAGTTGGAGACTGCGACAACTGCCAGAACTATCTAAACATTCAGTCGCATACGCAATTGAACGATTACACCCACGAAGATGCACAGGACGCCGAATTCTATGCTCTCATTCATACGAGAGAAAAGCCCGAGGGATTCGATACGGTCGCTGGAATGCCCGTCGAGGTTGAACTGAATGCTGTGAGGAACTGAGCGACCAACATGTGGGAGCTTGCTATGTTTGAGGACTGTTCGCGCTTTCAGTTGTTGGGCGCGCAACCTTTACCACAGCTCAGTCGGCGTCTCTGACTTACCAATAAGTTGACTAAAACCAAAAATACTTTAGTTATAATAGTAGTTGACCAAATACTGTCTTCTTTCTATATAATGCACGTGGTGGTGTTGGTGAGTCAATTTTCTAGTTGGTCAAGAGCAACGCTAGCCCACCAAGTATCTGTATTGTTTTCTAGGTTATCCCAGAAGACAAGGGCCGGTAAGCATATTCTAGGACCGACAATAGGCTTGTCAACTTCGCAACTATACAGTGGGGTGACGTGATGCCTCCTCAACTTTCGCTCCTACATCAACACATGCAACTTCTAACACCAACGACCACATCATCAGAAAGTCACCGCAAAACTCAACTGCTACCCCCTCAGAACACGACGGAGCCACCTCATCCTAGTATGACCGCTCATGGATGACCCTCTCCACTTTTCAGACCTGCCCAATTCCCTGCTCGACATTCCGGACGACCAGTTTGACGACCTAGGCGAGGGTCTAGATGAGGACCTATGCCATTTCTATAGGAAATGGGGATTCAACATTTACCGCACAGCATACGGCGGCCCTCACTCCGACAGAGAATGGGAGGCCCTTGTGAAAAAAACTTGTACTGACATACGCCTCCAGATGGAAGGTCGATTCGGGTATGAGAATATCGAAGAAGTTGAGTCTAGAAAGAAGCTATTGTCGCTATTCCTCCTCAGTCTGCACTCGACCCCGAACTCTAAGGCTCAGATCTAAATCGTCTACGCCAGGTCCACACGGACAATATCCGCACGAGAAAGGCATTTTGAATGTAAACCCATCACTTAGAGATACAATTCTCGTTACCGACTATGAGATCATAGCCGATGCCGCTGCTGAGGACTTTTAGATCAAATATTTTGAGGCCCGCTATGCTTTACTGCAGCACCCTAATGCCCGTTTGTCTGAGAGTTACTTCGGCTGGATGAAGCCGCTTTGTTGAGTTGTGACTGCACTTGAAAGATGGAGACTTGAGAAGTGTTGCGCCTCCGACTATCGGTAGAATGCATTTGGTTATATGGGATGGAGACGGCTGCTTTTGAGGCCTATGTAGTACAGACCTGTACAGTAAGTTTCGCATTTGCGTCTTTTGCTTTCCGCCCAGTGGGATACAGCAGTAAGTACGAAGGTGAGAAATGTAAGTATGTTAATTGCGAATAACATGGTCTTTTCGTGGCCTTCCTTTTCTCTTCCCGTCCTCCTAGTTGAACCCCGACGTGTTGATGCTCAGGGAATCCAGATCGGCCTCCATCTCGTGCAGTATTTAGAGCACCTGTCTCGCCATATCTCTTTTCGCTACACTCCAGTACTTAAGCATCTCCTTGATCCTGTATTCCACGAACTCCATTGCCCAGGCCAAGAGGTGCAGGAAAAAGTCGTCCCTCCACCCTTTCCAATGTGCTACAAAATCCGTCAGAGCATTCGGATTGATGGCATTATGAGAGTTCTCGCCGTGCTGCCACTGTTTGCCAAGATTGTTGATAATGGTGCTCAATTTGAAGCTGACGTTGGGCGTGGACCCCTTGTAATGCTCGGCATCCTTTGATCGGACTTTACTCCGCAACTCCGCACATGGCGTTTCTAGCGTCATTCAACATTCAAGGGATAAAAGGCGTCCTCAGTGAAAACATCATCTGCAACACATCCTTCTCCTATCAACTGAATTCCATTTATTATTTACCTTATCTTCGAGTTGGTGCTGTGTCATCGCCATTATGAAAGTTCTCATTGTAGGAGCCAGTGGGATGATTGGCGGCGAGGCCCTTGTTCAATGCCTTGCCCACCCGGAAATCTCCCAAGTCGTCGCCTTTGTTCGTCGAGATCTGCCAGCTGACGTCGTCAACAACCCGAAGCTCAAATGCGTTGTGATCAAAGACTTCTCGAAGTGGCCCGAGGACATCTTGCGGGAGCATGCAGACGCGGTTGGCATGATATGGTGAGTTTACACCCATTAGAAACCCAATGTGGGGCATTCACTAATTCATCAACAGGGCAATGGGTTCTTATAATGGCAACGTTGCCGCTGACCTCGACTACCCGATGGCATTTATTGAAAGTATGGCACCGGTGTTGAAGACATTGCCAGATCGATCCCGTTTTCGTTGCGTCCATCTGAGCGGGAAATTCGTTCGACAAGATCAAGAAACCAAGCTGTGGTTCTTGGAAACGCCGCGCAAACTCAAGGTAATACTGACATATACTGTACATATTTGCAACGCTAATACCCTACAGGGCGTGCTAGAAACCAAAGCGCTTGCATTTGCTGAGAGTCACTCTGCCATTTGGCAGACATTCATCGTAAAGCCTGGAGGAGTTGTGCCCAGAAACCCTCTATCTAGTGGCTTTGTAGGGATCGCTTCTGCCATGGGTGGTGCAGTCATGGGCGAGAATTGGTCTGTGAGAAATGAAGAGTTGGGTATCTTCATGGCTTATCTTGCGATCAATGGTGCTGATGAGGAACCCATTTCGGAGAATGCCCGTATCGTGAGGAGAGGAAGAGAGCTGCTAGCATCTCAGAGGCATTAAACTTGCACAACTTACGTTGCGCTGATATGGATAATCTGTAACAAGGTACTAACAACGGCACAATTTGCGCTGAAATCCGTGGGATAAGGAGCACTCGGTTATTACAATAATACTTTCCCTTGATATGTTGACAATATGGGGGTTCCCTTTTTCTTTTTCTTTTTCTTTTCTTTCTTTCCATTCAGACTCCCGATATCACGCCGCGAATTCTCGGAAATCACATGCTGAAAGTGAAATACAAGGTAGCTAAATCCTGACAATATTGCATTTCTTTTAATATCATCATCGAATCAAAATGAGTTTGTCTAACTACGGGAGATAGAAGACGACAGGTAACTAATCACTGCCATACTCCGTCCAGATACCCCGTTTTTCTGCCTTACACTGTATGAGTATCAAGTATTTGTAACCACCGAGCAGTAGCTTAGTAGGATCAAGCTGTAAATTACCATCTGATATTTTTACTTTCCCTTATAGACATTAGAGCTACATTCAGTTGACAGACTTCAGGTTTTCAACCACTGAAATAAATCAGCGACCTCGCTCTTTATCTTCTTGTTGACACAAGCTACTTAACAACACGCCATAGAAGGAATGCAAAGCCCCCTCTACGAATGAGGTAAACCGCCAGTATACTTGAGAGGAGTAAGAGAACATCACTCTATTATCGTTCGGTTCTGTATTCAGGCTCAATTTCTTTCTATAAAATTTATTCGTCATATATACATCTACTACTTGGTTGACGATCTAGAAAATGTTGAGAATGAGGACTGAACAGCTCCGGTCGTGGTAGGGTTGGGTAGGAACGCGGCCCTAATGAGATACTCGATATTCTTTCTTACCGCGACTTTGAGTTGCAGAGGTGGTTCTTGTGGCATGTCGACGCGTATATCCCATTTCATGGCCGTGTCCTCAAGGAGGTGTGCTAACGGCCAGAGTGGATGCTTCTCCTTCCGCGAAGCAATGTCATTCTGGACAGCTGCTAGCCACTGAGAGGTTGGCTTAGAATGGATATTAAATCCCATTCTTCTAACTAGGCGCCAAAACATACCCCAAGTCATACCTTCATTATGATGTACGACAGATTTCTCTCGTGATTCCGGTGAGAATGCAGTGCGGATAGCCTCCGCAGCAGTTGTCGAAGCATCAGATAGATGTAACCAAGCATTGCCGTCATCCGAATTGTATGCTCCAATCTTTATACTTGCTGCCGTGACCCGCCATATATAATCATCAAGATTGGCTACCCCCTCTGTCGGTGTGCCAATGATGAGACCGGGCCTGAAGACTGCAATATTTCTTTGTCTTGCTGGACACCACTCGGCAGCTCTTTTCACCAATACCTCAGCCACAAACTTTGACTGACTGTAGCCCATAGAATCGGAGAGTTCCTGGGCAACATCTTCATCACGCTCATCATCGCCACGGCACTGTCGTCCTCCAGATATGTATGCGAACCTCATGGAAGGGTTACTTATAGCAAGTCCAACAAGCTGAACAGTGGAAGCAACATTGACAGCCTCGAGGACGGAGTAGCTTTTGCTCCAGTGAACAACGGCGCCGTTATGAATAACGATGTCAAAAGTGTTTCCATCCTTGAGTAACCCCCATTGAGCTTCATGGAGTCCAAGTTGCGGGAGTGCCAAGTCTCCTTTCCAGACTTCGAGCCTTTCCGCATGGAATTCAGTCCACCAAAGAGCTTTTTGCGCTGCTTCAACAACTTTTTCCCTTGCTAAGTCTATGGTCGTACCCCTGGCAAGAGCAACTACATGCCCAACGTCTTGATGTTCAAGTAGCTGGCGGAGAATTTGAGTCCCTAGGTAGCCGCTGGCGCCAGTTAGAAAAACTGTCAAGTTTGTGGTGTTTGGTGGCCTATTGGGAAAGTTGTTCAGACGTCGGGGAATGTTTAGAAGATCGGTTTCGTGTTTACTGATCTGAGCCATGATATCAAGGCCTCCAACTGGGGCTTGCAGGCCTTCTGCCATTACGTTTGCCGTCTGTTTGGTAGCGCTGGTTATGAATTCAGCCAGGCTTCTTGTACTTGTCTTTTCGTTCATCAGAAGCTGAATGCTTACTCGAACTTGATATTTGAGACGAATGAAATGCAAAAGGGACATCATATTGAGAGAGTCCAGCCCTGAGGAGTGCAATAGCAAATCATCAAAGCGATTCAACACATTTCCCTCTGCGGGAAATGTGCCTGCAGGTAACAGGGAGGCGATCTTTTCTGCCAACTCATACGCAAGCCCTTCATCCGGCCCTATCTTGAGGCTCGTATTAAGGACTTGCATCGTAGGATTGATAGACACCGGCTCCGTGGATAACTGGTTCTCGAGCCATCCTTTGATCATTCTTCTGTCCACTTTACCCGAAGCGGCAAGAGGAAACCCTTCGTTTGAAAGTTCTTTTATGTCGATCCAGTGCGCTGGCACCATAGAATTGGGGATCTTGCTGGCCAACTCTCGTCTAATCTTTTTCGTTTCTTCGCTGAAATTGCGACTTCTCTGGTAGAAACCAGGACTGTCAGTCTTATCTTCCAAGTTCAACACAGCGACAAGTTTCTGTGAGTATACCCCGGACGACGGAAAGACTACAATTGCAAGCTTGACAGACGAGCCAAGGGCCAAATGAGATTCGATTTCGCCGATTTCGATTCTCTGTCCGTTGACCTTTACTTGTAGATCTTTTCGACCGACATAGACCAAACTTCCGCTCGGAGTCTTTCGCACCAAATCACCAGTCTTGTATAAACGGGCACCGTTGTTGCTGGATAAAATATGGAGCCAACTGGGTTTGTTGATAAAAGAGGCAGCGGTCTTCTCTGAGTCGTTTAGATAGCCCTGGGCTAGAGTTGAGCCCTCAATAAGTAGCTCACCGACCACACCGTCTGGGACCAGAGTATTTACGTCGTCTTTGTTTACAACCCAGCCAGAGCATCCAATGGGATACCCAATTGTCCGAGGGTCTGATTCAGCGGCGCATGACTGGATAGTTGCAATAACGCTGCACTCGCTGGGACCGTAAGCATTGAAAAGCTGAACCCCAGAGTCGAGCCACTTTGTTATGAGGGGCTCATCTGGAGCTTCTCCTCCAAACACTAACACCTCCAAGGAAGGTACTTCTGAAGGCTGAATGAAGCGTGCCACAGACGGTGTAAGAAGTGCAAAATTGACGCTATTATCTTTCACGAATTCCGTGATACCTTCAGCGCGCTCTTCCTCAGTCGGAACGCAAACCGTTCCTCCATGTATGAGCGTAGTAAGAATCTCGAATAAACTTGCGTCAAAGCTATAGGACGAAAACTGCAGCATTCGGTGGTTACTGGAGACACCAAGTGCACTTCCGTGAGCGATTGCGCCAGACGTAAATGCGGAATGCGAAATTACAACTCCTTTTGGCGTTCCGGTTGATCCGGATGTAAAGATTACATATGCTGGATCTTCGGGTTTTGATTTGAAGGGTGCTATCGACGGGTTGTTCGACTTTTGTAAAAGCTCGAGGTTGTCTCTATCCACAATGACCCGAGTATGAACTCCAAGATCAGTAGCTTTGTAGTGGAATGAAGACGTCAGCAATATTGTGGCCTTTACTTCTTCAATAACCTTCCTAAGGCGAGAGATGGGTTGGCTGGGGTCCAGTGGCACAAAAGCAGCACCTGTTTTCATGACTCCGAGCATGGCCACAATTGTCCACACAGACTTTTCAAAACATAACGGGATCATGACTCCAGGTGCTACACCGGCTTTAACCAGATGTCTAGAAAGAACTGTAGAAGCGGTTTCGAGATCGTTATACGACAATATCTCGGCAGTTGATACGATTGCTTGTCTCCCGAGTTGAACCATACTTTGGTCTGAGATAAGGTCATGGACGCAAGCCGATGGTTTTGTTCTCTGTGTTTCATGTTGAGACGTTGTTTGTATAGCCTTCGGTAGCTTGTAATATACCAGGTCAGTGATTTTGCGGTCGGCATGATTAGAAGATGCGGATGACAGCTGGGCCATGATACTTTTGACAACTTCTATTGCCTGAGCAACAAACACCCGACTAGTGACGTCTTCATCAACATGCGTTGCAAACTCAACCCGACCCGGCTGAAGCCAGACTTCGCAAGTGACTGGGAACGTGGTGAACTCTTCTCTGTAGGTCGGCTTGCCGAGGGGACCTGGCCCAGCCTCATCCCATCCGCCGCCAGCCTGTACAACGAGTAAATTTTGAAACTCGCAGCCACGTTTCGTATCTTCGTTCAACGTTTTGATATTCTTGATTCCAGTTTGCTCGAAAGGTATCATTGTAGTTGCATTTTCTTGGACCTGACGGAGAAAATCTAGAATAGTCGTGGCCCTGTCAATACGAACCCTAACGGGAACCGTTGCAATTGTAGGCCCTTCAATATTCTCGATGTTTTCAAGTGGTGCATTCCTGCCAGAAACCGTGGCGCCAAATATGATATCGTCGGCATTTGAGAAATGTCCAATCATGAGGGACCACGCTCCGCGTACGATGGTTGACATGGTCAGTCCAGAAGATGGATCTAAGTCGATGTCCAGGGAGTCTCTCACAACCGCACGAGCAATCGATTGATGGCTCGGCTTCAGTGGAGCGGGGAAGATTGACTGTGGGACTCCTCGAAGTTCTCTTTTCCAATACTCGGAGTAATTGCTTCGCTCTAGCCGTTTTGTATAAGATATGAAATCCCTATAATCGCTTGCTGGCTTTACAGTTCGCCCGTGGTACATCTCATTCAGTCGGTTGCAGAGCATGGCGAGCGACCAACCGTCGTAGAGCATGTGATGAATTGTCCACACAAAGGTCTTTTTGTCGTCACTTGACGTAACGATGGCGAATCGGTTGAGTGAATCTCCGGGGAACATAGGGTTTGCGTCGTCTGTCTTTAGGTAGGCTTCAAGGTCATCGGACGTAAGCCATTGAACCTGTTCTCTTAGTACGACCTGAAGAGACCCTGCTGACGAGGTTGTAGCAAATCGTGTCCGCAAAATCGCTGATTCCGCATGTATGTTTTCCCACACTTTACGAAACAGGGTTAAGTCCACATTGCTAGGTAACGGATGAATCCATCGACCGGTGTAACTTCCTGGCCGCGTGAGATTGACTGCCATCAGGCCTTCTTGCATGTGAGTACAAGGATATAAATCTTCAATGCCCTCTGAATCAACTCCGCACTGATACGAGGCCTCTTCAAGTAGCTCATTCAAGTTTAGGTTGTCCTGATTAATGAGTTGAAATGGCGTGTAATGAGCGGGCTCCGCCTTTGTTTTGTTTGCTGTTGAGGTCGTGCAGACCAATGCCATCTCTCGTAAAATAGAGTTCTTAAAGATGTTGGCGACATTGATCTGAAGATCCAGTTGCCTGCAAGCTGCTACGACCTTAATTGCTCCGATTGAGTCGCCTCCAAGTTTAAAAAAGTCGTCGCCGGCGCTTATGGAGTTTTCAGGTATAGATAGGATCTTAGCCCATGCCTTCCGAAGTGATACCTCGACTGGTGTGAGTCCTCTCTCTAACTGTGAAGAAATTGAAGTAGAGTCCTCTGAGGAAGGAACAGTCTCTGACTGCATTGTAAGCTGGCCAACCGACGTTTCATCTTCGCTCTCAGTCAGATCAGGTGATGGAATGCTCCCTTTAGCCTTGGAAGGAAAGAAGCTGTCTCGGTTTGAGGAGCTCATGAGCTGCTGTAGAGTCAAAGAATTACCAAGGCTTCGCAATGTTTTCCTGTCGACCTTTCCAGAAGGTGATAGTGGCAGTTTGCGGCACGGCACAATTGCCTTGGGGACCATGTATGCCGGAAGGCTTTGCCCTAGCTGTGTTGATACCTCTCTACTTAGAGACTTGATTTTTTTCCATAATGGATTTGTTTCCTCGAGCAAAGTGCTTTCACTCTCTATGTTGATTGTTTCTGAATGAGTGTATGCAATGAAAGCTGACAGCACGTTCAGTTCCCCTTGATGTGGCCGGAGGAGCTCAACGGCAACCTCACAGGTCGGCGTGGAAAGTTCTGTTTGTAGTGATTGTAGAGATTCTACAACTTTCTTCAAGTAGTGTTCGATCTCACCGAGCTCGACACGTTGGCCATTGATCTTGACCTGGCTGTCCTTGCGGCCGAAGTAGTCCAACGTGCCGTCAGGGTTCATGCGGCCCAGGTCGCCAGTTCGGTAACAACGTCCAGGATTGCGGACAACTCCTTGAAGAAACTTTGGATCTTCAAGGAAGACCTTTTCGGTTTTGGCCTTATCGCCCAAGTAGCCACGGGCGACAGGGGGTCCCTCGATGACTATCTCGCCGACTGTGCCGAAGGGGGCTAGCTCTTCATTCTCTCCAACAATCCAGGCAACACAGTTGACAGGCCGACCGATTGACCTGCTCTCCAAGCCTCTTACTCTAGGCTTATCGACAATGGTAATAGCTGAACATTCCGCAGGACCATATGCATTGATTGCTCTGACATGATCGGCCCACGTATCAGCTACGGCCTGTGGCAGTGCTTCGCCAACCAAGCAGAGGACATCCAAGCCAGGTACCTCATCTGGGCGTATAAGAGATGCTACTGATGGGGTCAACATAGCCCAATTTACACCCATACTGGATATACAATTGGCCAAGTCATTCATTCGCTGTTCCTCACTGGGGATACATAGACAAGCTCCAACTGTAAGACTGGTAAAAATCTCGAGCATGGAGATGTCGAAAGAGAATGAAGAATATTGTAAGACGCGGCATGAAGACTTGTCGAGTAAAATAGCCTTGGAAAATCCTTTAGCGCTGGATGCAAAGGCTGCATGAGTTATTACCACTCCTTTTGGCTTCCCAGTCGACCCGCTGGTAAATACGACATAGAGTGCGTCGTCAGTGGAGGGAGAACGGGATTCGGATTTTGTTGGTGCCACCGATGGAAGGCTAGTTATAAATTCGTCGTCGATAATGACTCGCTTGTGATGTGGGATGTGTAAGGGGACCCGGTGTTGGCTCTGGACAGAGCAAATAACCGCGGAAGCGTTGACATCCTGAATGATCATGTGTAGGCGGTCTTCAGGAAGAGAAGGGTCCAGAGCCACAATAGCGCCGCCTGCTTTTATAACTCCTAGTATGGCAATAATACTGTAGACTGATTTTTCGAAGAGGATTGGAACAACTGTTCCCGGACCAACACCCATCCTAGACAGGTAATCTCGCAACATGTCGGTACGATCTTGGAGTTGGCAATACGAAAGGTTGCCATCCCACGCACAAATAGCTTGGTCATGTGGCCTCAGCCTTGCTTGTTCATTGATAAGATCATGGATGAATCTATCCTCTATTCTGGGCAACCTGCACATTTCGTAAGCCACAGTCTACAAATGATAAGTTTATTGCAAGATACTTACGGCCTATTCAACTGAAGAAGATGGCGCTGGCTTGCAGGACTCATGATTTGAATCTCTTCCAGTGTTTTTGTTGCTACAGCCGCGGTTGAAAACTGCCAGAGGATATGCTCCAAATCATAGAGTAACAGTCGCACTGCTGCTGAGGAAATAGATTTGTTGTTGAAAGTGGCGGAAAGACCAAATTCAGTTCCGTCGACGGCACATTCTAGGAAAAAGTCATAGTTTCCTGTCTTGAGAGATTGCATATGATTGTTTTGATGTATTGTAAAAATAACGCTTGTTCGAAAAGATTCCATTGATGTTGTTGCCGCACTGAGATTGCGCTCTTCATCTGATGAATCGCCTTCGGGGGAGGAATTCGTCAATGAATCCTCCACATAGGCGACGAAGTCGAAAACATTCATCTTCTGGTTGACATTGAGATAGATTTCTGACATTAAGCTCCCTTTCTTGGTTGTTTCATGGTTGGATTGTCTCAGGCCAAAGCTGACTTGCTGCTGGTTAGCTCTCGAGGAGAGCGCCAAGGCCCAGGCAGCGTAGACATGTGACTCTGTATCCGTCGAAGAGTCGCTCAAATGACAGTTAGGGCCACGAACACGCACAAAACTGCCTTCGGCAGCCTTGTTTATGGAATGTGTCTCGCTATCTGTCCGGTATGAAGGTCCTGGTTCGGCTATCTCCTCAGGCTCGGTGTTTTCAGCCGCTTCCCAGCGTTGGCGAAATTCGTTGTTGGATTTAGCCGTATTTCGAACATTTCTGGTCTCTTCTTGAGCATATTTTGATGCTATCGGAGACTTGAAGACGAATTTCTCAGGAACACCCGCTGTGCCACTAGGAAATGGGCTGTCAAATACAAACTCGTCTGGCGTTTCTACAGAAGCCGGAGTCGCGGTATCAAAAACAAACTTGACAGAATGAAGCCTTGGTACAAGCTTCAACTTCCCATAGTGAAACGTCATCTTGACTGTCGATGTGCAAGATTATAGCACGATGACGGACGTGAAGCGAAGTGATGGGGACTGGAAGCTTTGAAGCGCAGTGGTGAAGTGAAAAGGCTTCAATGATATACTGTCCAGAATCTCTGCTGTGGTTCACTCACTAAACAACCCCATACTTGCTCAAACTTTTATTTATAATGATGACGGCTGAACATTAAAATCCTGAAGTGGAAGACCGGCCATTGCACCGAGGGTACTCCTGCAACCTTGCAAATCGTTATGGCACGCAATTTGTCATATCACTGAAGAATCTTCCCAAACAGTCCCGATCCTTCGATTGGAACATCCAATGTTGTAAATACCTCATTCTAGACCCGTTCTGTAGTTCTGGACCTCGCATGTAGCCGGGCAAGATCTTACTTGGAAAGGCAGCTGCACGGCAAAGTCACACACTCCCAATCCTTCATCGGCACATCCTGACGCTAAGAATCATGATATCTCTGATTTCCCCTCACGCATACGAATCACTTCATCGTGGCTTGGATGACAGCAAGGTGTAGTGGGAACTAGTCCAATTCCCCACATGTTTCTTCATGCAGCTCGACACAGAAAATGTATGCGGGGTGCAAGACTTGTCGGCTTTCTGTTGCCGGTCTTCACAAGTTGTGGAGATACGAGCATCAATGATCACAGAAAGTGGCAAAGCCGTCAGTTCTGATTTGTTACTTCGGGTTTTGCGTGAAAAATGATGCTTGTCTTAGCATCAAGGCCGGTGGTTCCAGCTTCACGTCCTGTGGTGGCCCTGAGTAATTGGTGGGTCATGTAAGTCGAAGACGGGATACATCATTGGTGACACTGCAGGTGTTGTGTTACATTCACCACAGCCAGTCAAAGGATTTCAGTAGTCAGTGGCCCTTTTGTAGTTCATGCGGTCAAGTGCGTGATTGCATATTGTGCCTTGCATGGGTTCGCAGACGTTCGGGCTCGGCCTTGCAACTCTGCGCCCACAAGATGGGCCAATGGCTGTTTGAAAGCCCTCATTTCAAGAATTCTTTCCAAATAATTGCCTAGTGGCAATATGCAGCTCAATCCTTCAGGTCCACGAGAGGGGTGGTCAGCGATAAGGCAGAAAGCTTGTCCCAGCCGACAACGGTGATATTGAGCCTTGGACCATGTCTCAACTCCGTCAGCGCCTGTCGTTATCCTTTGGCCTTCCAAATACGGTTGGTAACAAGGTGGCGAGATCCATGCTTAGGGTAAATTCTGAATGGCGGTCAGCCAGTGCGGCGGGGTCAGTATGGCCGAGGTGTTGAAATGTTCAGGAAAGCAGATGATGCTCACCTCGAAGAGAATGTAGCGGAGGGGGGTATCTTTTTGAGACTCCTGCTTTTTTTAAAGACAACACATTGTTTCTTGTTCTTCTTTTATGCTTCGTTACCAATCTCGGCTGATTGAGTAAAAATGGCAGCACAAAAAGCTCAGCAACTTGATGAGACGAGTACTGTGAAGATGACGTCTCAACCAGAAAAGCTCACAGAGGAACACTTCGGTGTTCCCAGCGATGAATCAGATACCTCTCACAAATCTTCGGAAACAGCAGGAGCTACCGACGACTTGCAGCCATGGAAGGCCTTCGTTATTTGGCTATGCATTGCTTTCGGGGTTTTATGCACATTCCTTGATGAGGGAATCATTGCTACGGCTATCCCCAGAATAACGGATGATTTTGGTTCTTTGAAGGACGTCGGTGTAAGTTGAATCATTGTACAGTGATGACTGGAGCTTTGCGCGAGAGATATGGCACTGACATACGTTCAGTGGTACGGCTCAGCATACCAGATGACTCTTTGCGCCTTTCAACTAGTTTTTGGCCGTCTATACAACCAGTTCAATATCAAGGTCGTCTTTGTTATTTCTCTGGTCATCTTCGAAGTTGGATCTTTGATATGCGCTGTCAGTCCCAGTTCAGCAGTCTTTATCGTTGGACGTGCGATCGCAGGCCTAGGCGCCTCAGGTCTCCAAAGCGGCAGTATGGTTCTTATATCAGCAGTACTGCCATCCAAGAAGTTGCCATTGTACTTGGGGGCTATTGGCATGGTTTATGGTGTTGCTGCTGTCGTTGGACCTGTCGCTGGAGGTCTCATAACCAACAGTTATTTGACCTGGAGATGGTAAGTAGTGCTTTGCAGCCGATTTGAGAACAAAAGCAGTTTCCCTCCTTTTTCAGCTCTGTTTCTGACGTTTTCTAGGTGCTTTTATATCAATCTTCCCATTGCTGCACCATCTGCTGTTGCGACGTTGTTCCTAATCAAGGCGCCCCCGCCAACTGATGAACAACGGCGGCCTTGGCTGCAGAAAATCCGGGGTTTAGACTATCTTGGCATGCTTCTTTTGCTTCCAGGGATAACGTCATTTCTTCTTGCTCTTCAATTTGGCGGCACACTCTTTACGTGGAGTGACGCTCGCACAATAGCAACCTTTGTCGTTGCTGGGGTGCTGATTGTCGGTTTCATGGTGGAGCAGTGGTGGATGGGTGAGAAGGCTTTGGTCCCCTTCCGGCTCATCAAGATGCGTGTGGTAATTTTCGGTGCTTTTTTCGGCTTCTGCTTAGACAGCGCCTTTTTCATTCTGGTCTACTATGTAAGTAACCTGTTTACGGCTTATGATGGTTTCTCTAACGGACTTCTAGGTGCCTCTTTGGTTTCAAGCCATTCATGGTGTCACGCCGGAGCAATCTGGTGTGCGGTACTTAGCCCTCTGTCTGGCATTTATCTTTACCATTTTCCTCAGCGGTTGGGGCGTCACCAAAACCGGATATTATCAGCCTTTTATGCTTGCAGGAACGATTCTGCTCTCTGTGGGTTCCGGTCTTTTGTCAACTCTCCAAGTAAAATCTGGCGCAGACCGCTGGATCCCATTCCAAGTCATCGCTGGATTGGGTATCGGGGCATCGACACAGCAGGCAGCGGTCGCAGTTCAGAGCACGCTTTCGGAGGGAGATATTGCTATTGGTGTGGCTGTCGTGCTTTTCTTCCAGTGTTTTGGACCAACGACGGGCATCACTATTGCCCAGGCAGTTTTTGCGAGCGATCTGGCTTCTGGAGTTTCTGCTCAACTCCCTTCCGTCAGCATAAAAGAGATTGCGACTTCTGGAGCTACGCAACTCTCAGACCTGGTTTCTCCTGAGGAATTTGGCACTCTTTTGAATGTATACAACCATGCTGTTACGAGGACCTTCTTGGTGGCGGGAGCTATGGCAGCCGCCAGCATCATTGGAGTGGTTGGCGTTGGAATGAAGAAGATCCAATCGGAAGAGAGTGAGAAGACGGACGTTGAAAGCCAGTGACTATGGGTAGTGTAGAATTCAGTTGGTATCAATTTATCGGGGATTGTGGCCAGTCAGAAGGCAGTATAGAAGACAGGTTTTTAAGGTTTCTCTTCATAGTCTGGAGTATTGTGGAAGTTTACGCCGCCTTAAAGAGATTGTTTTCTAGATCGCCAGTTGAATGTTGCAAGTTCGTTCTAAAATTGTGGTGTTGTAATCACCAACTATTGCCTATTTTCCCAGTGCAAAGGTAGATTTTAGTCATCAAAGTTTTATATGATAGAAACGTATAATCAAGCTTTTTCCTGATGATTACATCTTTGTAGTTTTTTTTTTTTTTTTACTTAAAATGTCAGCAGTCCAAGCATATGAGAGGACAAAGCTTCCTGCATGTCCTCGTGCGCTCATCCAAGGTATCTGTCTTTGGTAGCATTAAATGAATAGGTATGGGATCCAGCTCTCAATTTCCCTTGGCACTCTTGGTTTCAACTTTTAGAGTATGGTCATTTCAAGCAGCTTATTTAACATGTAAATATTCCAAGTACTGTTAAGGATACCGACAACATTGTTCATATTTCACAGCCAGTGTATATAGCTGAACGGGTTTTAAGTCGGTTTCTTGAAAAAGGTACAAAATCTAACCTATCATCAACAATTTCAAGCATGGAAGCCATTTCTATCATCTCAAGAGATCAATATCCAACAGAGAACGGAGTCAGACTTGTACCTAGTTCTGGGCTGCAAGCCTTTCGCTCTCCTTCTTGATATCCTGGTCGAACTGCTTCCAATTCGTCAAGGTCTGTTTCTCAAACCCCCAGAACGGCTTCATGAGGAAAGCAAGAAACCCGCTGAAGTCCTCGAGCTGAGTCATCGTCGTGCCGCCGGGGGTCTTGTTACTTGGGCGGAAGTAGAACGAGTGCGCCCCGGAAAAGAGCAGCGGAACGACGCCGTTCCACTTGAAAAGCTCCGTCGAATTCTCCTACGCGGCCTGATAAGCCCCACTAATTCAGTAGAAAATGGGAACGTTGGACGGCATACCAAAATCACAGGGTTAAAGGCGACTCCCTTCAGATTGGCAGTGATGTTGTCGCCAACTTTCAACTCGGACGGCTTTGTGCCCTCGACTTTAGGGCTGATCGTCCAAACCTGAGTCCACTCCTTGTATCTATTCCAGTCTAGAAACTGTAGCATGTGGTTAGTGAGATTGTCTTTCAGGAAAATGAGCGGCAATGAACAAGCCACGGAACGTACCACCGATCGTACTATGGCAGGGCTTGCCTCAATCTCCACCTCCGTGGCGACGCTATGAGTTACTCCCATGATCTCTTGAAGCAGCTGGGTAATTGATTTGACGTGTTTGTCAAGGTGAGCGGCAGATAACGTCGTTCGATTGATGTCGCGCCTTACTGTAGCAACTATTTCTGTGTCGACTTCGTTGCAAGGGATGTTTCATATTTTTTCGTCACTCAAGTCTAGGGTACGGAACACGGCATACTTATAGACGTGTCTGGTCAACATTATTCACAATTCATCTGCAGGGGATTTGCTGACATGTGAGCTAAAGGCGCAATTCATTTGCCTGTGTATGCCACGCGCCCATGCGGGGTTTATCGCTTATCTATCGTCGAAACGGGGGGGTTGTGCCGCCGCCACACAGTGACCCAAGTCCCAAATCCTCGAATCAAGCTGTCTAGAGCTGTCCGCAGGATTCGCCCTTAACTCGACACGGTTGTCGCCTAGTATATAAGCCATAACACATATCGCTTACTGCATCTTCCGTTATATCCGAGTGCTAAAGGGTGTCAAGGGCTGGTAGACTATGCAAGGATAACAAGCAGCAAGAGTTTAATATTGTGTTGACAAAAGCAAAGGGGGATTCTTGAATGAGAGTGAAAAGGCTGAAGCCAGACGAATCTTTGAAGGGGCAACACGACGTATCTCAAGAGCGTCAAGTAAAGAAGAAGATGAGACCTGCGACGGCTAATGAAAATATGAGCACGCTGGTGCAGAATCTAGACTTTGAAGACGATGCGCCTATAATTGACTTTGCAGCTCGTGGAAACCCTGTTACGGTTATTTGGTTAAATTGATTGAGTTGAACTCAAAGCCTCATCGCGCATTTGTAGCGATAAAGTAGGTTTCGGAGCATCATGCGATCAACATCCCTATCGAAGAGCTTGTTTCCAGTTGCCAAAAAAAAACGTTCAAAACTAAGGCACACCGAATACCTAGTCTTTCAAGAAGCTGCTTAGTTTAGCGTAACCGGTTGAACTGCTTTTACTGAACAAATGAATTAAAACCTACGTTGGATGGCTTTGATCGAACCCGGTCGGCACTCAGGTAAATCCCAGAAGACTATTCAATGCAGCAAGACTCCGTATAACGAGACCTCACTCCTTTGTAAAACATTCCTCATCTCTAAATGAGGTACACTGCAGTCTCTGGTTTACAACAGTCACCTTCAAGAACCCGCCACGATTCGCGCAGGTAGAGAAGCTATCACTAACGAATGCTACTCCAAGTACAACACAGTCACGATCGCAACAATTCAGTTCAAGTATAACCAATGCATCAGTCGTCGATTGAAAACTATCTCATCAACACCGTTCATGCCATGGACCAGTTTACACAAGTTGCCCTCTTATCTAAGCCTCTGTGTGTCACACCAAAAGAAAAAGGAACAATAAGCCAACAACGCCCAATGAAGCCCACGAAAAACCACTCTAGGCCTTGAAGAAGTCCTGGACAGCCTTGGTGAACTGGTCAGGGTCCTGCATGGGCGCAAAGTGGCTGACGCCAGTCAAGATGGTGACCTTGCTGCCGGGGATAGCCTTGTTCAGGATGCCGGGGACGTCGCGGTTGACAGCCTCCTCGTGCTCAGCGCCGGCAATCATGACCTTGGCACCGGGGATGGAGGCGAGCTGCTTGTCGGTCCACTGGGGGAGGGTGCCCTCCATGGTGGCGACCTTGGTAGCGAACTGGGTGAAGTTGGCGCCGGGCTGGAGCGTGGCGTACTCCGTCCTGCAGCGGGCGACGAGCTCGTTGAAGACCTTGGTGTCGCTGAAGGTGGCGTTGGTCTGGTCGGGCTTGGCGGAGGCGCCGAAGACGAAGGCCTTGTTGATGGGCGCGGCCGTCTTGGGGTTGATGAGCGCCTGGAGGGTGGTGATGCCGCCGTCGGACCATCCGACGACGTTGTACTGCTTCACGCCCTGGGCCTCGAGCAGCGCAAAGATGTCGTTCGCCATCTGCTCGTAGGTGAAGACATCGTTTGCGTTGAAGGTGGTGCGGCCGTGGCCGCGACGGTCAACGGCGATGACATAGTGGCCTGCCTTGATCAGGCGGGAAATGACGGAGCCGAAGTAGGCAGAGTAGCCCAGGCCGCCGTGGTCCATGACGATGGGGATGCCGCCGGCCTTCTCGTTGTACTTCTGGAACCACATCTTGATTCCGTTGACGGGGGTCGTTGTCGTGGAGATGGGGGTGGGCAACTGGGGGGTGGGGGGCAGGGTCTGCCAGATGGGGGTGTTCTGGCGGATAGCCAGGCCCGACACGGAGCCGGTGAGGGCGGTGGCAGCGACGAGAGCGGTGAACTTCATTTTTGTGCTGGTGTTTGGATTTGTAGATCCAAAAAGAACGAATGTGGTTGAAAAAGAAAAAGAGTGTTAGCTGTGAAAATGAGAGACTAAGCGAGAGGCTTGTTGCGGGTTGGCTGAAGGGAGAGGGAAAGTTTGCGACGAAAGGGCGATTGGGTCAGTAATTAAATACATGATGTTTTTTTTTGCTTCCAGAACATCATTCGACCCCCCGCGGACCCGAGCTCCTGGAATTAGCTAATTGCCATTTATCCCGTCGTGGCGGAGTCAAGCCTGAAATAGGAGGTTTTGCCAGGGATCACGACTCAAGCACAACGATTTAAAGTTTTCGCACATTCGCCTACGCCGTTGTCCGTGAACTTGATAGCTCGCCGACCGGCTGTCACGGAAAACCTATGAGCAGCTCAGTTAACAGTATCTGAAAGGGAAAAAACTTACAGATATAACTGAGGTTGTGATATGGGGGTAAACATAAGTTTCAGTACCAAGTCCTGTAGCTCATCAGAAGAAACCTTTGGCGTCTTGGAGTCAACAAAGCGGACCACACTTCAGGCCCCGTCCCAACTCTCTGCGCCGCGCTGTAGGGCTTGATGTGTTTTCGGGAGGAGCCGAACAGTTCATCAGTTTGACACATTCATCAGCAGGGGCCGCCTTGCATAATGGGGTACGGAGTAGAGGGCCAAGGGGCTATACCACAATGCACTATTCGCGCCTGTTCATTGATAGAACCTCCCAACTCCCCTGCTGAGCCTCAATTGAACATGCCGATCCTGCCGTTGTTACCCCCGAGTCCAAGTATGGTCAAAGTCGGCAACCATCGGACCGTACGGAGTCACATTCAATCTAGCGCCTCGGACTCGGGCAAACATGCAACACCTTTTATGGGAACTGCACAGAATTAACTTTCCAATTCGCCATATTTAGCAGCGAGTCGATATACAATTCGACATATATAGGATCTAAATCTACTGTTGCAAGCCTTGTGTAGGCCCATGCTCAACAACCTTCCCCTTATCTAGACGAATGAAATAGTTGGCATCCTGGACAGCCTCAAGCCGATGAGCGATGGTGATGACGGTGCTGGTGGTCAACTCGTTTCTTAGCACCTCCTGAACTCTGGCTGCTGTCTCCTTGTCAATAGACGCAGTGGCCTCATCCAAGACCACAATTGGGCTCCTTCTGAGAACAGCCCGGCCGATACCTATAAGCTGGCGTTGACCTTGGCTCAGATTCTTGCCGCCACCTTCAATGTGCATGTACAAGTCCCAGTCCGGGCCCAAGACACGATGCAAGACTCCAACACACTCGACATCCATAAACTGGCGCAACGGATCCAGGTTGTCTCGCAGAGTTCCAGGGAAAAGAACCGGATCTTGAGCGACGAAGCTTACTCGTTGCCGCCAGACATGAACGTCTACATCAGACAGCTTGAACTCCCCGATGCGAATGGATCCCTCTGACGGATGGATCGTCGCAAGGAGCGCTAGGGCTAGGGTGGACTTACCAGACCCCGTTCTGCCCAGGACCGCGCAGGTGGATCCACCGGGAATAGTAAAAGAGGCGTTTGACAGCGAGGGATCCAAATGGGGTGCATACTTCAATGTTACGTTATCGAAGGTAACGTCGTCCACGTGATGAGGCCAGTTAGCAGGCGGCTTGATTTCTCCGCAAGGCTCTTCAGGAATATGGAGGAGCTCGATCACACGCTCGACCGAGACAAAGTCCATTTGCAGGGTGCCGTACTGTTTGCAGAGGTTGTGCGTCGCCTCAACGAAAGAGGATGCCGTAGTCAAAACGAACGCAGTCAACCCTGGCGAGAGGCCCTTGTAGAGGGCAAGTAGAGTGAGAGCAAACGTAGAGACGGCTGACAGGGCATCAAATCTGTACATGAGCCACGCCTGCAGGCTCCAATAGAAGTGGTCCATCTTTTGAAACGCGTCTGTCACCACAATGTTCATGTTCTGGAAGTGATGTTGCGCTTTGAATGCTCGAATAGTGGCGAGTCCGTCAAGAAGTATGCCAAAGTTGGACATCAGCGGACTCAAAGAGACCATCTCCAGCCTTCGAAGGCTTTGTGAAGTGGGCAAGAAGCGCATAAAGATGTAGACAAACCAAACAGTCATGCCGATGGAAAATACAAGGAAGACCGGCGTGACTGAGGCGATGACCACCATGCTCGAGAACCAAGCAAGAGACCACCAGGCCACTTGCTGCAAGGGAGACATGATGCCTCCGTCAATCATTCCAATGTCAGAAACGAGGCGGTTCATCAGGCGTCCAACGGGAGTAACATCGTAAAACCGGAAGGTTGCTCGGCTGACTTTCTCAATCACCCTGCGGAAGAGGTTCTTGGCGGCCTTGTAAATCATGAGCAAGGCAAGACCTTCCGATAAGGTGAAGATGAGGGCTTGGAAGAGTGCGATTCCGAGATAGAGGAGCAGCCAAGGGCGCAAGTCTGCATCGGGATTTGGTAGGCCGTCAAAAAGATGAGAAAAGTCAACACCGGATGAAGCATCCTTCGTGGCCGTCGTTTCCTTGTAAGATTCGCCCCAGGCCTTGAGGAACCAGTAGTTGAGAAGGCTACCCAGCCTAAACAAGCCGAAAACAACAACCAGCGCGGCCCACCACTTAAGCTTGCCAGCTTGAATGTAAGTCCAATAAACAGATAGCATCACGCCACCGTGGGCACGGTGTTCGTCTTCAATGAACTTGGATGGGATAGCAGCATTCTGTTGTCCTTCGTCGATAGTGTGCTCCTGTTCGTCCTGTTGCACTGCTTGATCATCGTCCTCCTGAAGAAATTTAGCAATCTCCGCAGAGGCCTCCTCGGAGTTCAAGACTCGAGCGGTGCCGTCTGTAATCTCAACCATCTGATCCGCTAGATGGATACACAGGTCGATTCGGTGGGTGACTAGAACCACGGTACGACCTTCGACAAGCGGGCCTTGGAAAAGCTTCTTCACTATGAACTCGGCAGTATTGTGGTCAAGAGCTGCGAGGGGGTCATCGAGCAGCAACACACGAGACTGGCTATAAACAGCTCGTGCTAGGGCGACACGCGCTCTCTGACCACCCGATAAACCGATACCGTTTTCGCCCATATCAGACAAGTCGCCGTGCTTGAAGTTGGCTAAATCTGGAAGCAAGGCGCAGGCATCAAGCACTTGAGTGTACCTTGTCGCGTCGAAGGGTGCCGAGAACAGAATATTATCGCGAATGTTCATGTGCTGGAGCCAAGGAGTTTGTGCACAATAACCAATCGGTTCTGTTGGGATAATAACGTCGCCCATTTGACGGTCCAGCTCTCCAAGGATTGACTGCAATAGCGCTGACTTGCCAGAGCCAACCTTGCCAAACACTACAGTGAGCCCCTGGGGAAAACTAAGATCGAGATTTTTCAACACTGGACGCTCGTACCCAGGCCACGCGAAGGTAGCCTTGCTGAACTTGATGTCATTCGTAAGGTGGTCAGCATACACACCATCCTTATCAGGCTCACCCATAAACTCTTCGATACGACCCAGCGCAATCGAGGCGTTTAGCACAACGGTGATCAGATTTGGTAGCTCCTTAAAACTTGTCTCCAGCATGGCGAATAATTGAAGCGCTGGGAATGCCACATCGACGGTAAGGGTCTTGCCAGCGAGGAACGTGTAAGCGAAGAATGTAGCGACGGGAAACAGAGTTCCAGAGGCAATGTTTAGTGTAGAGATAGCAATTCTCCAAAGCCCCGTCACGATTCTAGTGTTGAGCTCGTGCTGTCTAGTAACCATGATGGTGTCAAGCCACTTGGATTGCCAGTCGTACCACCGGAGATGTCTAATTCCTTCGACAAATTGAGATGTGGACTGTAATCTTGCGTCCGTGGCAGCTCTGCGGACACGCTCCTTCTTGAGAAGCTGAGCGATGAAGATCGTGTTCAGCACCTGAGCAACTATGACACAAGCCATTCCTAGCACACACGGCCATCCGAGGAGCTGCCAGACGAGAACGAATGAAAAGATGAACTGAAGCGGCTTCGTTACAAGAGACGGAAATTCCCAAAATCTTTGAGCAACCTCGTAGACATCGTTCCTCATAAGATTGAGAATTTTTCCTGTGGTGGCAGGCTGCTTGTGTTCCTGAAGCTTCTGGTACTTTGGGGCACTCTTTTTCTGTGGTCGAAACCAAGCAAGGATCTTGCTGAACCTGCTCGTGGTCTCGTTTTCTTCGGTGGCATCACTCTCGGCAGAGTCGCTATCTTCGCTTTCACGAGTTTCTTCGCCAGAAATCATCTTCTCGGCGGCAGGCTGACCAAAGAACTTTCTAGACAAGGTTTTGGCGTAGATGGTAGTGATCATCTCACCCCGAGATCGCTCATAGCAACGTCTGGAGAACCACAATTGGAAGACGGCGGACTGGCAAGCCACGAGACGGACTGCGAGAATAGCAAGTGCGTAGAGAATGGAAACCTCAATATTGCGGGAGCCGACTTGGATCGACTGGAGAAGCTGCTTCAGTAAAAGCGGGATAGACAAGTTTGCGGCAGTCTCAACGATTCCGAGGAAAGACTGGATAATGAGATCCAAACCATTGGCTGAGATAAGTTTGGTCATCATTGAGCCACGGAGATCGCGGAATAGCGTATGAAGTCGGTCGTGCTGAAAATCAAAAGGCAACTGCCAGACGTCCTCGTCGTGGAGCTGCTTCTCAGAACCCCTAGCGATCAACGAGCCCATCCACGACACCGTCATGAATTGCCAGAGAGTAAGGTTGTCCTCGGGGCTGCGGAGCTCATAGGTCGGGTCAGAGTGGGCAATGCCAGAGTCGCCAAGTCGGGGGTCTCGCATAGGCATCGCAACAATGCCAATGAGCGCCGCAAGACTAAGAATAGGGTCTGCCAATGTAAAGGCGGAGATTGTTCCGTAGAGCTTGTAGCTGAAGGCGGTCGAAATGATACCACAGACAAAGATGGTGACATAGAGACAGAGGAGCGTCTTTGGCGTCTTTGAAGGCCGGTCAATCGCAGTAATCAACACGGCACCAAGCCAAGGAATGAGGTCTGAGATGATGAAGAGGCTTCGTGGGGGAGATACAGCGGCTACAACGGCTTGGAGCAAGCCTCCGACAGCAGCTGTGAAGAGATAGACGGTCCAGAACGTCCATAGTTTCTTCCGAGGAATTTGGGCAGCTTCGGAATATTTGGATTCTTGGGCAAAGGCACTACACCACGACGGGCGGCGGCGTATCAGTGGGCGAGCGACGACGAGACACCACAGGAAGACTGCGATACCAGCGCGAACGAGATTCGTAAACTGCATGACTCTGGCAGCATCGAAGAAGTCTGTCGTGGCCAAGGTAGAATTGTTGTGCTTCGCGTGAGGAAAAGTATGCAGCGATGGGCCGCCGAAGACATCTTGAAGGGCGACATAGCTATAGAATGCCACTCCACGGCCACCTTGCCCTGTCAGGCTCTCCTCAAAGTTTACGTAGCTACCCATGGTGGAGGAAGTTTGGCAGCTACCGTGGATTGACACGTTTGGAACCGTGGTCGCGACACCATTAAGCCTTCAGCCGCGGGGTCGTGAACCAGGAGGAATGTTGAGATTGTTGCAGATGCTGTACGGGTACGGGTTCCGATTCACCGCTCTGCATGAAGTCCCATTCGCTACTGAGTATTGCCGAATCCTGCACCTGACCTTTCACGTGTTTTTTATTTTTCCTTTCTCCGAAATAACAGCATTGTGTGTGCCATGTTCTCAGAGAGAGCCATTGACCGACCGCATTCGGTCGGGTGTATGTTTCAAAATCGGATGAAAAGGTGATGTTGTAGAAAATAAGGCTGCGAACAATAACACCTAGGTTCGTTTTTGGACAATGGACCAGCTGGTAACGAACCAGAGCGTCCCAAAGGCTTTCCGGCTCCCGCTACTCAGGTACCGGAGCAAATTGATTGAGACAAGACTAAGCGCCGATGTTTTTGCGGCTGATGACATAATGATCCACATCCCCTGGAGGGGCTCAAGCTTCTCAATCACCGGCCTAATGCCGGTAGACCGGTGGACAGGTTCTTCCGGGCCAAGATCCGAGTTCATCCCCGGAATTAAGAACGAGATGGACCCCACAATACGAACCCGAACCCGATACATCAACCATGCATGATGCCTCGGTTCCCGCCAACACCAAGGATCTGCATCGTTAACCCGTGGTGATTAACTAGAAATACTCCAAGCGAGGGGCCACACTTGGCTTGCACCATGTGCGTGTGTGGGACCCCCGCACTGAATAGCCACCATTCAACGGCTCTAGAGATTGGCTTATACGACAAAGACATGGACCGCCTGTGGACCTTGCGCAACACTTCAGGGGCTTGCGATGGACCAGACACTCCTGGCGTAGGATCTGTGGCTATACGAGCCCTGCTTCTGACGAACCTGTGTTTGCGTACGTTGCCCAGCAGAAAGATGGACTCTCCTACATAAAGTGGCAAGCCAGTCGCTTCGTCCAAAGAAGATCAGTCCCCTCTCCCTTCAGTTCGTCTCATTTTGCACAGACATATATCCAACATGTCGAACCTGAGCGATACTGTCAACCCGGCCGTCGCCTTTGACGACCAAATCTCGAAGCACCTCCCAGCAGTCACTGCTGGCTTGGTATTCATTGTCTTTGCGTGGTTGGCTCAAAGTTGGTTTAAGGTTGACCCGCTCGCCAACGTTCCCGTCGTCGGGGGACAGGGCGGAGCATGGAAGCGGAGGAAGGAATTCGCTCAGGGTAAGGGAGCGGATTACTACATTGAAGGTTACCGGAAGGCAGGTTCACTTTTTATATGTTGGTCTTTGGTTATTTGGCTGACTGCTTTTACAGTTCAAGGACCGCGTTTTCCGTGTCACCACACTGAGGAGTAAAGCCAACCCCCCGCTAAACAAAATCCCCACAACATTGTACTGACCTTCACTTAGAGCGTGACACCGTATGCGTTCCCACGAAGTATCTTCCCGACCTCAAGAAACTCCCAGACGATGTTCTCAGCTTCACAAAGGCCATTGATGAGGTATGTGGCACGTCACTCACTCCTGCCCCTCCTGCTAACTTTTTAGTCAATGCAAGTCAAGTACACCAAGGTCGAGACCGATACTCCCCTCATCGTACACACAGTCAGAGCATCATTGACCCCAGCGCTTCGTAAGTTTGTCCCCCCCACCAAGATATCATACTAACCCCAACCCTAGCCCGCATCAATGAACTCGTCGCCGACGAAGTAGCTGAGTCGATGCGCCTCGAGCTGCCACAATCCCAAGAATGGACCGAAGTAAACATCAACTCAAAGCTCCTTCGCATCGTAGCCATGGCCTCCGGTCGCGTCTTCATCGGTCCCGAACTCTGCAGAGACGAGAGATACATCGATGCCTCCATCAACTACACGGTCGACCTCATGACCGCCGTCCACATGGTCTCCTTCCTGCCCGGTCCGCTCCGCCCATTCGTCGCTCCCTTCTTGCCTCCCCTCAAGAAGCTAAACCGCCGCATTGCCGAGGCCGAGGCAGTCTTCCGCCCCATCGTGGAGGCCCGCAGACAGGCCAAGGCGGAGAAGGGAGACGACTACCAGGAACCCGACGACATGCTTCAATGGATGATGAACGCCCCCGCCAAGTTCGGAGAGGTCGACAATCGAACCATGGCCCAGAACCAGCTGGGTATCAGCTTTGCCGCCATCCACACGACCTCGTTGACGACGACGAACGCTTTCTATTGGCTTGCCGCTAAGCCTGAGCTGATCCCGATCCTGAGAGACGACGTTCAGCAGGCATTGCTCGAGTCTGGAGGCCAATTCTCGAGCCCGGCGCTGCAGAACATGAAGAAGCTGGACAGTTTCCTCAGGGAGGTGCTTCGTTGCTCCCCGCTCTCCGCTGGTAAGTCTATTGTCCCCCCCCCCCCCCCCCACCCTTGCTGACTCTCATCCTCCGAGTCCCCTCTACGAATGCTAACTTTTTTTTTTTTTTCTTTCTCCAAGGTTCCTTCCAGCGCAAGGTCCTCAAGTCATTCAAGCTCCCCGACGGTCAGATCATCCCCGAGGACGTAGTCATCGAAGTACCCGCCGGCGGTATGAACCTCGACGACGAGATCTTCCCCAACGCCGCGGAGTTCGATGCTCTTCGCTACTACAAGCTCCGCATGGCCAAGGAGGAGGCCGAATCCGGCGCAAAGGCGGCCGAGGTTGTCGCCCAGAGCCAGTTCGTCAGTGTCGGCGCGTCTCACCTCACCTTTGGCTACGGACGCCACGCCTGTCCCGGTCGCTTCTTTGCCGTCAACGAGATCAAGATGATCATGGCCAACATCTTGTGCAACTACGAGATTAAGCTGCCGGACGGCGTGACCGAGAGATACGAGAACCTCAAGTTCGGCGCGAGTGTAAGTGATTTATGTCTCTTGAGGTATTCGAAACGAAAACTAACAAAGGCTTTATGTAGTCTATGCCCGATCCCAGCAAGACCGTCATGATCAGGAAAATTTAGCTCGGCGAGGAGTTGAACATGTTATTTTTCTTTAGGGTCATGTTCACCATTGTTCCATTTGCGTAAGGAGGGATATGTCAGGATTTTTTTTGGTTTATTATAGCATACGAGGCAACCTTAGGGCAACGACTACTCATCATAGTGAGGAAGGGGGTATCAATTCAAGGATCCATATCATCAACGTCAATCTGTTCCATCACGCTTTTCTTGGGCCACTCAATCCAGGGACGCCATTTATCATCAATGACTTCATCAATCATGAGCATGGCGCCCTTGCTCCATCCCCCTGAGGCCCAGTCTCCATGCTCGCAAAGCCTAGACAGCGCGAGAAAGTGGGCCAGAATCACCAGCGCGGTTGGGTGTTCGTTGCCAATCATGTCGATGAAGAGAGCGGGCAAAGTGACCGACCAGCCCCAAACGCCACCTGGCGTGTTTCCCTCGGTCTTGACCAGCTGGTGCGATCTCCGCAGAGACTCAAGCGCTAGGACACAGACGGTCTGCTCGTTGATTACGTCGTGGAATGTCGCGGGAACCTCCCTCGCGAGGTTGGTCACGATGTCTAGCCTCTTTTGAAACACACTTCCGGCTTTGATGCCGGGAGCGACCTGCGGTATGCGCAGCAGCATGTCAAGCGGCCCGCCTCGTTGTCTCCATTCATCCAAAGGCTGAAAATCTAGAATACCTTTTACGCCGTGGAGGAACCGGAAGGACTGTGCAACGTCGCCGAGACCCACCGGTCGGCCGATGGTGTCGGCGTGGGCCACTGAATAGATACTCACGATGAAGATAAGCGAGGCAAGGAAGAAGTAGGCCTCGCAGTTAGTCTTGTCAATGTCATTCAGTCGGGTCGCAAAAAACCGCAGCGCAGTGTTCTGATGGTGCACCGAGATGATGTCCCACTTTCTACGCTCTTCCGGGTGGACATGGGCGTAATGGAGGGCGGCAACGGCAAGGAGGCCGTGCATGAGAAATTTCTACCGTGCGACAAGATAAAGTTAGTGGTGCATTTCTTGTATGAGATAGACTTCTCACGGCAGACGGGAAGCAGGGGAGGGGGGTTGTGAGGGGGAAATTTTACATGGGAGCATGCCATCTCGGGTATAGCCGTCTTCCACAGCTCTTCGGTGCAAGAGTCTTTGAGAGTGTTGCTCGTAACGGTGCTGTAGTGGTGCATCAGACGCAGACTCTGTAACCAATCCTCAGAAAGGTCTAGAGGGTCTGCTGCGGCGTCGGCGGCAGGGCGGGAATCAAGTTCTGGGTCACCTGAGTATGGTGACGTGCTCACTGGGGATAGACTTCAGTGAACTTGACCACGATGAAAATAATGCAGATCGATTTGATCCTTACCTGCTGTCGGTGTAAAACTTGTGTCGCTCGCGGCGGCTGTCATTGGCGGCGGTGGTGGTTCTCGCATCACAAGGGACGCTTGGATCGGGACATGTTGCCCTACAGACCTGTAGCTCGCGGGTGGCGTAGGTGGCGCCGTCGCAGACGGGAGGGGATCTAGAAGACTGCAATGTGTGCCATGGGCGACGCATCTATGGCACGGTCGGTTCTCGTCACACTGCGGCGGATGTCAAATGACTCTCCTAAAAAGGTCTCTTTTCTTCACTTCAATCGATACGGAAATCATCGTACCTTGACACGGCGAGCCTTACAACGGAGACAGCCATTCCTGGATTTTTTGTGGCCCAGACGTCGGGTACGCTTCTCCATGGTTGATGAATCGCAACGTGGAAGAGCGAAATGACATTCGTTTGGTGGATCAGGAAGCGGAACGGGTTCGCGTTCGTATATGGGAGAAAGAGGGGAGAGAAGGGAGTTAGCTAGGTTGATAAATGGCTGAGAAAAGAGAATACGAGCACAATCCCACCCAATAAGGGGTCTGGCGAATCCCGAATACGGCACTGGCATGCCACTAATTTGTGGGTATTAATCCACAGACAAAGGGAGACACGTAAATGGCGCTATTTGCGGGGGGCAAGTTCCGACCGCTCAGAGATGGAGAAATACGATCACACATGCCTCTTGGATGCGAACCCGAGGTGTGAGTTTCATGTTTTGAGATGATGCTTGGCCAGCAGTTGATCTGCAAAGCTTTCCAGTTCGGGAGAAGAAACAATGTCCGTGCTGACCAAAGATATTGTATTAATCCCGATAGGACAAGTTTGACATTGGACGTTTGTCAAGACGTTTGACTAGTTGCACGTGGATTTCGTCTCAAAAGGACAAGCTCCGACATGTTTATTCACGACTTTCGACGTTTGTTGATGTTTACCGAAACGTGTGCGTGGCTCTTCATGAAATGAACGTCAAAAAGATGAGTTCCAAAAATGCTAGTTGAAATGTCGCGGCGTGACTATGCGTGGATTTTGCATAATGTGGCATCGTATTCGTAATAACCCTCCAATTTTCGGGTTTTTTGTACACATTGTAGAGTAGGTATACAGGGCTTGTCTTGCGTGTGCCTCGGCGCGGGGCAAAAGATACTTTTTTCCAAAACGAATACTGCACGAAAGAATCGTGAGAGCTAATTGAGCTCGAGAGTAGAATCCGTAATTAATCGAATGATGGTTGGGTTGGGTTTAATCAAGTATCGCAACTGCCATCTAACATTGTTAATTTGTCAAAACCACAAGGAGTAGCAAGCACGTAGATGGTCAACGTTGCAAGGTTAGGAGTCCGCCTATTACCCAAGCCCACGGCAAGATGAAACAACATCTTGAGGTACGTGAAATGTTGGAAGTATTGTAATCCAACGTTACAAATGTCGTTTGCTCTTTAAAATCTTGCCTTATTGTTGCTTTGAATTGAAGAGAAATACGGAAAGTGGGGTTAGAGGTGCCTCCAATGTATATATGTACGAGCTCCAGCTGCACTAACAATTTCCCCATCCCATTTCAGCATTCGAACGGTTTGCAGCTGCATGCTTAAAGGGAAGGGGCGCCTGCCTGCTACTGTCGAGCTTTGATCAAATCGACAGCCTGCGCCGGATCAAGTCAGCCAAAGTCACACCTTTCGACGCTCACAAAGACAAAGACGACTTACCTTCTCCGCCAACATGTAGACCGTCTGCTGCGTATTCGCTCCAGGCAGTAACGGCATGATGCTGCCATCCACTACACTGAGCCTTTCCGTTCCATGCACCACAAGATCCTCCCCAACCACGCCTCCCATCTCGAGCGGTTTCTTGGCCGCCGTTGCGATCGGATGAAAATTGGTCGGGATATACTGTTGCCGAATCCAGCTCTTCAGCGCCTCCCCTGTCACCGTCTTCCCTGGAGATGTCTCTCTCGGCCTATACTGAGCAAAATCCGGGCTCGCCATGTACTTGCGCATGTACTCGATGTTTTCAACCATGATTTCCATATCTGTCGGGTTGCTTAGTGCGCGGTAGTCCACAATGGGTTCGGCCTCTGGGTTTGTAGGATCAATGTTGATAGTTCCGTGGCTAACAACATGCATGCTCATCACAATGCCCCCCGCCCCGCCCATAAGCGGTAACCACATCAAGTTGGTATTCTTGCTACGCAGCAATCTGGCGTGTAGCTTCTGAAACGAAGCATAACCTGCAATAACCGTTGGGTGCGTCCCCTCAGGCAAGAACTCCGCCGGGTCCTGTGCCTCATATCTGGCCGCAATCTCCTCGAAATCCTCCGTCATGGTCGGCAGGCCGATCCATGCACCCAAGTTCGGCGCCGCTACGCTTCGCAAATCGCCATTCGCAGGCACATCCGGCCCCTTCGGGCTACCGTTGCCCCATTGGTATCCGACGCTCAAATAAGCGTGGTCCTGGAAGTTCTGGCCAACGCCGGGGATGTCGAGCAGCACCGGGATGCCGGCCTTTTCAAGAAGCGGTTTAGGACCGATACCGCTAAGCTGCAAGACCTGAGGGGTATGAACGGCGCCGGCGGCAATAATGACCTCCTTATTCGCCTTCACAGTGACGGATTGCCCGTCAGCGTCTCGAGAGAAGAACTCGACTCCAATCGCGGTCGTTCCATCAAAGAGGATTTTGCGTACTTTGTGCCGAGTGATAACCTCGAAGTTGGACCTCTCAATATCATCGTAGTGTCCAGTTCGTGAGTACGATCTTCTGTACGTCTTGGGGTCGATTGAGGAAGGGTACCAGAAGAGGCCGTTATCACCACCTGCGCCGTCGAGCGGTACGTTCATCCTTGGTAACTTTTTTACCGCCTGGTATGTAGGAACTAAGGCAAGTTAGCGTATTCGGAAATTTCTTTTAGGCTTGCGTACTCAGCGTAGGATTTTGGTACTCAGGGAAAGAAGCAAAAATCTTGGTGTTTTCTTCCATGCCCCAGGCTTCTGGGTCCCAGGTGATGTTGAACGCGTCGGCAAGCTCTTCCTTGGGTGGCGTAAAGTGAACAGCCTACAACGTATGCTGATTAGTGGTCAAGGATGACGTGATTACGGACGTTGGTACCTTCTTGAAGTACGGCAGGACGCCATCCCAATCCCAAGTCGAATTTGGTCCTCCGAGCTCTGCCCAGCCGTCATACTCGATCTTAGTTCCGCGAACCATGACCATTCCATTGATGGCTGAGCTGCCGCCGACGCAACAGCCTATCCAGACAAACTGCGTCCGGTTATTCATCTCTGGTTGTGGAACTGAGCTAATGTTGTATCGAATGCCGGGGTCGTTGAAGTTTCGGCCCTGGCCAGCTTCAATAACCTCGTCTGATACTAGAAGTTGGTGTTAGTTAAGCTAATCGATATCCTGGCCTCTTTCTCAACCCAGACATACTCAAATGACAGTACTCGATCACGAGTACGGAGTCTGGAAATTGACGGTGAGCAACATCACACCCCAGCCATGGGTTCTCGTCACTGACGCTGTCCATCCTCACTCAGCCTATCCGCAACTGTTAACCCTGCTGTTCCTGCCCCAACTACGATATAGTCGTATGAGTCTTTGACTTGTTCAGTTCGTTCAAGAATTGTTGCGGACTCCAAGAGCAATGGCTTTGCGATAGCCGGCGACACCATCAGCAGAGCGGCTGCGCCCGCGAACGCGACAACGGATTGAAGCATCATGGCACGAAACTGGATACTTCTCTTCCTGCAGATCGGTGGCGCCGTCCCGGACGATTCACCTCAGGAGAAATGCCCCGGCTTTTAAAGTCGATCATACTGCAATGCCTAGAAGTCTACAGCCAAATGCGTCGTTGCCAGCAAACACTTTTCCATCCAACAATTAATCAAGGCATTATAGCTGTCAGCAAACAATGCGGGGGATCACGCAGGTAGTGCAACCTACGCCTCGGACTCACGTTGGCGATGCAACCGCCCAACGCCTCTGAATGAAAGTCGGCGAGCGCTATTGGATGAGCCAGACTTTGGTACCTGTGGGGTGAAGATGACCGACGTCGAAAGGGCATCTCCATCCATTGCCGGCCGATGCCAAGCTGCAACGGATTCATCCATGTGCGGTCAGCACAAACCATGTGGCCTACACCAGCCTGGCGTACCACAAAGACCTCGACGCAGGTGTCGAATTGGGATTATAGAAATCAGGGTGGAAAGCCTGTACGTAAAACCGTCGGATGTTCCTGCCAAGAACCAAGAGCTGCAAGTTCCCGGCCCCCCTGCAGGTCACACAAAGCATCTCCTCATTTCAAAAAGCAAAGTTGGTTTCTGCTAATTACGTCGGGTCTCGCGCATTTGAATCGGCCGAGTGGCCATTTAGTTATTCACCCCTTGTCACCGTTGGCACTCTATTCTCTTGTTGGCTTTACACCAACCTTCACTCTGTCTTCCGGTGTATTTTAGTACATGTGCTAATGATCGTTGATACTAAGGAACAATCAAGCAATCAACAACCCTTCTCATAGAAATGGTGTCATTTCGGTGCCCTGGATAAGCTGCAACAAGGAATTGTCCTCCGCGATTCTGATATTCGTGACCACGACGCATCCCAACGGCCTCCGAAGCCGGTGGTCCCAAATCGCAAATACGAAGATGCACGTCTGCTTAGCGCGGGTAGCATGCACTCGATATCACCAAGGCATGGATATTAAGTGCTGGGTAGATAACCCAAGCTCAAGATGGCAGGTCGATGCAAAGTTGCAAAGTTACAAATGGCGGGCTTTTGGCTTGGCTTCCGTGCTAAGGTTCCTTTGAGAGTGGGGATGTCACCTCGTCGACTGCCCAAAGTGGGCAAAACTGCTGGGGAGAGACCATCTGCTGATATTCGATACGAGATCGTCAGAAGAAATCGGCATCGCGCAAGCTACAGCTCAGACCGCTTGGGATTCTGATAAAAGACGGACAGCATCCGGCAATGTTCTGGATATGAGGTTGAGAGTGAGAGTCAGGCATTGACCATCAATTCCACCGTGCCTGGATTTGGACATCATTCGCTTAAGTTCCAACCATGCGCATCACAGGTGCCCTCATCTCTGCGCTGGCCTTGGCCGGCACAGGAGTCGCCAATGTTTCTCGACGAGCTGTCGAAGACGACGTCCGTCCTTCCAATGATACTGCTGTAGTGCCCAAGAAGTTCATCCTCGAGGTTGAGCAGGTGAGTATTTGAGGCGTTTGGGGGCACAGTTAGATGCTAATAAACCTCTGCAAGGGAGCCGACAAAGACGCCCTTGTTAAACAAATCGAGACCAAGGGCGGCAGCAAGGTTCTCAAGGTCTTTGACTCGTCCGTTTTCAGCGGTCTTGCCGTTGAGTCTGACGTTGAGAATACCGATACTCTAGAGTCCCTTCTGCCCGTTGTCAAGGCGTGGCACTCTACTCGCATCCAGCTCGCACCTGTCGTCACTGGTGAGTCTTACAGTGATGATGCTACTGCGCTCAACTACTCCATCCACTGGATGACTGGTGTCGACAAGCTGCATGAGCAGGGCATCTTTGGCAAGGGAGTCAAGGTAGGTGTCGTAGACACCGGCACTGAATACACGCATCCTGCTGTGAGTTAACCTTGCTTGACCGCCACTTTTGCACTGCTAACGGGCCATTTGCAGCTGGGAGGATGCTTTGGAGAAGGCTGCAAGGTTGCTGGTGGATATGATTTCGTCGGAGATAACAGTAAGTCTTGGTTGCGTGACTCTTAGGGAACTGATTCAACTGACACTTTGTTAAAAGCCTACTGGCCGTACCCTGGAGAGGTGAGACAGCCCGATGAAGACCCCTTGGACTCGGCCGGTCACGGAACCCACGTTGCTGGTATTATCGCCGGTAAGAGTGAGCAGTAAGTGACAGTGTCGGCCGAAAAACCCAATCATCCGCTCACCGGTATCCCTAGGTTTACCGGAGTCGCCCCTGAAGCCACTATCTACTCGTACAAGGTCTTCGGTCCTAATGTAAGCCTCTACGTATCTCCAGCTGAACTTCGCCCCTGACAGCCACCTAGGAAGGTACCAGCGAAGAAGTCCTGATTGAAGCATTCCTCCGCGCTTTCGACGATGGCGTCGACATTATCACGGCCTCTGTCGGTTCCACTGGTGGCTGGTCTAACAACGCTTGGGCCCTTGTCGCAGACCGCATCGTTCAGCAAGGTGTCGTTGTCACCATCGCCGCCGGAAACTCAGGCGAAGTCGGTGCATTCTTCCCCAGCAGCGGCGCCGCCGGCAAGGAGGTCCTCGCCATCGGCTCCGCCGACGCGTCCATCGTCTCAGCCCGCCAGTTCGCTGCAACTTTCAACCTTGACGGCCAGTCCAACCGCACCATTCTTGGCTACCGCCCGGCCGAGGAGCAGTTCCCTCCCGAAGTTGTTGGCTGGCCTATCGTGCCGGTCACTCTCAACATCAGCGTCGAGAACGATGCCTGCCAGCCCTTGCCGGAGGATGTGAACTTCAACAACACCATCCCGCTGGTGCGCTTTGACGAGGGCTGTGCTGACTGGCAGCGACAGCGATGGGTTCAGGAACGAGGCGCCAGATTCATGCTCTTCTATCTTACAGATAGGCCTGTACTCGGCTCATCCGGACAAGGCTGGGCGCAGAGCGACTGGGGTCTCTTGTCCAAGGACGCTGGCGAGGCCATTGTCAAGACCTACATTGACGGAGGCAATGTCACCGCCGATTTCTCCCTAGACCAGAACAACAACTACGTCGCCATGTACAACTCCGGCGGTGGAAAGCCTTCCGTTTTCACGTCCTGGGGAGGTAAGTCGTGCAAACCCCTGGGAATCCAACCAGCGAACAGGCAATCTCACTTAAAAATACAGGTACTTTCGACCTCGAGTTGAAGCCCGACATCACTGCCCCCGGCGGCCGCATCTTCGCCCCTTTCGTCGGCAAGCGCTGGCGTGATCTCTCCGGCACTAGCATGGCCTGCCCTTACGTTGCCGGTGTTGCAGCCCTCTACATCTCCGCACACGGTGGCCGTTCCGTCCACGGTGCCGGCTTCGCCAGAACCCTTCACGCCCGCATCTCCGCCTCCGGACGCGCACTCCCCTGGTCCGACGGCAGCACCAAGGACTATGGCTTCTGGGCCTCCCCTCTCCAAGTTGGTAGCGGTCTCATTGACGCCCTGGCCGTTATCAACTCCACCTCGCAGCTATCCGGAGAGATCAAGTTCGCCCTCAACGATACGCACCACTTCTCTCGCTACCACCAGGTGGACATCACCAACACTGGCACCACGGAGATCGAATACAAGTTCCAGGTGCAGAACGCCGCTGGTTTCGAGTCCTACTGGACCGCCGAGGCCGCCGGCAACCCAAGCATCATTGGCGCCCCTCGTTTCAAAGACTTTGTGGAGCTTGTGCCGATCAAGATTGACGCCGCTGTGAGCTTGCCGTCGGGTTCGTTCAAGGTTGGGCCTGGTGAGACCAAGACCGCCAAGTAAGTCGCTGCGTATTCGAACGAGGCGTCGTGAACTGACACGTAGACCAGGTTTTCTTTCGACATTCCCCAGGGCCTCAACGCGACAAGACTGCCCGTATGGGGTGGCAAGATTCTCATCAGCTCCAACAACGGCGATGTGCTTTCGGTGCCCTATTACGGTTAGTTGAACCTCGCGCTTCCGGGTGTCATAATGCTGTATTGACGAGTGTCCTCGCAGGTGTCGGCGGCAGCATCAAGCATGAAATCGCTGATATGTTCTACTCATCAATGGGCTACCCGCGCATCGCCTCTGGCGTCAACCGGACCCTTATTTCCGAGAAGTCGAGGTAAGCAGCTATCAATCGCGCTCTCGATTGTATGCACACTAACTGGTGTGGTGAATAGCTTTGCTTTCGACCTTTCCCTCGCGGCCCAGGATTTCCCCAGACTCCAAGTTGCCCTTACCTGGGGTACTCGTGAGCTGAGGTGGGATGTAAGTGTTTTCCTTGACCCAGACTACCTCAATTTGAACATTTCACCCCTCTGACTGGAGATGTTAGGTCTACGAGCCGACCTACCAAGAGCGCGAATGGGTCTACCCCCCAGTCGCCGGCAAGAACAAGTACATTGGCTCTGTCGCCGCTTTTGACGTCTATAACACCCCCAACTACCCCAACTTCGACCCTGCCAGCGACAGCGTGAACAACTCCTTCGCCTACCCGCTGCAAGACCAGCCCCGTGATTCGCCTTATGAGTCGTGGTGGCTCGGTAAGCTGGCTGACGGGTCCCAGATCAAGCCCGGAAAATACAAGTAAGTTTGGCTCGTATTTTTTTTTTGCTTCTTCCAGTCATAGGCCTCAGTCGTTCTAACTCTCAAACTTATAGGTTCCGTGTCGCTGCTCTGAAACCCTTTGGTAACCCCAAGGCGTCGGACAACTGGGAGATATTCGATACCCCCGTCATCGAGGTCCTGCCGCTCCCGGGCAATTCTACCGCTGCGCTCCGTCATTAAAAGATGTGACGCCAGAGAGAGAGTGTGTGTGTGTTTCTGAGTTGCATGCACTTGCAGCTTGAGGTTAGTAATTGGCTATCAATACAGATATAACATCAAGTATATGCTTCTGCTTCTAAACCCTCTCTCATGTGGGCCCGTGACTGTTCTTTCCCCATGACCGAACGACACCAAGTCATCCTTTGTCTTCCAATACACACGGCCCACATCGGGTTCAATGCCATCTTTGTCAAAGACCATCCATCCCATTCACCCAGTGACCCACCGCACATCTCTCTGTGTTCTTGATGGAAAAGTTGTACCATGAGGAATAATAATATACAACACCATTGGAGAAAAAAATTAGAAAAAAAAAAGAAAAAAAAAAGAAAAAGTCAATCACGATAATTCTGCAAAAGAAGAAGAGGTCACCAAATTATCCAGTAAAAGAAAGAAAAGAACAAAAAGGATATTCCGGAACGGGGAATTGAACCCCGAGCCTGACGGCAGCCCTCGTATGAGAGCGTCAAATGTTGACCATTACACCATTCCGGATATTTGACTTGTTGATGAGAAAAATGTGACATGAGCCAGTTTATCATGGGCGGGTGCTCAAAGCAGCCCCCCCCCCCAACGTTGAGGAGGGTCCGGTCCCACAGAACCCAACCCAACCCCCCCCCCCCCCCCCCTTTGAAAAGAAAAAGAAAAAAAGAAAGTCTTGGTGGGTGGGGATGCTAATATTATAGTATACATAGTAGTATATTCCTGGGCAAAAATCCGCAATGTTCCGCTTGATGTGAGCGAGCGGTGTGCGGAGTACGATGATTGGCTTCATTTTTTTTTTTTTTTCAAAGGGAGACCCAAGCGGTAAAGGGAGTTTCCGAGACAAATTCACACTCACTGCAAGGCTTCACAATGTTGCAACAGACTCAAATTTTTGAAAATATTATTCGTGATTTGAAATTTGATTTGGGGAAAAAAAAAAAAAGAATGAACATAACGTGATTCTAATCTAAAGCTTATCCATGAACGTTTGTTGTTTGTCGTCATGATAGTTTCGCCTCCTTTCCCGAATTGGGGGTATGTAAAACAAATAAACATACGAGACGTCAAGGATCTCCTCTGCCTCCATCCTGTCTCGTCTCTTTCCTGTGATCAACGCGCGCAGTCCGTGGGCCATTAACGAACGCTTTTTCTATGTGTATATAAAAAAGTTATACATCATTATACAATCCAAAACAGGCTCCATGAAAAAATTGAGTAAGTGAGAGAACCGGCCCTGACCCGACATGACATGAGGCGGCGGTGGGGCACGCCTCGGGGTATTTTGATTTTTCGCAATCGCATATACTCTCCTCCGTCTTAAGGCTTTGACACCTGCTCCTTTCTGAAGAACTTGAAGAACAAGATGGGTATCACCAGCTGGAATCCCAGGCAGATCCAGAACCACCAACTTGCAACTCCGGGCATCAGACCCTGCGAAAAGTCAGGGAAGGTCGTGTTGGGCGACAGCGCGTTGGGACTCGTCGCGCGCGCCAGCATCGTGAAGGCACTGCCCACGATTTGTGCGCCGATGAGCACGGCCAACACGTGCTGGCGCGTAAGCGTTGCGAGCAGCATCATACCCAGACCGACACCCTGGATGTTGTCCAGGAGGCCGAGCCAGAGCCAGAGGCAGCGGGAAAGGATGGCCGAACCAACAGGACCACCAGCCCAGGGGAGGTACATTCCCATACTGCTGGTACCCCAGAGCATCTGCGCCCAGCGAGGAGCACAGAGACCGATGGCGAAAATAGGCAGGAGCCAGGTGTGACTCTCCGAGAAGTGGGAAAAGACGTAGAGAATAATGGACCAGAGGATAACAAAGAATCCCAGTGCGAGGAGTACGACGCCCCAGCCGGGGATCCACTGAGAAGCGAAGAGGAACTGCCAGTTACGTCCGTAAGGAGCCGACAGCCAGTAGTTCTGGATAATGATCATGACGAAGAAGACCGGGACAAGCTTGCGGCGGATAAGAGAGATGTAGAAGCCAGGAATGTTGTCAGGAGCCTGGCGGTAGTAGTCGGGAAGGCCAAGGAAGAGGATGATACCAATGGCCCAGAGCAAGAGAGCAACAGGAATACAAACGACAAGACCCAAGGGGATGGTAGTGCCGTCGATGTAGGCCATGGGCGATGTCTCGGGGGTGTGGGTGAGGGAACCCCAGTACCAGAGCATCAGGGAGTAAACTTGCGCAACGCCGGCAACCGCCAACGCACGCATAATCCATTGCTTCGTGGGAGCTCCGCCTTCGTCACCAAAGTTCAGGGCGAAGGAGAGAGCACCAGCGCTAGCACCAGCTGCGTAGATGGCAGTGGCGGCATCTTGCATGGCAGCGCTAGCCTGCCAAGGGGACAACAACGGAGACACACCCAAGAGGATGAAGGCCAGACCAAAGAAGAACCAGGGAAGCGACAGGGCGTAGACGGACTTGGTTAGACGAACCATGAGCCACCACAGGGCAGAGGTGACCAAGTAAGTCGCGGCAACGATGTAAAGTTTAAGAGGCGTCTGGTTGGTCTCACCAGTAAGAAGGACGATCTGGTAAGAGTTGATAGAAATGACCTGGCTGAAGGCAAGGAAGAAGGCGTAAATGGGCCAGTCGCCGATGCGAATGGACAGAATCCTAAAAATGGTCAGCTGCGGAGAATTATCCGGTGTACCTAGGCGAACTCACTTCTTGAGACCAGTGGGTGTCTTGTAGTTGTCACCCAGCAGGAACTCATCGTCAACAGGGCTGTCGTCGTAGCGAGACGCGTTGGTGAGTCCGCTGGGAGTGCGGCTACGGCCACGCTCTCCGTCGAATTTGGCACCAAGACCAGCGCTGGAACCGGGGCGGCTAGGGTTCGGGCTTCTTGAGCGGCTGTGGTCTCTGCGACCAAGCTTGGCATCACGGTATCTGGCAAACCACTTCTTTTCACTCTTCTGGAGGAAGTTCTCAATGCAAAGGTCGTTGATGGAGTTCTTAGCAGTCAGGTCGTTGAGCATCTGTTCGAACTCATGGTAGAACTCTCCATTCTTATCAGTGAAGTTCTGGTCCACGTTCTGCAGCTTGAGATCGTGGCGGTCACCAACGATGTCAGGCAACGACAGTTGAGAGCTGTTGCGTTGCTGCTTGTAGAAGCTTGGCTGGGGAAGGCCAAGGTCACCAAAGCCGGTGGCCTGAGGAGACGAAATGTCGTTCTGAGCACGGATGGCAAAGCTGTCAACGCTCATCATACTCTCACGGCCACCGCCAACAGAACTCGAGAAAGAGCTGCGGCGGGAGGAAGGAATGCTGTGCCACGGCAGGTTAGGAACAGGGAGATCAGGAGAGTTGAGGCGGCCGGCGGGGCTGGCAACGCGAGTAGGCGGCGGCAGAGGAGACGGGGCTCTTGAGCCGGAAGGCGTCAACTCAGCGCCGTACTCACTCACGGCAACGCTGGAGCGGAGAGAGGAGTCGGTGAGGTTACGAATGCCACCAGCCTTCTTCTGCTTGGCAGCTTCCTTCTTGTGAACCTTGATAGAATCGTTGTAGAGGGTATCCAGTTGTCTAATCCATTGAGCGACAGGGAAACGTTGTTTGGCACTCCAGGCGCGCATGAGAGCTCGCTTTCTCGGCTTGCAGTTGAGAGCGGAAACAATAGCCTGTTTGAACTGCTGAAGCATATGGGCAGGAGTCATCGATTCGACAGTGAACCAGAAACCGGGCATTTGACCAAGACCACCGACACGAGCGCCGACACCCAGGGCACCCTTACGACCGAATTCGACAGCGACGAGACCGAAGGGCTCGTCACGCGAAGGAATCAGGGCGAACTCGGCACCAGAGAAGATGTAGGGAGGTAGTTGGGTGAACTCGGGCTTGCTGAAGACACGCTTGGGGTACTTCTCCATAAGCTTGCTCAACTTCAAAGCAGCGAACTTGCCGTAGAGATCGATAACAGGACCAATGCAGATAAGCTGGGTGGACGGGTACTTCTCGAGAATGGTAGGGAAGATATCGGCAATCAAGTCGACACCCTTCTGCAAACTCCATCGACCGACGAAGACGAACAAGTCGGCGTTGGGGTTAACTTCAAGACCGGCCCACTCTTGGGCTTGTCTTCGGAGAGTCGCGCGGTTCGCCTCAAAGGTCTCATCAATCTTGATTTCATCTGTGTGGTTGGAGATGTCCTCCTCGGGGTTCCACTCGCCAGTATCGGAAGGATCGGGGTTGGGTAGCTGACCAATGTTCTTCAAACTCCAGAAAATAGGGTAACGAGCGAGGGAACGGTCACCATACTTCTTTGACACACCAACAGCACCAAAGCCACGCTGGTGAATACGGAGGTAGCTGGCAGCAGCGTGGAGCAAGTTGAAGGCGGAACCATACTGGACGTAATCCTTGACGACCTTGGGAGGAAGGTTGAAGACGCTGTAGACTTCCTTCTGCTCCTCCTCGGTTCTCATAGGCCACATGCCCTGGAACTCGGCGTTGTGGAGAGACAAACAAACGGGGACGGTATCGGGGAGCAGGTAGAGAGGGGCTGCGGCGCCGTGGTAATCGTTGATGTGGTAGATGTCGACGTTGAAACGGCGGATGGACTCGGCGATACAGCTGTTCCAGGCACAATACAAGACGGCACTCTCGAGATCGTCCATGCGGGCAATGTAGGGATCGGCCTTGGTCTGCTGGCGGAAAATCGGAGCATCGAGGATAACGTACGTAATGTTCTTGAAGACGTGGTAAAAGACCTTGACCTCGTAGGACTCGCCCATGATCTCTACAAACATCGGTTCGGCCTCGTTGTCGAGAGGATAATCGACGTCGCCGACGCAAGGAACAACCCAGATGAGGTCGACATGGCCAAGGGCTTGACTCATGAGCTTAGCCATAACACCGAGACCACCGATCTTAATGCTAATCTTCCAGTCGTCGATGTTGTACTCCATGGTAGCGATGAGGACCTTTCTCCGGGGGGCGCCGCCGGTGGCCGCCGCGGCTGCGGGTGTGACGATCGGAGACGGAGGGATCTGCGACATCTCGAGACTTTTGCCTTTTTCGCCGAAGTTAATGTTGGACTCATTCCCGAGCTTGAGTGGTAACCAACCCTTCTTGGAGAATCCTGATTTGTTAATCTTGACCTGGTAGAATCCCTTCATATAGATCCAACCGGCGAGGGCCGCCAGAATGATCGGCATTAAACCTAGGAGGAAGAAGAAGACGATCTGGATCCACATGTTGCCCTGAGGCTCCGCGACAAAGTTCCAGTTAGCGTCGTTGAGCACAAGCTTGTAGGACAGGTAGGGCATGGGAGGCGGCTTGGTCAGATTGACAACGTTGTCAGACAGGGAACTTGGGGGAAGACGATCAAGGACTCCATCGCCGTTAGGGTCGCCATAGATGAAGGTAGCATCAGGTTGGTTGTCCGGGTTAATACCCCAAAGATTGAGCTGGATCTGGGCCGGCCACTCGTACATGAAATGAAGTGACCACTGGTTGTTCTGAACGTGGTCCATAAGGTTAGGCAGACCAGCATCGTATCCCCACTTGTTGAACGGTCCATGAAGGAAGATGTGCGGCCAACGACGAGAGAAGGGAATATCGGAGCTGTCGGCATGCTGCATAAAAGAGGAGGAACCGAGAGGCTGGCTAAAGTACTGCACAATCAGATGCTTTCCCTCCCACTTCTGTAGATCGGTACCCTTCCAGGCCTGGTCGATCATGCGAACCTTGGCACCAGTGTAGGGCATCCAGTCGCTCCAGGTGGAGCCCCAGTTGGTACTGTAGCGCCACTTGTTGGCGCCAGCAGCTGCATGGTTGATGAAGTACTCGCCGTTACTCTCCTCCATAAGAGAGCGGGAATAGTTGGCAGTGCTCGGGAAGACAATGGGGTTGTAAGGCTTGCCAAAGCGAATGAGAAAGTGATCGGTGGCGCCGGTGCCCTTTTCACTGTCACCACCAGGATGGTCAAGAGTAAGCTTGACAATGCCGTCTGGCACATTCTTGAGGGTGGTTGACCACTTCCAGACGGAAGCGACGGCACCAGTGAACGACTCCCTCTCGATAGGGTTCATATCGCTGCACACGGGGGTATCAAACGTAAGGTTCGTTTTGGTATTAGCATCAACAGTGACAAAGGCAGAAAAGCTGTTGGTAACTTGTTGGCAAGTAAGGTCGTTGGTGGAGAACTTGAAAGCGATGGGAATTTGGCCATTGGCGTCCGTCGAATCCATCGGGTGATCGTGGCCGGGCTCAAACCCAGTGACCGCCGTCTTGATGGCCATCCAATCGCCACTGGGAACGTAGGCACGGAACTCAAAGGGAGCCATAGTGATCGAGCTAAGGCAGCCAGCGGTGTGGCCGGCGCCCTTGAAGCCGTTCTGCTTCGTTGAGCTCTCAAGAGTGATGGCATCGCCTGTGCTAAACAGGTTGCGAACCTTGGTGTTGGAGTCGAAGGGTGCAATAAAGGCATCATTGGGGTTGCTGCAGTCGAAAGTATAGGTTTGTTCTTTGGGGTCGTTGTGATAAACCAACCAGACTGGGTCACCCGTCTTGTTCTGAGCACCGCTGAGGTATCCACGTGCAACACTCCAGATACCGGTCTCGGTGTCGACGGAACTGCCATTGTACCTTACACCGTGCGTCTTGTTGGCCAGTTGCTCGACCAGCCAGCCGCCCTCGAGAACGGGGTATTTATCGCGGAAAGCAAACATGCGCTTCATCCAGTTACGGACGGGGGCGGAGGGGTCTCGGTGGTCATAGGCAACGGTCTCGTCCTCGCAGCCCTTTCGGCCCTTGGTGATGGGCCAACCAACGTAGACGGAGTTATCGCCCGCATAGCAACCGTGGAACTTCCATGCCTGAGCAGCAGAGAAGGCTTGACGACCGAAAACGTAGTTCTCTGCGGTGTTGTCCAAGACGTAGAACGACTGCTCCTCGCCGTAATAGACAAGAGGGGCACCGGGAAGGAGCAAGGTGGTGATGAAATAGGCGAGAAGCATGCGCTCGGTTCCAAGCTCGATAGCAGGCCAGCGGAAAACGTCCTGGTTGGTAACGCCGTACAAGTGGCGGGGATCGAACTCTCCAGTATTGGCGTTGAAGAAGTCATTGGTCAAGATCATCTGGTTCCACGTCTGGACCCAGTCCGTCGGAAGATCGTAACCCGCCTCTAGGTTACCGCTGAGGCCGAGGAAACGGGTCATGAAACGGTAAATGGAGTAGTGAAAGGCACCAGCATCGAGGGCACTCTTGCCGTGCTCGCGAACGAAGACGCCTGAGTTGGCAGAATCCGTCGACTTCAGTTTGATGGCGTCTGCGAGCTCCAAGGATGAGGCCATTTCAGGAGTTCGGCCACGGCCGAGATAAATGGATCCAAGAGTGTTACCACTGGTAATTTCACCCACAACCATGAAGTTGTCCTTGCCAACTTCCTTGGCGCACTTTCTCATGGCAGTACTCCATTCGGCCTGCGCGTCAACTGTCACCTGGACGGCCTTGTCGATACGGAAACCATCGATGTCAAGGGTCTGGATGGTCATGCAGGAGTACAGTTCGAGGCGCTGACGCACCGAGGGAACCCATTCACGCAGACGATCCTGCACGGAAGCGAATTTGGCCAACTGACGTTGCCAATCGGGGAAAACACCGAAAGCCTCAATGTCGCCGTATTGATCGAAGTCACTGTTGTAGCATCCCTTCAGTTGGCTGGTAACGTCGCTGCCAACAAGCTTTCCATCCTCAAACCAGAAAGGCGGATACTCGCAGGTTTCGTTGTACTCGTTACCAATGTCGAAGTCGAGGTATCTGCGAGACGTTTTCCAGAGGACCTTGTGCTCCTCAGTGAGAAACGGCGTGGACTCGTTGAGATAGCCTTGGAAGCCGATCAAATCACCCATGCTACGTAGTCTAGTAAGTAACGGTAATACTGCTGTGAGCGGGGGAGCTACTTACGTCGCCATGGTCTGGTCGAGGACCACATACATACCCCTCTTGTGGATTTCATCAATGGCATACTGCCATGCTGTGATGTTACCAAAGTGTTTATCAAGAAGAGTCAAGTCGAGAGGCTAAGGCATGTCAGCAGTCACGTCCAGTCGCGTGGGTTGTGTGTCTCGTGCGCCATACCGAGTATGAATCGGCTTTCCATGGGTCGTTGATGAAGGGCGAACCAGCAATGTAGAGACCCTTGACGCCCATACCCTGGATATAGTCCAATGTGTCGACAAGTCCCATCACGTCTCCTCCGTGACGGAGCTGGTTGCTCATGATATCATGTTCAAAAACTGTGCCATTGGCATTGTCGTTTTCGGGGTCGCCATTGACAAAACGGTCGACGAACAAGGTGTAGAAGGGAAATCGCCAATTCGGGGGCGATGCTGTGAAGTTGTGATTTTCTCTCTTTCCCGAGTACTCGAAGGGGTTCTTGGCTAATCTGTTTGTGTTGAGGTTGTAATCGGCTTCGGATGAGGTATACTTTAGACCGGAAACGAGGGTTGACGAGGCACTAAGGAGTGTAAGTGTCCAAGCCAATAATGAATTAGACATTGTTACTCGAGCTCGCCGCGGGGCGAGTGAGTAAAGTGTGTACAAAGAATAGACAGGAATGAGTGACGAATTGAAGAAAGGAAGGAATGTGGTGATGTTTGGGGGAGGGAGTGTGAAAGGCCGCAAAGCAGACCAGCAAGCAGCAAGAACGAATGACGAGTATAGACTCAAGACAAGGCGTGGGACGGATGGGAAGAAAACTCGGCCGGCAACACCAGGTAGGAGCAAGATGGGAAAAAAAAGGGGGTAATCTCGAGGATGACCAGGTCAGCCCAATATGCCCCAGGCTGAAGGGCGGAAAGGGGGATCAGGAGTGGCTGGGGCCGCAGAAACGTCCATGAAGGATCTGTCCGTCCGCCTCGCCTCCCAAGGCTCCATTCTCCAGTCTCACAGTCTGGGCGAACAAGAAGCGGTGCGTTGCGGTACGGTACGGTAACCCCCCTCGAGGCCGCAGGGCGTCGATTTCGTGATGAGATGATGGGGCCCCCCCTTCCGCAGGAACGGACCAGCCGAATCGCTAGCTCTTCCTCCAGAAGTACTACAAGTCCCCTCGATGATGGGAGACCCAACCAACCCCTCTCTTGGTAATCTGTGCCTGTGCCCTGAAAGCCATAGCTAGAGGATAATGTGGCTCCGGGGGTGGCCTGGGCTAATTCTGGCTATACGAAGTTTGGAATATGGATATGCATAGCCCGCAGGCAAGAGCCTGTCTGGCGGCGAACCATGAAGGCGATGGGAGATTGATGGGCTCCGTCTTGAATTACCATTTTGGACGATTCCACCATAGAGAGTGGCCAATACGGTGGCCCCGAAGTCAGCGGGAGCAGGGATACGGCTGGGGGTCAAGGGTAGGCCGGCATGATCTAAAGGCTCTTGTTGGTTGACTCGGGCGAGCTCCGTCGTCGGTCGAGGTATCCGCTGTCAGTGGTGCCCCTGGCCAGTGAACGTGCTTTGCTGTATCGAGTCAGTTTTAGTTTTGGGTGGCCCCCGAAAGAATACGAGACGTTGGAGACGAGCCAGCCTGTCAGGACGGACAATCCATGTGCGGCGAGATTATCTAGAGCCGTTGATTTCCCAGTCGGGAATAACTGAGGCTCAAGGGTCCGTTGGCACTTGGGCACGGTGCAAATTTGACATTGACAGACGGGCAATCGGACGGTTCATCTCAACTAGCATAAACGTTTATGCTATGGTGTGTATGTGTGTGTGAAGGAAGGATCCTCTCTGGCCTTGGTTTGGTGGACTGAACCAAGCCATAAACGCATTGGAACGGCCTTAAGGTCACGGTTGTGACGTCGTTTTGGCGCATGAAACTAAGGTAGCGTGTGCAGCCTGACAAGCTGCCATGGCACTTGGTGAAGAGGGCCGGCATCAAGGCTCGTCCTAGTAGAGAAGGACAAACGAAGGATGCAGAAGGAATGGCAGCAGAAGAAGAAAAAAAGACTACCCCTGGCACTTGCATTACTAGTAGCAATTGTGCATGGAACGCGGAGGTACTTTCGTCAGGAGGGGGAGGAGGACGAAGAGAGAGGACTGCATTGTGTGCGTGATAGGCAGACAAGAAGGAGACAAAGGCAAGCGTGGGATGTGATTGATGGCGAACGTTATGCGGGAGTGGTCGTCTGGATTGATTGAATTTTTTTCTGGAGCCTCTGAGCGATTGTAGTTAAGTGAAGCAGAGCCACAGTGGGTCCTCTCATCATGTGGGTACTGACTATCTCTTGGCCAATCCTTTGCCTAGCTTATGCATCAGCCACATGTTGCGGTATTGGCAACCGTTTTTTTTTGGGTGCTCCTGCAGAAATCAACGTTGATCTTTCCTCGCCAGCGCCTCAAGAGAGCCACACAAACTGGGATTTCGGCCCATGGCATTCCATCTTCGGTGTCCACCCGCCCCCACCCATGACCCACTTAGACACGAGGAACTATTCTACAACGGGACGGTACAGCCAGGGATCCAGCAGTTAGTGGCCGGGGCCTGGCTGCTTCTGCACCTGTTATCTGGGACAGGGTGTGCAGAAGAGTACATGGGTACTCTGGCTCTACCACGGTCAATGATGGGTGCACCCAGACACCAGAAGGAGCGGTGGTAGGAGGCGAGCGAGTCAGAGATGAGAAGCAGACTAATCGTGGTCGTAGGCCCTGGGCTGGCGGCGCTGGGCACTCTTCTGGGCGTGATGAAACAAGGCATATTGGGTTACAAAGTGCGCAAAAGGAAGAAAAAAGGAGGCCGTCTCGCCTAAACCAGCAGCCTGGCCGAGCTGAGTGCAGGCTTTTGACACTTCTTTTTTGTGGCGTGCCCTGCTCGCCGGGTATTGCCAAACCCAATGCCAATTCTTACTGCTTGTCTGGCCCTGCAAGCCCTGCGGCGTGATCTGTGTCTCTGATCTTGTCTTGCCTCTCGAGACACTGCAGTGCCTGGGAGTCACCATGCGTTCAGGCGCCCCCCTTCCAGGAGTCTCTCCCCCGTTTTGTGAAGAAGATCCCCATCCAGGAGGTCACACAACAACAGAGCTCTAGCACGCGGGTCCGGAGAGGGATACCCCCGAGACATTTATAGAGTTTGGGATGATGGCTGACGTTCCATTGACTTGGGTGAGGGGAAAGGGGGAGAAATCTGACGGAGAGCGGGTTGCTTACTCACGGCTAATGACAGGCAGGAATGACAGGCAAGCAAGGTACTATGGACTATGTAGGCTATTACGGCTCACCGCGTACTATGTACCACTACTATTGACTCTGTGTGCTTTCATAGACTCACCGACGTTGGTCTCCCACCACCCTTGTCAAGAAATACGCCCGCCGGTTCTGAAAGATGCAACCCATTGCGTTGTAGTACATAGGAAAGGCCAACCACAAAACAAGTTTCTCTTGTTTATCCGTACCTTATCACACTGATCAGCATAACAAACGCTTCGTTTTACAGAATAGGGCGGTTACAGAGGCTGTCAGAATTTGCAAGACGGAAGCTAAGCGGGAACTTGTCCGTCAAGCTCAGGAACCAAGTCCGTCAAGCTCATCAAGCAACGAAGCCTAAGACTACTCAAGAATACTAAACTACGCCGATAAGAATTTGTCAAGAACCGCACCAAGAAGAAAAAGGCGACCAAGGCAGCACCAAGACAGCACCAAGACAGCACCAAGCCAGCACCAAGGCTGATAAAAGGAGACGCCAAGTTAACTAAAACCCAGCGCCGCCGTCCACTACAGCTCTTTTTTTTTTTGCTTTTTTTTTTTTCCCAGTGCCACTGCCGAAGACCACTTCCACGCCATCGTGCCACCTCGCTGTATTGGGAAAAGTGTCTGCCATCATTCGACAGACTTCCAAGGTCCTTCCAAGGTGCTTCCAAGGCCACACCGTTGGCGGCGTCAGCGGCCTTGGCAGGGGAAACGAACTTTTTTTTTTTTTTTTTTTTTTTTTCCTCTCAGGTTCAACCATGCGTCGCTGACTCAGTACGTACCTTACACTATTTGAAATTTGCTCCAATCAAATCCCAGTATGTACGCCGTATCCGAACGCCAGCAGTCTGTAATTGCAATTGGGTGCGGGACGTTCGTCCTTCCGTTTCGCTGTGCAACCAACCAGTGGCTTTTTTCTTTTTTTTTTCTCCTTAGGCGCCACACACACAACCACACAACTGGTGCAGTTATGCTGACCTCCCTCCCAACTCGGGGTGAATGCACAATCAACCAGCACCTTGACCGAGCCTTTCACCTGTCAAGTCTCGTGTCGTCTCTTGTCTAATTCCTACTCGCTTGGCGTGTTCTGGGTATGCATCTCTGACGGACTTCCACTCGTCTCATAGCATCGCTTCTAGTGCTTCCGCAGATCCCATGACTGCTAGACCACCCACCAGTACATAACATTCATCCCCGCCTTGGCCTCTTAATACGCGGTTGTCGTCTCGTCTTTACATTGAACGTGTCTCTCTCGCCTGGGCTCAATTTCCCGTGTCGACCACTTGTTGGTCATGGTTATTGACAATCTTGGCTTCCAAGTGGGCCCCACCCCCTTCATCCCATGTCGCCCGAAGAAGGCATGGACACCCTCTACACGGGTCACGCTACTCTTACTCTATCATGTACCTACTATGTTAGTCTCTCACAGCACCCATCTCCTCCATAATTGTTCTTGTGTGTGCCTGTGCCTTACAGTAGTCCGCAGTAGCCAGGAACCGTGATCTCATCGTCGTCGCCCATCCCAATCACCATCCATGATCCATACATGGTACTTTTTTCGGCCCAGTTGTCCCGGAATACACGGCCAGCTCTGCTCTGCTCTGTCTCTGTCTCTGTCTCTGTCACTGCCACTTCCCTGTGACCTATTGTTGTTGCCTTTCTCCGCGCTGTCCACGGCAGAATCGCCCACAGTTACGGCACGGATAGCTCGCATTTGCTTGATTGTTGTTTGACCATGACCCCCGTATTTTCCATCTAGCTTCCAAGTTGCCCCCTCGTATCAACTGTCGTTGCTGTCATGCCAATGTACTCTTGCCAGTCTCGGACGCGCTTCGCCCCTCCGCTTTCCTCGGCTCCACGCCCTACGCTACGACGTTCAGTCACTCGTTTAATCAAGCCCGGTTATTCCACCCCTTTTCCTAGTCGCCAAGGAGGGGACCATCAATCTTCTCATCATTCAGGGGACTCCCATTCGTTCGTTTTCTCGGCCCATCCCCGACTCTTCCAGTCTCTCTCTTCCTCTCTCTGTTGTTCCTCCAAAACTCTATATCGCCGTGTGTGCGCGCCGCAAACTGCTACCTGACCCTATACATTCTTTCCTTCACGTACGCAGAATCGCACGACGTCGTCAAAAGTCAATCCTTTTTTTAGCTTAAACGCCCTCCAGCGGCGCAGTCATTCGTTAATTTTTATATTCTCACAAATCCAACATCACACTTGGTCAATATGCGTGCTTCAACTCTGGCGTGGGCCGCCGTCTCGGCTCTCAGCGCTTTCGTCCAGGCCGCCGACGTTGAGGAATGGAAGTCACGATCCATCTACCAGGTCATGATTGACCGTTACGCTCACGATGATGGAACCACTGACCACCAGTGTGAGCTTTACAAGTTCTGTGGCGGTACCTGGAAGGGTCTGACCAACAAGCTCGACTACATCCAGGGTAAGAGATGATGCTAACATACTAATATTTTCACCCATATCACATCATCAACTTCACCTTTTGATGGCTCATTTCCCCCCCTTCCCTCCTATATCCGAATAGTTATCCACTTACACACCCATCTCTTCACTGAGAGCTTACCGAGGACTCCTCGCTGACCATGACTTTCAGACATGGGCTTCAGTGCCGTCCAGATCAGCCCCATCGTCAAGAACATGGACGATGACACTGCCGTCGGTGAGGCCTACCACGGTTACTGGTCCCTCGACAACTACGCCCTCAACCCCAAGTATGGTACCGAGCAAGACTTCAAGGACCTTGTCAAGGCTCTGCACGACCGTGGCATGTACATCATGGTTGACGTTGTCGTCAACAACATGGTTCAGAAGCTCGACAACCTCCCGCCCAAGCTCGACTACTCCAAGTTCAACCCCTTCAACGACGAGAAGTACTTCCACCCCTACTGCAATGTTACCGAGTGGGAGAACTCGACCAACTACCAGGACTGCTGGCTCTACCCTTACGGCGTCGCTCTTGCCGATTTGGCCACCGACACGGCCCCCGTCTACGAGGAGCTCGGCAGCTGGGTCAAGGGACTGGTCGCTAACTACTCCATTGACGGTCTCCGTATTGATGCCGCCAAGCACGTCAACGATGAGTTCCTGCCTCGCTTCGTCAACTCCTCCGGTGTCTTCGCTTTCGGCGAGATCTTGACCGGTAAGAAGGAGGACTTCTGCCGCTACCAGACCCTGAACCTCCTCCCCGGCATGCCCAACTACATGGAGTACTACCCCCTTATGTCCGTCTTCTTCAACGGCGACCTCAACAACCTCGCCGATCTCCGTAGCCAGACCCGCGATGGCTGCACCGACATCTTTGCTCTCGGCTCCTTCGTTGAGAACCACGACATGCCCCGCTTCGCCGTCTACGATACGGACATCACCCTTGCCAAGAACGCAATGGCCTACATCCTCCTGACTGACGGTATTCCTACTGGTAAGAACAGATGACGCTTCCCCACCAAAACATGTCTGCAATGACGACATGCAACAAAAACCCACTAACACCTTGCTACAGTCTACCAGGGCCAGGAGCAGCACTTCAACGGCAACTCCACTCCCTTCAACCGTGAGCCCCTCTGGCAGTCCAAGTACGACACCAAGGCGCCTCTGTACCAGCTGACCAGCACGCTCCTCCACGCCCGTAACAAGCTGCAGGCTTTGGACAACAAGTTCGCGACGACCGGCTCTGAGCAGCTCTTCGTCGAGAACACCCACTTGTGCGTGCGCAAGGGTCCCAGCGGCGCCCAGGTCGTCTTCTGCATCACCAACAAGGGCGAGAACGGCGACAAGTACCAGCTCTCCGTCGGTGGCTTCAACCCCGGTGACGAGGTCGTCGAGATCACCACCTGCGGCACCTCCACCGCCGATGGCACCGGCAACGTCACCTTGTACATGAACAAGGGCGAGCCCCGTGCCGTCATCCCCAAGGCCGCCCTCGAGGGCACCAAGCTCTGCCCCAACGGCACCACCGAGGCCTCCAAGGCCGCCGAGGGCCAGGGCAAGAGCGCCGCCTCGGCCTTCGGCACCAGCCTGAGCCTCCTCGTGGCTTCTGTTGCTACCGTCTCCTTCGCCGTCCTGTTCTAAGCGATGAATATCTACCGTCCGAGGCAGAAAAGTCGTTTCAAAGGTTTAGGTGTATGTGTTTTTTACCGTTAATTACACACGGACGGGCGGAATCGGGTGTACTGCGACCCGGACACACATGTTTGCTTTTCGTCTTTTTATCAATGACCCAGTTCGCGAGGAGTTTGGATAATCAAAGGTGCCGCACGACGGAGAATGTCCCAAAGTTTCCAAACAAGAAAAAAAAAAAGTCACGCTCTGTAATTATCCTCCCGAACCCCCCGCAAGTTGCGAAGCTCTCGTGTGGTCCGGTGAGTAATGTATTCTCTCTCTCATGCATGTTTTTGGTCTTATTCGGACGTCCACCCATGAGTTTTTGAAAGTGTCACAAAGGCGCGCGTGTGTGTCCTCACCCACCCACGTATATATACTTTGTAAAGTAGGTTTTTTTGGCAGGCGCAGAGGTTGAGATTGAGGTTGCAGTGATACCATTCATACACACACATACACACATACACATATCTCATATGAAAACAAAGTCTTAATTTTGGAATAACAAAACAAACCACATATCTCAAGGGCATATACATGATGTACATGGTGACAGACTTGCCAAGGATGCATGAACCTGTAGTGTAGTATGGTGTAGTATGCTCCCCATTTACAATGGGCCAACAGCATCACCAGCACCTTGTCGGCCTCGGCACGTGAAGGCCAAAAAGAGAAAGAAGAGAGAAGAAGCGGGGCGCACCCGGAATACGTGTCCAAGCGAATTGAGAGAAGCCATGAATGCCATTTGTCATAGCAATTCCCGCCCATTTTCCTTTCCTTTTTTTTTTTTTTTTTTTTTTGGTTCTTTGTCTGGTCTATTTTCTCGGGTTGGTTCCCCGTCGGGCGGCGGCGGCGTCCCTCTGTAAATTGACTGGGTCCTCTCACAAAACCGGGGCCGGTGGGTACGTTTAGTACCTACAAGCTACCTCCTTACCTTGTGCTCGAACCCTTTGGAATACATTTTCCAGCCAAGGAGAAGAGAGACCATACGTGATGCGAAGGAAAAGACCACAAAATAAAAATAAAAAAAAAGAACCGAGTCGGTTAAGTGTAAAAGCGTGGGTCTGTCTGTCCCCCTTGTATCCGTTTTCCCATACATCCAACGCCACACATGCTGTCTCTCCTCCTCCCCTCTCCTCCTTCTCTCCCCCCTTCCCGGGGATAAGAAAGAATAGGGGGTAGTTTTCGATGTGACGGTCGGATCGGACTGGTCTTTGTCGGACAAGTCGGGACAGATGGGGATGGTAATGGAATGGGGAGGGGAGGGGCGGGACCCAGTTTGCTCCAGTTCCCTGATGCTCCAGTTTTGCTTTGGACCGGGGTCGGGTGGAGTTGTGCCTTGCATTGGGGGGGGAAGGGAATTATGCTAACCGTAAGACGGAGAGGGTAGTGCATGCAACCTTAGCCCACAAGGGGACCTTTTTTTTGGGGGGGGTCGTTTTTTTGAGCCGTCCGATACGAAGAGATCGACATCAATGGCATCTTTATCCGTTGTTAGGCCGATTAGAACAAAAGTCGGAGGGGGGAAGGGGGGGGGACAAGAAGGGAGGTAGAGAGGGGAGGGACAATTGGATTGGAGACCGTTTTTTTTTCCTTCTTTAATGAGTGTGCAGGTGATGATTAAAACCAGATATTGGGTAGATCACGCATCCACCCAATACAGGCACACACATATATACACACGCGAAATAGATTGGGAATTTCATTCGGCGATAATCAACGCCGCCCCTCCCTCAGACAGCCAGTAATAATAGGCAAGCTACTAGCTAGCTAGCTCAGGGTAAAAAGTGCGAGGACAAGGCTCCGCGGAAAACGGCACCCATTCGCTTGCTGCGGCGCGTAAACGCCGAGAAAGATACCGCAATCTACGTAGTAGTAGTGTACATGGCATTATCTATTATATCCATTCGCCTATACCCATCAGGGGATCCGTTTCAAACGGGTAGCCGAAGGGGGCGAGGAGGGGAGACGGAAGGGTGGAAAGGCGGTGGGATGCCCGGTAGCTACTAGTATGCTAATGCTCGGCATCCCATAATGAGCGCCGGCACATCATTCCTCGAAGGAAGCTAGTCAAGTGGGCGCTCTCATGTTGATAGCCTTGCCATCGAATCCAATAATAGATTTCGAGAATGAAGCTAGGAGGGCAGATCGCCATGGAAGGAAGGGAAAAAAAAAATCACAACACATTCCGAGCCCACCTCGTCGTATGGGTGGAATAACGTTGATTCTTCGCATGTGGGCTTCTGTAGATCTTGTTTACTTCCTCTCTCGTGATGTTTTGATAAAGTGAAGAAGGAAAAAAACAAAAAAATATGCCCATGAAGCAAGCCCTACGTGGCAACCTGGTCCATTACCGCTACAACCGCAGCAAAGCGTTGTTTGTGATCTTCGCCGGGTTCTGGGGCGGCATGGAGCCTTCTTCGGCTTCGCCTTTCGACTTTTTGATTTATCTCCAATGAGGGTCGGAGACTGTGTACTGTCTCCATCGAGTGGGAAGCGCCATGTATTGCCAGCTCCGGGAGGCCTTCCGTCGATCGGTTTCTCAACGTCTCTCTCGTTTCCTCTCTCGGGACTTTCGATGAACAGGGCCGCCTGTCCTGAGTGGGACAGTGAGGAGCTGTAAATGAGGTTATTGAACTCTGATGGTTGGGATATTAGGGATCGGCGGCGTGTCAAGTGTGAATTGTGGTTCTGTGCTCCATGTCAACTCGAGGAAAATGTCCGACGAAGCCGCGTACGGTCCGGTGTGCGTGCCTTTTGTCTTAATTCAACGGCTTTGCTGTATTGAATTTTGCGGTGTGAGTTGCTGCTTCGTGTTAGATACAAGGGCGGTCTCACAGGCCATATTCCTCTTACCATCTATCCCTGAATGATAGATCGTACATGTTTGAACTAATGCTTCCCTACATACTCTGACTTTGTGTCCAGTGTTTATTAGTGTAGCGTGGTGGAAATTTAGAACGGGTAGATGATAATCATTCGTTCCATGTCCGCAATGCCGGCGTGATGCTCGTACGCAGAGTCCTATATATATATATACAGAAAGTCGATGTCGAAGGTTTGCGTTCCCTGCTGGTTCGTCTCAAAACCAAACGGTTCAACTTGCCAAAGTTTCATCTGTAAACATACTGTTAACTTTCTCTAAACGTCACGTTTCTGATACTGCGGCTGCAATTTCAGCCTCGTCCGGAAATTGTTTAAGCTTAGTCGGATGTCCAGGAGACCTGGTCGACACGCACTTTAGAGGGTAGCAATGCTACTCTTATCAACCGTTTCAACTTTCCAACCCACAGAATCGCCGCGCGCTCAGTGAAACTATCTGCTTATCCTAGCTACTATAAAGTTTAGACCGCAAAAAAGATCATCGTCAAATGATGTCTTTCAAGGAACAGTTGCTGCGTTCATGTGTATGTTGGACAAGAAACTCGAGCTTTGACATTTGCAACTTCTAACACGGCATAAATCAGAACCGCCTTTCAACTCCCTAATCTCAAGGGCGTTCTCATGATGATTGATATCATCGGAACGCGGTGGGTATGCCTTATCCTATGTTGCATCAGCCAGCCACCAGATGTTGAAACGCCGCAACCGCAGACACCAGATATTCTTTTTGGACTTTGGCTACGACAGGCCTGCCGCAAGCTAAGAGCCAGGCATTCATATGTGTTGGATGTAGGTCGGCTTAGAAAGCAGAACGCAGAAACTTGCGTGGACGGGGCAGAACCAACTGAAAGTTACGATAAGGTAGGATAAAGCCCCGGGTTGCATGTTCCCGGCGCACCATCTTGCAAGGAGATTGACTTGCCGCCAGTATTACAACAGACAACGAAATAGATCGTTCGCGTTTGTTTGCTCAGCTAGTCCCAACATATGCAAGAGTTTTTATTTATTTTGTTTTTTAGACTCTCTTCCAATGCCTGCTATTCGGTCGACAGAAAATCGTCCTTACTCGAGACTGAATAAGGAACTCTGAAGAAAATTCGGTCCAGATTGGGAGATAGTGTATGAGGTCAAGCTCTTGTTCAGTGAAAGGGCAATAGTGGCCAGACTCCACGGAAGTCATTTCACCTAGCGAACTGCCAGGATATGCGCTATGTGCGATGGCACACTGCCAATCTTAAAGAGACGACCGCAGCATCAATCCGAATTATCGGTGCATAATTAAACTTGGTCATTTTAGGTTTAGCTTTAAATGACACACGGCAGCAAGTTGGGATGGAGCGGAGTTGAGGAGACAGAATAACGGGCATCTTCAGATTAAGTAGCGGTCAAGTCGAAAAACCAAAATAAAAGGCGGACAGAAACAAAAGAATAGTCAAGACACTTTCCGATAGAGACGTGTACTACTACTAATCAAAGCCTAGCACGATTAGACGTCTAAAAGTCGTCCAAGGTTCATGAACGCTAACACAGCTTGGAGGGATTTCTGCTAGAGCGAGACCACTCTATGTCAGCAGCACCCACGTTGTAATTTGAGCGACTTCTGCTCTTGCGAAACTTCCTTCGGATGTATGAATTGAACCCGTGATGAAATAATACAGTCGCAGAGACGAAAATTCGGTGTTCGCTCTTGAGCCAGATACCATAATGGTGAGAAACACTGTTGACTGAAATTGGCCTCTGTAGTTGTGAGGTGTTAAAAAAGCATGATATCTCTCGGGTGCTGTGCCATCACCATCACAATATACTACTCCTCCATTGGAAAGACTTGGCGGCTACCAATATGTCGTCTCTCAGCCGCCATCACCAACCAGGTCACCGTTGACCTCACCCAGTGCGCAGCTTGCCTTGTGTCATGTCGTTTCCCTCATGATCATGCTCCAGTATAGCCCACTCCAACACCCCAAGCCTACTTGGCGTGCCTTTCACCAGGGCGCAGAAGCGCCTTTTCTAGCCGCCAGATTCGCACCGCACTGGTGTGTGAATAGTCAGAGAAGTTATAACCCGTCGTAGTTGGATCGCACCGAGAGGCAGAACTTCTCCGTGACGTTGATGAAGACTGCTGAGCCCATTGAGCTTTACATCATTCTAGCTGTGCCAAATATATATACATATACTCTGCAATAAGAAAATACGGCTTAATTTTTTGTGCCGGAAGTTCAAGTATTGAGAAATCAGGGCTCTTTGGGAGATGCCATTATAATAATATTCACCGTGGGATTACTGTTGAAGAACACACCTGACCCCATTCGCCTGAGACATTATGGTAGACCATGTAATATAAAAAGAGAAATATAGTATGACAATCGCCATGATATCCACATATTGATATGCAGTGATGAGATGTGATGAGATACTCAAGCCCATTGTGATATTTCAGAGATGAAGCTGACAAGTTCACTGCTGATATCGGAGGACCTTGGAGACACCTTGGATACAGTTCACCTACTTATCTTTGGTTCATGGTCTTCATCTCTTTTGCTTAACTAACTGTTACACTCGGCCCTTGACTAACTACTATAAAGACATATACTTGGAGGACACCCTGCAACAACCCAGCCTAGTACACATCCGCAAATGGGAAAGTGAAATCCGTGTACATATATCTAGAATCTGTCCCAAAACCGAGATTCGAACGGACTATGCTTAACCTCTCAGATATGATAGGTCATCATGTTAGTCACCATATCATATCGTATCTGCTTATTGACGGGCCGGCGTGGTTTATGCCCAAGGCTCCGACGGGGGGGGGCATCACCATAGGAGCCAGTCCAAGGAAGCAAGCACCGTGGCAAGATCTCCTTGATTATCACACGAGTCAGTAACAGACCCAGTGCCATCGAACATTGCAATAGTATCTTTTCTGGCCAGACATAGCAGCATGGCAGTGACTCGCACAAACCGACGCCAAATCTTCTATCCCGACGCTCACCTTTACGAGGCCTGGCTGCGGCTGAGCATCATTTGGCTTTTGCGGAGGATGCAGCCCTACGGCGGCGCCGCAGAGACTAGGGAACAAGCCACCCCGGAGCATTCCAGCACCCTTGATTGGACGAGTTCCAGGCTGGGATACTAGCAGCGGCCACCCGGGCGTCGTCCCCGACGGGAATCAAGCAGAGAAATGAGGGAATATGCAGGATCGAACACGGAGTAATTCGCAATCCTTCGCAAATCCTCCCCGCAGGTATGAATTATATACTGCAAGTTCCACCTCTTTGTAAACTTAGCCCCAATCAATCTCGTATTTAGAACGTGAATGCCCAGTGCATACCCCATGACGGCCCCAGTCCCGAAGACAATCGGCATAATCGGCGCCGCCATCGCGGGCCCGACTTTCGCCCTCCACGTCCTCACCCATCCCGTCCTCCGCGCCCGCTACCGTCCGGTCCTCTTTGATCAGTCTCCACCCCCGGTTCCGATTCCGAACACGCCAAATACTGCCGAAAGAGCGGCAACAGGACCAGGTTCACCCTCTACTGCTCTTCATCACCAACGCGCCGGCGCCTCGGTAGGCCTCTTCGCAAACGGTCTACACCCCTTGTACTCTCTCGGCCTCGGTGACGTGATCAAGCAACACGGTTACGAATGCGACGACGTAGCCCTCTGGTTTAGTTCTGTATCTCCCAAGGACAATGGCAAATCTAACGAGCTCCAACATATTAAAACGGCCAGAAATGCATTCTGGTCTCATGATTTCCAGACTGGCGTAATGTATTTCGAGAGAGCAAACCTACAAGCTCTCCTTGTGAACCGCGTACGTGAACTCGGTGGTGAAGTCCGCTGGTCCAAAAAGGCCGTCCGCTTCGACGCTCCGTCGCCTCCAGGTAGGGACCAAACCCGCGTGAGCTTTGCGGACGGTACACATACGGACGTCGACCTGCTCGTCGGCGCGGATGGCGGTTACTCCCCCGTCCGCCGCCACATACTCGCCCTAAGGAATCCAAACACCGCAGAAGAGCGGTGGTTGCCGGACTCCATGGGCATGACGGGCATCTACGGAATATCCTCTGCCGACAAGCTTCCCTCGACTCACGTCCCCGAGCGTCCCTTCAATGAGACGCACTGCGTCTTTCTTCCAGAGGGCTTTCTGTCTACGGGCCCGTGTCCAGAGGGAAAATTCAGATGGGATTTGGTTCTCCCCGAATCAGCAACACCAGATACTCCTGCCTCCGGGGAACCAAACACTTCTGTCACGTCGGCAGCTTCCCCTTCTTCGGAAAGCGAACCATGGCTAGGGGCGATCGTGCCTGGCCAATATCCCGTGTCCGCCACTGCCCACATTCTCCGCTCCCGCCTTCGCGCCAGGCACCCCTTCACAGGCGACTTCGAAATGATGCTCAACACAGCAGACCGCATAATTCACACACCTCTCCGCCAGCGCGCCTGGAAAGAGGACGAGATCCAGTGGGCCGGCGGTGGAAGCAACATAGTTCTCATCGGTGATGCCGCGCGACTCATGCTGCCCACTAGCGGCCAGGGCACCGGATTTGCAGTGGAGGATGCGACTGTGCTGGCGAGCATGCTTCTGAAGCATTGTTCGTCGCCTACGGATACAGATGGTACATCGGAAGACGGCTTCCATGCCGCTCTCGAAGAATATGCGCGCAGCAGGACAACTAGGTCGAAGAAGATGGCCGCGGTAGCGTCGTGGGCGGGGTCGGTTTGGATGGGAACGACGTGGTATCACAAGCTATTGCGATATGGGAGCGCAAGGCTTACCCCCAGCGTTGATTTGAAGTGAGTTACCTCTTGTTATAGAGTTTTTGATATGAACGGCTGACAAATGGAAACGCAGGACTAAGCAAGGCAAAGATGCATGGCCTATGGATGGGCGTTTCAACGTCGAGGTGTAAGTTGCAAAAAAAGGTTTGGTTCATCCAAACATTGTATAGCACTTAGGAGCCAATGTACCCTACTCAGCGGTTTTGATTTTAACAAGAAAGAGCACACTCGGGTTGTAATCTTGACATGGAAATAACCTCTTGCAAAGACCAACAACCCACAAGAGCCAACCTAAACTGCTCAGACTGTTGCTTCACTTTGGCGACACAATAAATTGCCCAAGACACTTAATGGGACTCCTTAGTAAAACCATGGGACTCATAACATGTTGAATCTGGACGCTTAGTGCAAAAGTGTTTCTACTCAAGCCACATGGGTCACGGGTAGCGGGTCATATTTGTGTTCAAGAGGTCTCATTTATGCGTTGTATACTTTACATAATGGTGGAGTCATGCTCCATGCTGCCGACGCCGATTAACCTGCCAACACCAGAGACGAAAGTGCATGATGGAATCTTTGGGTACTGTCTCTTTTTAATCCCGAACGAATCAACAACAAATCTATGAAATTAGAGCTCATCGTGGCTGGGGGGCTCGTCCTCGGCCTCGCCAGCGCCACCGGCACCCTGGTACATCTTGGAGGTGATGGGGTAGGCAACGTTGGACAGCTTCTCCTTCTGCTCCTCGAAGTCCTCGGTGTTGGCAGTAGCGCTGTGCTCCTCAAGCCAGTCGGTGGTCTCCTTGACAGCCTCGAGAATCTATAGTTCTTGTTAGTCGCCTGTAACTGTAGGTTATGTGAATTGGATAAACTTACGGTCTCCTTGTCCTCATCCTCAATCTTGCCACCAAGACCCTCCTCGTCGTTGACCTGGTTCTTCAGAGAGAAGGCGTAGTTCTCAAGACCGTTGCGAGCCTCAATGCGCTCACGGGTAGCCTTGTCCTCCTCGGCGTACTTCTCAGCCTCGGCGACCATGCGGTCAATCTCCTCCTGGGTGAGACGACCCTTGTCGTTGGTGATGGTGATGGACTCCTGCTTGCCAGTGCCCTTGTCGTGGGCAGAGACCTTGAGAATACCGTTGGCGTCAAGCTCGAAGGAGACCTCAATCTGAGGAACACCACGGGGGGCAGGGGGAATGCCAGTAAGCTCGAACTTGCCAAGCAGGTTGTTGTCCTTGGTCAGGGAACGCTCACCCTCGAAGACCTGGATCAGGACGACGGGCTGGTTGTCAGCGGCGGTCGAGAAGATCTGGCTCTTGCGGGTAGGGATAGGAGTGTTGCGCTGGATCAGCTTGGTCATGACACCTCCAGTGGTCTCAATACCGAGAGTCAGGGGGTTGACGTCCATGAGAACGACCTCCTCAGTACCCTTCTCGCCGGCAAGAACACCAGCCTGAACAGCGGCACCGAAAGCGACAGCCTCGTCAGGGTTAATACCCTTGGAGGCCTGCTTTCCACCGAAGTACTCCTCAATGAGGGACTGGACCTTGGGGATACGGGTAGAACCACCAACAAGGACAATGTCGTCGACATCCTCCTTCTTGACCTTGGCGTCCTTGAGCACCTGCTCAACAGGCTTCAGGGTCTTCTTGAAGAGGTCCATGTTGAGCTCCTCGAACTTGGCGCGGGTAAGAGTCTCAGAGAAGTCCTTGCCCTCGAAGAAGGCCTCGATCTCAATGCGAGTGGTCTTCTGGGAAGAGAGAGTACGCTTGGCCTTCTCGGCCTCACGCTTGAGCTTACCCATGGCCTTGGCGTCCTTGGTGATGTCGACGTTGTTCTTCTTGTTGTAGGACTTGGCGAAGTAGTTGATGACACGCTGGTCGAAATCCTCACCACCCAAGTGAGTGTCACCGGCGGTAGCCAAGACCTCGAAGACACCCTGGTCGATGGAAAGAAGGGAGACATCGAAAGTACCACCACCAAGATCGTAGACGATGATCTGGCTCTCCTTGCCGGTCTTGTCAAGACCGTAGGCGATAGCGGCGGCGGTGGGCTCGTTGACAATGCGGAGGACGTTGAGACCGGCAATGACACCGGCATCCTTGGTGGCCTGGCGCTGGTTGTCGTTGAAGTAGGCGGGGACGGTGACAACGGCGTGGGTAACCTTCTTGCCCAAGTAGTTCTCGGCGACCTCCTTCATCTTGCCAAGAATCATGGCGGAGATCTCCTCGGGGGTGAATCTCTTGGGAGCGCCGGCGACCTCGACCTCGACGACAGGCTTGCCATCCTTCTCAACGACCTTGTAGGGGAAGTGCTTGATGTCGGACTGGACGGCCTTGTCAGAGAACTTCTGGCCAATCATACGCCTGGCAAATCACAGTTAGTACGGAAGCTGGAAATGTAAAGAATCGTAGGCACTGCTCACTTGATGTCGAAGATGGTGTTGTAAGGGTTGGCCGCGGCCTGGTTCTTGGCGGCGTCACCGACGAGTCTCTCCTCCTCGGTGAAAGCGACGTAAGACGGGGTGATACGGTTACCTGTAGTTTGAATCATCAGCCAAAGCTCATTGAACAGCATGCAGAAGCTGGTGGAAGCCAGCCATTTAGAAAGACTTACCCTGGTCGTTGACGAGAATCTCAACCTTTCCGTTCTGCATCACACCGACGCAAGAGTATGTAGTTCCAAGATCCTAAGCCGAAAGAATTAGCATGGTTTGTTACCATGGTGCAAGATGGTCACCGCTTCAAGGGCGATAATACAAAGGGAGGAGTGAAGTGATTGGGGTCCAACTTACAATACCGATGATGGTGCCGTAGTTCTCAGTGTCCTGAGCCTGAGCCGTCTGGACAAAGGCCAGAGGCGAAAAGAGGAGACACATCCAGGCCAAGAGGCCGAAGCCCAAGGCCATCGAGTTGCGAGTTCTCGACATTTTGAGAGTTGGTGCTGTGAAGCTCCCCTCTAGATATGATATGTACGCAACGTGAAGCTTTGATAAAGCTAGCTGTGTTGCAAAAAGAAAAGAAAGTAGAGTGTTCAGTAAAAACGCGAGAGAAGGTTTCCTGATTCCCTTCTAGCGACACACCCAATGGAATTGAGGTGATTTGCAGTTGGTGAATTGGGAGGGTTAAAGAGGTGGTGACGGAAGGGAAAGGCAGGCGGCTTTATGAATGCCTTCTCCAAAAAAAAAGTTGAGGTGTCCAGATTGCACAAAAGGCCAGATTTCACGTAGGAAGGCGCCACACGTGACAGGGGTACCTTCCTCTTGAGTGAGGGTGCCCCTTGTGGATCCTCACTGTGTGGTCCCTAAATGCAGGCGTACTGGGGATCGAGATGCACTAATGCAAAGCACTGAGTGAGGTGCAACAAGCGGGACGGGAGACCATTCTCCGTTGAACCAGCACAGTCTTTGTGTACCGTGTGAAGATCGCCCCTAGCCACGGGAGTCGAGGTGAGCGCCTCACCGCTGCCGCTCTGCCTGCCGTCCGGACTGGGGGGAGCCCCACGGAGGCTGCGATTCTGGAGATTTCGATTACAGGTGGTCCCCCTTGGAACTCTTGAACGTGGCCTTTCCTTTTCATTCTGGCAGGTGCTTCTGTTGCTTTCTACGCCGCAATCTGACTACCTGACTTATTACAAGTGACTCACGATCCCACCAACAAAGGTCAATGGACGTTGGAGGGTATTGCTCAATGCATCCAAGGTTGCACCTAATTAAAGCCACTTCGCCTCTCTATTTGAAAACACCAAAAACCGAACAGAGTGGCCTCAACTTGATTGAACTAGCCTCCATTTCGGAACAATTCATGCTCTTTTCCTTTCCAGAATATTCCCACCACTTGCTGCTGTGGGGGGGCGGTTGCGGCAAAATGGTACCTAGGAGTTATATCCCCATAAGGTAACTACGGTAGTCCATTCAGGTACACCACAAGGCTAGGCAGCATACCTTACCTCACTTAAGGTGCCTTAAGCAGTGCCATCCCGTCTTCGCCTTTAGATGAGGGGGCAACATGAGGGGCCACGCAGGGGTTGAGCTTCGGCTGCTGGCCCATGCTCTCCCGGGGGCGTGGGCGTTGTCGTGGCGTGGCGCCAACACGACAGCGCCTTTTTTCCCCTCCAGCAAGCCTTGACTCGGAGCCAGCTGCGACATGTAGTTCAAAGGTGGGAAAGGGGACACATGTCAACTTTGGCAAATCATAGCTCACCGTGCTTCTTTAAATATCCTTCCACTTACGGGAGGAGGCCACATCGTCCAACTCCATGGTTCCTGCAAGCTGTTCAAATCGCCCTTCTCTTCGAATAGGCACACTTCTATTGGCTGCGTGTCACCTAAAGTTGCTGTCCACTCTATTTCCTGCGTTTAACTCTAATGTAGCCTCACCAGCACCGCCTGTCGCAGCCCCATGCATTGATACAGCTTTTCCCACACAGAGTAGTATGACGAAATCTTCACAGGCGATATATACGATCCATGACATGTTTCTTTTTTCTTTCAATTCTGCGCCGTTTTACTCGAGTAGCCCTGCGGCAATTGTCTCTCCACCACTTCGTAGCACAACTCTCTGTCCAGCTTCCAACGGTACTTTGGATTCTAGCTTGACGACTACCCTGGCAACCTTGCCAGGCTGTACGATCTTGGGATTCTTTTTGAGAGTGACTCCTGTCGCCTTATCGAGCACCGCTGGGATAGCTTCAACACGGCCAGCAGCGTGCAACCGGCCACGGTGAACGTCCACAGGCATCGGCATCAGATGGTCGAAGGCCAGTACCTTCATCGTTAGTGTGTCGCTTGTTTCGATAGGTGCCGCCTTGCTGCTGATTATGTCGCCTACACGCACATGAATCGGGTCGATGCCGTACAGACCGATGTTAACGTTTTGACCGGCAACAGCCCATTCTTGCACCTCAGAGTCAACTTCAATCGATCGAATTGAGGCGGGCTCTCCACTGGGTTGCACAATGAGTGACTCTCCGTTCTGCACTGTTCCGGATTCTATCCGACCAGCGACGGTCACTTGGCTCTGCTGCGTGCGGTAGATCTCCGATATCGACATACGGAATGGCTTTTGAAGTGCCCTCGTCATCGGTTCTGACTCTTCCAGCGCCTCAATGAGGGTAGGGCCAGTATACCATGACAGGCCTTCGTCGTCCGGCCTCCGCACCAAGTTGTCGCCATTCAGTCCTGATATGGGAACAAAGGTGACGTTTTTAAGTTGAAAGCCGTTGCCCTTCATGAATCCAGTGACCTGCTCCGAGATCTCATCAAACCGGTCTTTAGACCAGCCAACCATATCCAGCTTATTGACGGCAACGATGACGCGCTGGACGCCCAAACTACGAAGAAGAAGGGCGTGCTCCCGCGTTTGGCCCTTCAGGCCCTTTTCAAAAGCGCCTGTGTTGGCATCGATGACGAGAATCGCAAAGTCTGCTTGACTGGCTCCAGCAATCATATTGGGAACAAAATCCCTATGACCAGGAGCGTCAAGAATCGTAAACCGTGTCTTATCTGTCTCAAACTGGTTTGTTGCGATATCAATGGTGACGCCACGCTCGCGTTCTTCTTCTCGTTGATCCATCACCCACGCAAGTGCAAATGATGACTTGCCAATTTTCTCGCCCTGTCGTCGATACCGGTCGATCAAGTGCTGCTCCACATACTTGAGTTCAAGCAGTAATCTGCCCATCAGAGTACTCTTTCCTGCATCAACGTGGCCTACCGCATGTTAATGGTGCCCAGATGTGGAAATAATAACATTGACATACCAACCACCACGAAACTTGCGCTCCTCTTGTTTTCGCTCTTCTCGAACTCCTTCAACACATCAAGCTTCTTGTTCTTGGGTGCTGCCGAATCGTCAAGCTGTAGCTGCTTCATTTCTCCGGCAGGTGCTTCGTTGGTCTTCGCCTTGGCGGCCACTTTCTTCGTTGCGCTCTTGGCAGCAGCAGCGTCGAACTTATTGCCCGCTGGAAGGTATTAGAGTTAGCGTTTTACTGGGTTTTCGCAAATCGCGAACCTTTCGCCTGAGCAGCGATCACGATGTCATCAGGGCTCGGCTGGGAGAAAGCACTGGGCACGAAAGATGAAGAAGCCATGTATGGCATGTTGTACGTTTGAGGGGCGGCAGCAGAGTCTTGAGCAGGTCCAAAGAGGGTCCGAGCAAAGGCAGATGGTCTCGTAGACGGCACAGTGAAGCATTCGTCCTCAGTCTGTTCAATGTCCCCCGTAGATGGTGTTTTCACTGAGTCAATCTGCATGTCCGAGGATGCTTCCCCAGCCGATGAGCTTTGCTGCAGTGGCTGAGCGAGTGTCGAGGATTGTGATTTTGCCTCTTCGGAAAGCTTTTGCCGTTTGGCCAGGATGCCTGAACCGAGTCTCACATTCTCCTTGGACGACTCATTGATCGCCAGAGAAGACATTCGTTTCTCTGCCCGGTCAACTTTGTCGTCTGTTTTATTGGCATCCGTCTTTTTCTTCCGTGCGGCTGCCAGTGCCTGGAGCTTTGAGACTTTTTGCCCCTCTCCGCCGCCAAGCAGGCCACCAGGAAGAGGTTGAGGAGCAGTCAAAATAGCATGTCGGTCTTTGGGAATGCCCATCCAAGATATGCCGTGGAAATAACAAGCTGCAGATAATGATGCAATCCTGGGAACTGGATACCCTGAAATCGGAACGACGCCAGCGTCATCCATCGCCTTGCTGTCAAACCCCCAGAAACCCAAGCCATCTGCCAAACGCTCAACGTCTGCTACTGCCGCTACCTGACGGAAAACCAGTATATGAATAGAAAGAAACCAACTTACCATCTTTGGTCTTCTTGGGCTCCTGCTTGGGTGGTGGAGCGATGTACTTTTTCTTGAGATAAGACACCGACTTTTCAATGTCATAGAAGTAGTACCAGAGTGCATCCTGGATCTGTTGTGTCGTGAGTTTGTCTGCGTCGGAACCTAGAGCGCTTCGCACAGCTTCAGTGCCTTGGGCCATAGCTTCACGGTCCTCGGGGCTGAGTTTATCGCCTTCATTCTCCTCTTCGTAGTCGTCGGCGTCATATTCATCAAGGACCTCCTCATAGTCGAGGTTGCGAACTGCCTGGTGGCGCGACATGTTGGTGACTCCTTTGCTTAGCTGATGGGCGGTGATTTAGTAGTGCAAAGAAACTGAGGTGGGTATCGTGAGAGATATAAAGAATTGAAGAACCACGGAGAAAAAAATGTTATTGCATGCCGTGTTTGCCGCCAATTTTTTATGTGTTGGTGGTGTGAGTCGTACCTGTCTCTGGTCAGGTTAGAAAGTTGCAAATGACGGCACTTGTGCTGGTAATGGAGGTGGGATGCGTGGGGCTTTACTTGGTCATGGAGGGGCAACCACGTCGATGGCGGGGTACCTCAGGTGCTGTTGCCTTCCCGGTAGGCTTTGTTAGGCGGTGAGTCGCCGGATTATCTCACCCCCGGTCACCGAAGCTTCTGGTCCCCCAGAATGGTAGGCACCACCAATTATTCAGAAATTTTGGTCCACCACGACCCGGTCCTTGGAGCTCAACCCCCCTCAACGCACGATACCTTGATTTCTCCGGCGCCGCTCCTAGTTGAATCGCACTACCAACCCGAACTTTTAGTAGAGTGCGAGGACCTTCACCATGGCTATGAGTATGTAGTTTGCATCTCCTGATTTTTTGACAATAGCTAACAAAAATGTCTAGACTTGGATTTGGCCAACGGTAAGCTAGGCGCCGAAACGACCTGTAGCTTCAGACCATACTGACAAATTGTGACTCCAGCGGTCGTGACGAAGGATGAGCAGGGCCGTCCCTTCATCGTTGTCAGAGAGTATGTGTTGCATCCCATCTCGAAAAAGGAGGCAAAAGCTGATTCCCCGCAGTCAGGGAAAGAAGAAGAGACAATATGGCAACGAGGCCGTAAAGAACCACATTCTCGCCGCCCGTACGGTAGCGAACATCGTCAAGACCTCACTGGGCCCCCGCGGTCTCGACAAGATCCTCATCTCCCCCGACGGAGATATCACAGTGACGAACGACGGTGCCACAATTCTGCAACAGATGGAGATTTCCAACCACGTCGCCAAGCTGTTGGTAGAGCTGTCCAAGTCACAGGATGACGAGATTGGTGACGGTACGACTGGTGTCGTTGTTCTTGCTGGCGCTCTGTTGGAGCAGGCGGCGGAGCTCATCGACAAGGGAATCCACCCCATCCGTATTGCGGACGGATACGACCAGGCTTGCGACATCGCTGTGTCGGAGCTTGACAAGATCTCGGACACTATCGAGTTCAGCAGAGAAGAGACAGGAAACCTGTTGAAGGTTGCACGGACAAGTTTGGGCAGCAAGATCGTCTCCAAGGCGCACGACCAGTTCTCCAAGATTGCGGTAGATGCCGTTCTCTCCGTTGCCGACCTGGAGCGGAAAGATGTCGACTTTGAGCTGATCAAGGTCGATGGCAAGGTGGGAGGAGCTCTGGAAGACACCATGCTCGTCAAGGGTGTCATTATCGACAAGGACTTCTCTCACCCCCAGATGCCCTCAGAGGTCAAGGACGCCAAGATTGCTATCCTGACGTGCGCCTTTGAGCCCCCTAAGCCCAAGACCAAGCACAGACTCGACATTACCAGTGTTGAGGAGTTTAAGAAGCTGCAAAACTACGAGCGCGAGAAGTTTATTGAGATGATTCAGCAGATCAAGGATGCCGGCGCCAACCTGGCCCTTTGCCAATGGGGCTTTGATGACGAGGCAAACCATCTTCTCCTGCAGAACAACCTCCCTGCCGTGCGGTGGGTTGGCGGCCCAGAGATCGAGCTGGTTGCTATTGCGACAAACGGCCGCATCGTGCCCCGGTTCGAGGACCTCAAGCCCGAGAAGCTCGGTACGGCTGGCCGCGTCAGGGAGATGACTTTTGGCACCACAAGAGAAAAGATGCTGGTCATTGAGGAGTGCGCAAACACTCGTGCGGTGACCGTCTTTGTCCGTGGTAGCAACAAGATGGTAAGCTAATGACGCACCTTTCCGCAGCATGGGCACAGCTAACATACGCCAGATCATCGACGAGGCTAAGCGCTCTCTTCACGACGCCCTGTGCGTTGTGCGTAACCTGGTTAGAGATAACCGCGTTGTCTACGGTGGTGGTGCCGCCGAGATTGCCTGCTCTCTGGCGGTCGAGGACGCCGCCGTTAAGACGCCCGGTCTGGAGCAGTACGCCATGCGCGCGTTCGCCGAGGCCCTGGACGCCGTGCCCATGGCCCTGGCCGAGAACAGCGGTCTGAACCCCATCGCTACTCTGGCCGAGGTGAAGAGCCAGCAGGTCAAGGCCGGCCCTTCGGGCCGCGGAAAGCTTGGTGTGGACTGCATGGCCCGCGGTAACAACGACATGAAGGACGCCTTCGTCATCGACCCCCTTATCAGCAAGAGACAGCAGCTCATGTTGGCGACGCAATTATGCCGGATGGTGCTGAAGGTGAACAACGTCATCGTTGCCGGGTCTGGCGAGGAGGACTTTTAAAAGAGTAAAGTAAAAAATGATGATGAACGGAAAATAGGTTCTAGACGGGTCTATGGTGTTTGAGATTATACCAAGCTTTGTACTATGCAAATAGAGAGGCCCTCAATGTCGAGACCAATACCAGTCCTCGAATTCCCCCAAGACGCCGCCGGTCTATCCGTATCCTTCTGATGTGTCTAAATCTACTGCATCCAGCCTCTCTCGGCGCTGTACTTGAGGTACGGCTCAATATCTCTGTAAAAGGTGCGCTGCAACTCAGCCTGCTGCTCAGGGGTAGGACGAGCATTCTCGCCCTGGCGGCGCTCCCAGCTCTCCTGCGTCTCCGTGAGGTGCGCACTTTCGTCCTTGCCGGTGCTGTCGACGAAGTTGTACGATCTGAACTCGGTGTTCTCCCAGCCCGTCGCTGTGTTCTTATAAGCAAAACCGGTCTCTCACCAATTTTATTCAAAAATGTGCATGCGGACGTGAGATTAGAGGGGAAAAAAAAGAGGGAAAAAAAAAAAAGAAAAAAAACCGGACATACCTTTTCCATTTGCAATGCCAAAGAAATCGTTCGTCAGAAAGTGAAGGAAACCGCCGTGAGTAACGACAACGACGTGCTCGTCGCCCTGTACATCGCCAACGAGGTCCCTCAGCGCCCTTCTCGCCTCAGCGGCCCTCTTCTCCAGCTTCTCGAGCGTGGGCTCCCACTTAGACGACGGGCTCGTCTTGTCAATCCAGTCATCGGGGACCCTGCTGAAGTCGACGCGGCCCTCAAACTCGCCCTCGATCTCAGAGATGGCGGAGCCGGTGTCGCACGGAGCGTCGGAGACCTCTTGGACCTCGGGCAGTGCGATGACTTTCAGGCCGCGGCCGACCTGCGCCGCGGCGTCGGAGCCGAAGCCGAGAAGGCAGGTGTGCAGGGTGCGGCGCAGCGGGCTTGCGACGAGGTGGGTAAGTTTGTCATGGTAAGGGAAGGCGGCGCGGAGGGCGGCGCACTGCTGCTTGCCCAAATCCGTGAGGAGGGGGTCCCGGATGGACTCATTCTCAACGCAGAGGTTGTGGAAGCCCTGGGCGTGGCGGACGAGGTGGACCTGAACAACCATTTTTTTTTTCTGTTTTTGGAGGGTGAGCGAAGCAGGATGTTGTTTCTGATGTGGCAGTGAGAATATTTGGAAAATGTCTATGATGTAGTTTCTTGTTCTATACGAGAACGGACCAACACGGAATGACGTGTTTCGCGGGGTGTGGGAATAATGAGAAGCGACAATGTATGAGAACGTCTTTGCAAGTCTAAAAAAAAAAAAAAGGAAGAAGATGTGATGTGGTCTATTTATTCACAGTATAGGAAAAAAGTAATCAGGGTGAATATCAGGTTGTTTGGTGGAGGAGGGGTTTCCGTTATTCACGATCCAATTATAAAAGCACGCTGCATTCTCGAGACAGCCACTTGGGCGACGTAATGGCTCCTGTCTCGGGGAGATTCCTTGGTTTGGGAGGAGTGCACCCAGTGTGGATTGCTTCCTAGACGGATACGGGGATTATGGAGGGACGAGGAACCTTCTGAAATGACTCAAACGAGGCAAACTGGCAACACTCTGCATTGTGCAGAAGGAATGGGCCCGCCGTAGCGGCGCCGATGACTGGGGCGAAGATGGGTCACACCCGTCTGACATCCGGCGGGTGCGGTTGGGCCGACTAACAGATTCGGGTTATCAATTCGGGCAACTAAGTCTCTTGCCGAGATGATGGCCGACTTCGTCGTAGCTCTCGGGATTACTGCTTATGGTAATTTACATTTTTATAGTAGTGTGCAGTCTCTAACGTTGAGTTAGCCTGCAGCATGTATTGTGACTGAGACTGGTACGAAACGCCTTTAGTGCTGACAAAGCCAGATGCCTTCCTATAAGGACGAAATATTGTTGGCAGCCACTATGGTTCGACTTTCTTATAAGTATTCTTTTTGTGGTCATATAAAGGAAAAATAGCCAGTATCGAACCAGAAGAAAAATACAGGATCAGGAGGGAAACAACACATCACGCCGAAGATGGGCAAGAGAGGAATGAGAATATGAAGACAGCAGCAATGAAGCTAACCAAAAACACCAGAATCCGGGCTTGTATGACCTGGAGCAGAATCCCCAGTAGCCGTAGAGGGCTACCGCTCAACTTACAAAGCCTATCAGTACTGAGGTCAGACACCTGCGTCCTGCCGTAGTAATAAAGTGAAATCACATTCTCAAACCAGTATGTTTCCATTGAGGAGGTCCTTCACTCGAAGATAGAAGCGCTTTCATCATGTGTTATATAAGTAGATAAGGAACGGTTCATGAATCACTCGAATGCTTTCCGCAGCTGTTCACAAAATACTCAGCCGGCAAGGTTGCTTTTTTAGTGACAACCAGCAGGATTTTATACACTCGTTAAGTTTATCGTGCAATGGTATTATTAGTCTTTTTAACTCGTGCCACGCTTACTTCACATGAAGATCGCAGATCATTGTTCTCAGCGACAACCTGCACAAGGGATGCATGATGCCCAACAAAATGTCATTTTACAGCTCAATCTCAAGCCCGAGAACGCAACGTACTTGGCTTACCCTTGCGACCCTGAAACGCCGGAAACCTATGTAGAGACCTGCATGCTACTGGACCACCTCTTTTCAAAGATCAATCAGACTCTCCTCAACTGCTGGCTGTTTAGGGGCGTTTTGCGGCGCAGTCGGGTATGACTCCTGGGTATATCCGCCATTGTACTGGCCTTGCCATTGTTGTTGTTGTTGCTGCTGCTGCTGCTGCTGCTGCTGCGGCTGCGGCGGCGGCTGCTGGGCCGATTGCTGCGGTACAGACGGCTGCCAGTAGCTCTGTTGCTGGGGTGGAGCGTGTTGCTGCTGTGTAGGCTGAGCGGGCTGGGCAGGCGTTTGAACGGGCGTCTGCTGGTGAGACATGGACTGTCTATACTGCATCGACTGTTGAAGGTTCGGGTAAGGAGAGGGATTTGGGTCTGCGGAAGGCGGAGCAGACGGGGGCGCACTAGGTTGCTGCGCATTGAAGTAATAGGAAGAGTTGGGGTCGGCGGAAGGCGTCCCAGCGGGCTGAGCCGGCTGGTTTTGGTGGTTTGCTGGAGGCGTTGGCTCGCTAGGGTATGGTGCTTGTGGCGCGTACTGCGCGTCTGGTACAGGAGCGCCCCCGCTTCTCCAGCTGTCTGTCCGCTGGGGCTCCTGAGGGTACTGGCCTCCCGGGGGTCCGGCAAGGGATGCTCGCTTGTCAAAGGTTGCATATTGAGGCTGGGGTGTTTGTTGCAGGTGCTGAGGGTAGGCCTGAGGTGGCGGTACGTGGCCGTAGTCCATCCGTTGGTCACCAGTATAAAAGTTCTCGGCAGGACCAGGGGCACTCGCTTGAAGGGAAGGGTAGGCATTGACGGGCTGACGAGGGGGAGGGAGATTGTATCCTCCGATAGCGTGTTGGCTATACGCCTTCGAGAGACGCTCCTCCAGCATGCGGTCGTAATACCGAACGACAGTGGAAAGCTTGGCATGGAGATCCAGTAGTGTATCTAGCAGAATATTAACGATGGGAACTAGAAATGCCAAGATCATACTTACCATGCTTGCTCATCGTCTCTCCATAAGTGCGAGCAAGCTTCGGTCGCAAACTACCGATGCTGTCATAGAGCTCTTGGATTTGAGGCTCTCGTAAAATGGTGCCAGGGGGCTGTGTTTGCAGACGGTCAACGAGGGTGGCGAATAGGTTGATGTTCTCCGCCTCAACCGGCGTAAGCTCGTAGTCATTCTTGGGCAAAGAAAACTGCTGTGTCGACGTGGGACCAGAGCTCGAGGTCTGTTCCTTCAACGCAGCGGCATGCCTCTGCTTCTGCTCCTCCATATCGGCCAGTGAAGCAGCGATGGCAGCCTTGAGGTCCTCGTCCTCCTCCTCGGCGTTATTTGTGGGCGCAGATGAGCTGCCGTTGACCTTGAAATCCGAGGGGCCGCTGGCAGTAGGAGCGACATAGCCCTTGGAGTAGTTCTTGACCTCCTCCAAACTCATGGCGAGAGCCTTCTTCAGATCTTCGTCAAATGCGTCATCAACGCGTGCATTGCGCGGTTGCATAGCAGAAGTGCTTCGGGTCTTGTATGGGTAGGTGGGAGATCGGTCCTGAGGCAGCGGGGAGGTTCCGCCTCCTTTGACAGACTTGTCGGTGAGTTTCGCGTAGCAGCCATCATCAACACGGACGGGCTGCAGAATTCCCAGATGGGGGAGCGGCAGCGACTTGGTCGAGCACTGCTGGTCGAAACAGTTGCCGCAGTTTCGACAATGATGCTTTCGGTTCGTGAAGGTAAAGGGAGTTCGGCATCTCATGCAGACATCTGAATCAACCCACTCGGGGGGCTGGCGGTTGGGTCAGCATGGGTTCTGCACACAGCAACTGAGCCGGGGAATACTTACAGCGCTACTGTCGATCATGCTGCTGGAGACGGTCACTCTGGGAGGAAACTGATGACCTTCTCTCTGAAGTGTCTTGTAAACTTCTCCGATATATCCCAAATCGTGGCGGCCTTCGGTGGCGATGGCCCAGGACTGTATCAGCTCGAGTATCTTCTGCTTGACTTCGTGGTTGACGGCGGCGGGACCAACGGCTTGGAGCAGCGATGTCAGATTGTCCATGAATTCTCTGGAGGCAATCTCGGCGAGGAAGTGGGTGCCTCCATTCTTAACGCAGGTATCGGTAAGCTGCCATCCAGGTTAGCTTAGTCAAAGGTGGCCTAGGCAGCAGCGAAAGCATACATTGAGGGCGCTCAGTTGGGTGTTTGGGTTCTTGTTGCCGATGCGCCTTTTCAGAGAGCGCATGGCCTCCTTCGGCTGGACGGTCTTGGATCTGATGACATCAGAGATCTCGAGGTTCAAAGCGATATCCTCCCTGTTGCACCGTTAGAATAAGGACTTTGTTCGACTAGCCGAGGGTCATACAAGCTGCTGCTGGTTGCTTTCTCGATCTGCTCGTCCAGGGCCGTGTTGGCCGAGCTAGACCACCAGCCCATCATCGTGAAGGCGGCTGAGGAACGTGGGATCGGTGGGGTTGGAAGCAAACAAGCGGATATGGATCGTCGCCGGTATGTAAATTGTGTGTGTATATGCCTTGTGCGCGGTCGCGATGGAGGGGCGTTTTCGGATTACGAAACGCAGTTTAAATGGATTGCGCGTAGGGATATTGATGGAAGACGACGGAGTAAAGCTTGGTGTGCGTGTCTGTCGGCCGGGCCAGATGCAGCCTTGGGGTCGGAAAGGGTGCGTGTGGTTCGTTCAGTTGGAGATGCAGCAAGATAGGCTAGGCCGAGTGCGTAGCTTGCCTCTGTCTGTAGGGTACTGTTCAGGCGGGCGGATTACGGTGCGGTACCTTGCTGCGTACGTTGGACCTTGAGTGGGTTACGTTACGTTGGCTCAGTGCGTAGTCAGGCAGTTAGCCTTAGCTAACGGGCTAACCTTACGTATGGGCAGGGATTGGGATGGGATTCGCTGCCTTCCAGGCTGGCGTTGCGGACTCGCGGCTGCTCCGCTCAGAGGACAATCGCACCTGTGACAACCAGCAACAACTGCGCTAAACCCAAAAGATGAGAGGAAGTGCAATTGGGAGCGGCTGGGCGGCTTCCCCAGAAGATGACGAAGTTGGGAGCATTTAAGTGGGACTCAGTGTGGCGCATGGATTTGCCAGCTCGCCCAAGATTGCTGTGGGAACTTGGCATTAACATGCCAACAAGACGAACAGGCACCCGACATCGAAGGAGTTGGTGTAAACTTTCTATGTAAATACAATGTGTTTCTCCTTGGAGCAGGACGAGATGATAAGTAAAGCAGCAACTGAAAAACAACATTGTGGGTATCACAGAAAGTCTAGATATATTAGCTGTGGCGCTGCATTGCTGAGTTGGCAGTCATGCTCTTACTACTACTACCACCATGTGCTCCGTACTCCGTGAGGTAGACACAGTCAGCCAGTCCAAGGAATAATCACCTCAGTTAGCGTCCAATTCGCCGCCCAACCCTGTATTGGAACGATGAACTGGCCCGTCCACCCCTCCTCTTCCAGTGAATCAGTGCGATACCCTGAAGGGACTGCCCGCCTGTTCCAGCGGCCGAACCACTGAAAAGGCCGGATGCATCAGTGGTCCCGTCCTTTCCTCCACAGTATAATAGTACCAACTCGGTCGGATAAGCTACCGCACCGCCCCCCCAAAACACACCCGCTGCAACAGTACCGTTCCCTCTCCACAATGTCTTGCCATTGTTGAAACTGTTAGCGCCCAGCGACAACGAGGCTGTCCCTCCACCACGGACCATCTTCCTTTCCCAAGACTGCACTACCACGCAGGAAACACATACATACCGCTCGTCAAAGACACCCTTTCTCTTCTTGTCCATTCTTTCCACTGCGCAACCCCCATTCAAAGAAATCATGTGCAATCCAACCCGCCCTGCAGAAGCTAGATAAACGAACCTGCTGCCCCCCGCGGCCAGCCTTCTAAAGCGTGCCGCCACCTGCCACTCATGACGAACCCGCCGCCGACTGTCGTTGCCTCCGAGTCCCGCCCTCCGTACCTCGACTCCTCCGATTCCTACCGCCACCACCGCTACTCATTCTCTTCCATATCGCCACTTTTAGCTCCTGCTCTCTCTGTTCGAGCTGCTGCGCTTGCAACGACATGATCCAACCTCTACATCCGACCCCAAGACACTGTTTTTCCTTCACATGAGTTCGACGGCTTCCTCAGCCACCAGAACCGTTCTTGGTGGTGGCGGCTCGGCCATGCCCAGCGGCAACGCCCTACACTCCTTCGCCATGGGAGGAGACGGGGCATCTGCCGGACGCGGCGGCAAACCCCCGCTACCCCATATCGACGACCTCACCTCTGCCTCCCCCGATGTCGACATGAAACTGCCCTTGCGCAAGATCCTCGAGAAGGGCGACAATGCCATGCGACAAGCCGAGACCTTTCGCGACTTTGGTAGACCTGATCTGGCCTTCAAGGAATATATCAAAGCCTCCTTGATTGCTGTCAGATACGTGCCACAGCACCCCGATGCTCTGTCGGTCAGGGGCGGCCACGGAGACATGAGTCGCATTTACACCGCGCTCATGAAAAAGATAGACTCGCAGCATGGAAACTTTGAAAAGATCAAGGCCGATATCATTGCCGATAACCAGAGGACTGGCGTCAAGCGCACGACCTCACGACCGTCCTCCATGATCAACGGAGAAGTGAACCGGCCGATGACACCGCAGGGTCACCCGGGTACGCCGGTTATGAGCCCCACGAGGTCTGAAGCTGGAACCCATGTCAATGGTTCACCATCTCCCAAGTCTAAGCCTACGGTCCAGCCGAAACCACAGGCTCTGCTCGGGAACTCTATACGCTCGGGCACTGGAGCTCCCGGTGGCAAGAGCAAGGTCACCGAAGATCTGGCAGCCCGCTTCGCCAACCTCCGAGGACCGGTACCATTGCCCGGTCAGGACCCCCGTATACGAACGCATCCCATCGTTCCGCCGAGACCAGCAGGACCGAGGGCCATGCCCACCCCCGAACCGATCGAGAAACCAAAGGTGGCACTGGTTACGAATCTTCCGGACCTTCCCAAAATGCCAGACGCCATCTACAGCCCAGCTAGGGGGACCGTATCGAACGAAGCCGCCTCACTACCCTCAAGTACGCCGCGCGGCTTGTTCAGCAGAACGGGTTCTTCAGCCACGATTAACACCGTCCTCGCCAATAGCAACAAGTCCTCTGATTACTTCGCGCCTTCCCATCCCGTTCCAAATGCCAATTCTGTCCCTGTCAGAGCCCCTAGCATCTCGATCCCCGAGGGCGACACTATTACTGCCGAAGATCTAATGAACTACACAAGACGGGGCTCGGCCACTCTCCAAGTCCTAATAATCGACGTTAGAAGTCGAGATGATTTTGACGAGGGCCACATTTTGTCGCAGGCCGTGATTTGCATTGAGCCCAGCATTCTCCTGAGAGAAAATATCTCCTCTGAACAGATCGCCGAGAGTATGGTGCTTTCACCAGCGCAGGAGTATCACCACTTTGAGAGGAGAGATGTCTTCGACCTCGTGGTATTCCATGACCAAGACTCGGATTCTATCCCCCGATACATTTCCCCTGACATGGACGCGGCGGCTTTACTATCACTCCAGCGAGCATTAACGTACTTCAACTACGGAAAGGAGTTAAAGAACCCTCCAAAACTGCTCCAGGGAGGTTTGGATGCTTGGACTGATCTGGTTGGGAGAAGCGCTCTCGCAACGTCGCAAACGGCAGGTGCTGTCAGAGCTCCCCGCATCCGATCTCCATTGAAACCCACAATCTCCATCTCGAAGCCAAACAGGCAGTACAAGGTCACGCCGTTGAAGCCTGAAGAAGTCAAGTTATGGGAGGAGACACTGCACAACGCCGATCTCGAAACCGCGAGGTCTCCTGGTTTCATGCATGTGCGTAGCACCGAGGAGTTTCTGCGAAGGTTTCCTGCCGTCTCAACTGAGCAGGAATCGATGCAGTCACCAGTCAGCCCAGACAGGCCGACTCACAGCTATGGTCAGAACCACGTCGATATCTACTCAGACCTGCCATCGCCGCCCACTCGGCCAGCTCCCGCCGTACCTCGTCCGAGCTACAGTGGCCTGTCTCAAACGCAGGATGACCACGAAGCTCCTCAGGGCCTTTCTTTCCCAGCCCAGGCACGGAACTTAAAGCAGGGCCCGTTGGCTCGTCCCGATTCTCCCTCGGTGACGAATACCGTCAAAGATGGCCACCATATTACTGGTTTGAACAACCCAGGCGTGTGGTGCTACGCCAACAGCTCTATTCAAGCACTACGGATGTCACCGGGCTTCGGCAAGGAGCTGGCTACTTTTGAGTGGCAGAACACGTACAAGGTGCCCAAGAAGGCTGATGAGAAGAATGACCCGCCCCAACTGATGTCGCGAATCCTATCCAACTTGTTCCATTGGTTAGACTCTGGCAAGTTTGATGTCATGAAGGCGCAGACACTGATGGTAAGTTTCTCTTACTGTATTCTCACTGTAAATTACTGACCCAGTACAGGACTATTCTCGATCAGTCTGTGAAAAGAGCCGAATCAAGGATAAGGGCGACGAATTCGGCGGCAATCGGCAACAGGATGCCCAAGAGTTCATGTCATGGCTCATGGCTTACCTTCACGAGGAGACAAACATGCGACGTGACCGTAGCGGAGACGACAAGTCGAGTATACCACCACAGATGAAGGGCGGCAAGTCAATGCTTCAAGGGGCTTACGAGTGGTGGGGCAATTACTCGAAAACTAACCTCTCCATCGTCGACAAGTACTGGCGCGGCCTGGAGCTCTCAACTGTGGTGTGCTCGAGATGTCACAACCGTACATACAACTGGGCTACGTTCGACTTCATCTCAGTACCGATCAACGGTGGGACACAGACGATCGAGGACTGTATGCGGTCGTACATTGAGCCAGAGACTCTCCCCGACTATAAGTGCGACAACTGCAACATGAACGTGCAGGGAAGAAAGCAAATTGCCCTAGCGCGTCTTCCGGAGCTCCTGTGTCTCTCTTTCAGGCGCTTCGACTACGATTCCACCCTCCAAGTGCACAAGAAGCGGGACATGATCACATGGGATTTTAACAATCTCAATCTCGACGCGTTCTTCATCCCGCCCGAGGAGCGCAACACGGTAGGACCGCCGCTTGACGAAAAGTTTGAGCTCCCATTCGACTACGAGTGCTACGCCGTCATCATCCACACCGGAACGAACATCACCAGCGGCCACTACTACGCCTACGTCCGCGAGCCGCAGAACCCAGATCCGCACGCCTGGTATCGCATCAGCGACGCGCGTGTGACGCCCGTGCGTATCGACGGCACAGGGCGCGGATCCGACGCCAGTCGCGACGTATTCAAAAAGGGCACCAGCGACGTGCCGTACCTCGTATTCTTCCGCAGGAAGCAAGGCCGGACTAGACGATGATCTTGTTATTGCTGTTGTAATAGAAGCTATTGGGGGTGTTACAAAAAAAAGAAACGTCAGATGTACATGCGATGCTTGATTCTTCTGGAATATTGGAGAGAGGGTGGACTTACTCATATAGAACTAAATGATTGCGGGCGCTTGCTGAAAGCATGAAACGATGTAACCTCTTTTTTCTTCTTCTGCGGATTGGCTTTTCTACATCTTTTTCAAGCGCTTTCTCCAAAGCATGGCGTCTGGTGGGGTCTTGCCTGTCGCATGAGGGACGGACAGAGTCTTTCTATACGAATGGATTTCGCGACGAGGCTACGACAGAATAGTTGTTGCTGTTGTTGTTTTTTGAAATGAGAATCGCATATTCTGGGTTGTCTTGGACCTGCGACACTTTTCATGCCACATCATTGGCGGTTTATCGTGTAATGTGCAGATGTGACTGCTTTGTTCAGTGGTTAAGCTAGGTAAGACGGTCGGGTTTCGTTGACGTGGTGTCGTCGGTTCCGTCGGATTCGTCGGATTCGCTGCACCTTCAGCCACCCGCGCTTATATCTCTCCGGCTGTCATCGACCACTGCGATGCCCCCCCTTTTTCGAGGACCGGATGTATGATGAATACGTCGGCTGTGGCTCTCGTCGGATTGCACTTTCGTCACGTCGGATTCACGAGAAGATGTGTTTTACACAGCTTTTGTTGTTTTGCGGCGAGAGGGGGTTGAATGGCAGGCGATGGATAGATATAAGAGATGAGGGAGTTCCGTGGTTGAGAGGTGAATTCTTCTTGTACGTGAGGATCTTCATCATACAGTCTGGAAATACCTACTTCCTCTCATTCGTCTCTTTGAAGCTGGCTGGAAATTCTCGCAAACTCCTATCGATACTACACTTACACTCACACGCGCACCCATACAAACTTCAAAAGTAGTCATGGCCTCGGACGAGATCGTGTGGCAATACACCCCCTTCTTCCCTCTCGCGGTCATCGCTTCAATCCTCTACGGCATCATATTTCTCCATCTCTTCTATCTAACCGTCATCCGTTACCGCGCGTGGTTCTTCCTCGCCGTGGTCGTCGGCGCGGCCGTTGAGGTCGCAGCTTACTCCGTGAGATGTTACTCCGTCAAAAACCAGACACAAGTTGTAAGCTGCAGCTGTCTTTTTCCCCTCCCCGGTCCATCTTTATTAAGGGAGCATCATGAGGGAAGAAGTAGACAACAGACTAACAAAGCCCAGACCCCCTTCGTCCTAACCCTAACCTGGACGGTCCTCGCACCCGTACTGGTCGCTGCCGGAAACTATTTGCTCATCGGCCGCCTCATCCGAGCCGTTCTTCCTCCGTCTCACCATACCGTCTTTAAGCTTCCCGCGCGATTTCTGACGCGGCTGTATGTCTCGTGCGATATCCTGTCCTTCTTCGTGCAGGGTGGCGGGTCCGGCGTCGCGAGCTCCGACAACTGGACCGGCAACACAGGGAGAATCGGCACTTACATCCTCATCGGTGGACTGAGCTTTCAGGCCTTTGCTTTCGGGACGTACCTATGTGTCCTCGTCAGGTTTCACGTGCTGGCGCGGCGGATGGAGGTCGAGGATGCTCCGGCAGGGTGGAGGTTGGTGTTGAAGGGTGTTTACACCAGTAGTTCCCTTATCATGGTGAGTCCTATTTTTACGAAATCCCGGGAAGTAATGTGATAGGTTCGCTCGCTAATATTTTGATTGTAAATGTAGCTTCGCTCGATCTACAGAGTCGCCGAGTTCTCTGAGGGCACCGACGGCTACGCCTTCCGCCACGAATGGCTTTTCTGGGTTTTCGAGACGTTGCCGATGCTGATTGCCATCGGCGTGTTCTGCGTCTGGCACCCGAGCAAGTATCTCGGTAGTAATGGGGCGAAGATCAAGTCGCCCAAGAAACACAAGGATCTCGAGATGCGGAAGACGTCCAGGCGATTTGGGAAGGGCTCTCGCGGAGAAAATGCCGTATAAGCAAAATGTTCTTAGGTCGACAATCTCGTTGGTGAGGCGGGAAAGGTGATCTTTGGGGGTTCTATGAGAACCGGCAGGGTAGAGTATGGAGGTGTGGAGAGAGGAATAGATGTGAGACAATGGCGTTAGGAAATTAGAGTAGTGAATTTGCGGTACGCCCAAGACAATATTTATTTTGTTCGGATCTTTGCATACTCAACTACGACCTCGAAACTTGTAGCTTTCACCCTTACTCCCCATCGAGAGAATTCCTTGTTAAACAACCCAAGATACCAATTGCAAACCAGGTCATTGGTTAAAAAAGGAGACGAATCATGTTGAAAATCAGTCTTGAAGCTTTCAGTAAGACGCGCGACAGAGACAGTAGCGAGAAATAAATAGCACCGGTGGCGTTGAAGTGACTGACAAAGTCTGCCATCTCGACCCTTCTGGTTAATGCTGGCGGGATCAATCGACGGTGGCCGTCTGCCAGGCAAGCATCTTTGATACTCGAATCACATCCAAGCATTGGAAAACCGCGTGAGTCTGGTGTCTAGTATCCTCAGCCGAAGCAATCTCCGATCCATCGACCGCATCTTGACGACAGCCTGCTAAGGACCGAAATCTAACCGATGCATCCAAGGGCTCAAACTCGCGTGAGCAACGCCCAAGTGATAGTCAACGCAAACCCCCAGCCCTACGCCGCTGAGAACAGGTCTAAGGAACCACCCACGTCTCCAACCCACGTCTGACTCTCCGCCACTCTAAAGCCGGCGTCTTCCTTGTCCACAGCTTTCCTCGCGAACTCCAGGGGCCACCTCATATACCGCCGCAGATTTCCCGGCAAGCCTCTTGCGATCTTCTCGAGCCAGCTCAAAGTAACCCGCTCTCTAAGCCGAGCATCCCGGTCCCCTTCGATGCGGTAACCCACCATTCCGATGACGTAGGCCAGGAGGAAGAAGTGCGCGAGGAGGAGCTGGGCCGTGTGGTTATCTGGCGAGGTGAAATGGACGAATTCCTGGTGGCTCATTGTAGCAAAGCGGTTGTAAATCGCCGTGAACGTGGGATATGCTGTGGCCGCAGGTAAGCTGGGTTTTCACTTACAAGAGACTCATCACGCTCGGTCTAGAAGGCAAGAGGCAGTTACAAAAAGAAAAAAAAATGAAGAAAAGAATTACTTACCATCTTCAGACTCTGCTAATGTAAGCTGGATCACCCTCCGAATTTCGGCCAGATACTCAACCTCCAACACACTCCCGCACAAAGGAGCGAGAGCGGCGAGGTTCTCAATGAACCCAACCAGCACTCCCAACCGAGCGTCGCCTTGCACGGAACCCAGGCCCTCCGAAGAACCGTTGGTGCTCAGCTGCTGTTTGAAGTTGTATACGTGTTCCTCTCTCGAGAACGTCCGGAACGCCGAGTCCTCAAAGCTGGGCATCGCTTTCATTGCGACAACGTGGCCTGGTCCATGGTCAGTCGAGCGAGATAGAAACCAGTAAAGCAACGGGGCTCTCGACACTGTCACTTACACCCCCGAACCATGGATATGAAGTCATACATGCCCTCCGGCATGTAAGAAGCCTGGAAAGTGAGCGCCATCATCGCAGCAAACGCCGCGTCCCCGTCTACCTTGGACAGCCCCGGGCTCGACAGCCTCGCGTTCAGAGCCTGGATGGCCTTGACCCTGTGGCCGAGCGCTTGGCTAGATGATGCCGCGCCTGTAGTCGCGCTGCAGAGTTCAAGATGAGAGGCGCCGAGACCGAGCATGGCGTGGAGGAGGAAGTCGTACTGTCAGCAGCGCCCATCATTAGTCCACAGCACGCGGGGGTGGGGGAGTCCAACTGTGCGATAATCAGGACACACTCACATCGTGTGCCATCCTCGCGGCACCCCTCCATATCTCCTCACCCCCGATAGGCAGAGGCGGTATGGCGTCGAGGAGGAAGTGCTGAAGAAATCTCATGTCCCCGGCCCCAAACACCACGCCGGTTCCAGCGTTCTGCAGCGCATGTCTCGGGTTCCCCAGCGACACGCCCAAGCCGACGCTCGCTTCGTCTATCTCGACCCCTCCTCCATGATTCCACGAGTGCCAGTAGTCCTCCTCTGGAACAACCCTTGGAGTGGTGGACAAGGAAGACGAGGACGATGATGACAGAGACGATTGCCGAGCCTCGGTGTCTCTCACCGACAAAGCCCGCTTCTCAGGCCCAGTCCACTCGCACACGATCCCCATCCTCCTGCAGCCCTCGCACTCGGGCCTCACCTCCGAGCATTTAACTTTGCGGCGCTTGCACCCGATGCACCCATTCCGGGACTTTGTGTGTCCTTTACGCGGAATCGGACGACGCCTGGGGAGCGGGGTACCCCCGGCGGCGGCGGCGGCGAGCCGGTACCCTACAACGGGCCCAGCCGAAGAAGCCAGGGATCCTCCGGCCCCAGATGCTCCGCTCTCCATCCGTGTCCGAAAATACACTTACAACCCAACCCTTTTCCAAATCGGAGTCGATGGATAACGGGGGAAAGCGGCCAAGAAAGAAAAAAGAGGTGACTGGTAGACTGTTGTCAAAATTAGGCTGTCCAAACATCCAAACTCCGAAACCCGGAAGACCATGATCCTTTGGGATGAAAGCCATGGGACGAAGAAAACAAACTTGATACGTCAGTTCGCCCTGCTTACTGCTGACGTCCCCCTCGGGCCGCGCAGCAGCCGGTGGCTTGGGCGGATGAATACGCCTACCTATAGGATCAAATGTTGGTGGTTTTATGCAAACATAACGGGAGGGGGGTAATGTAATGGGACGGGCCAAAATCTCACCGACTATGCCCGCGTCAATCCTTTGCGTGTCTCGACGCAACTCAAGCATCCCTCCCCCCTCCCTTATTCCAATACCTGTTTGTTCCTAATCCGGACAAATGAGCTTGTCTCAAGCTGTTCACCAAGCCTCAGGCCTGCTAGGTGATCGACGCTAATTACACCGAGATTAGCGTATCGTGTTGCCTGCGAATCATTACAAGCTTTTGGGAAGCCACATTGAGAAAATGCCATTGGGTAACTGGAGATTGCATCAATCTATAGGTATGAACAAAAAATAACCGTTTGTCTTATTGCATGATAGGAAAAAGAACTCGACGAGAAAAGAAAAAAGCGTTTTGCGGTGTGTATTCATTAGTAGTCTGGTTTTACACAAAAGAAGAAAAGCTACAGATACATGGCCAGTAGTATCGTCCATTTGTTTTTCTGGGCAGGGCTGCTGGAAACGGGTCGGATCGCTGGGGGTTCCTGATTATACACTAATCCACATCTAAGCCTTCTCTAGAGGGTGTCGCAGATTCTTTTCCAGTTTACAGGTGCATGATTAAGGAGTGTCAGTATACGGTGAAGGTGGTGGGTGCTGCTGGGCTTGCAGGTGTGTCTGTTCCGTCGCCTCAGGAGACGGAGGCAAATCATCTGTATCCACAAAGGCTGCCGCCGTGGCCGCCGCCACACGGAGGTCGCTGCGTGCCGAAAACCGTCGAACCGATCGTGATGAGCAGTCAGAGTACCTTCTCATGGAGTTTCTGTTTCCAGATTCGGAGGCTCTCCTTTCCGGTGTCGCCGGTGCCGTGGCGGAGGACATGACGGGCTCCTCTTTTGAGCTAGACGGGACGGCAGCACCGTCTTCCCTGAGCGTCATGGCCGACCATCGCTCCGCGTGAGCGTTGGGGGTGCTTGGCTTCAGAAGGAACGAACGCCTCTCGACAGGGGGGCTAGGAGGCTCTCTCAGAGGGAATGGGCTGTCAACGAGCATCGCCTTCGCGGCAGCCTTTTCTTCAGTGTATCTGGATGACGAAGATGAGGCGACGGCTTCCAGAGGCTCAGACTCGTCAATGTTTTCAAAAGTAGGCGATGCCTTTGCAACGTATCCTGAACCACGCTTCTCATTGGGGTCTCGGATCGGTCCGGGTTCCTTGAGTGTCATTGCTGAAGACCATCGCTCGCTACCTCGTTTCTTGTTAAGGCCGGTCTTTTCGTTAAAGGGCTCGTCAGCACCTCCATCTCTCAGGGTCATAGCAGAAGACCACCGCTCGGTGTTTTGCCTGAAGCTTGGTGGGATCATAGGAACAGGTTCGATGTTATCGTCCACGATGCGCTTGGCAGCGGTTTTTTCGCTGGAAGACGATCCTGCAATAGAGGCGTTGTGGCTGGCTGTTTTCTTGAGTTCATTTTCCTTTCCGGGCACGTCCTTGTCGCTGGCGGACTCGCCCTCGAGTCTCAATGTCAAATACGTAACGCCAGAGGGGTAGTAACCCTCTTCGATAGCCCGGGTGAGGTCGTAACGGGCTTGGTCGCTGATGGATCTAGTGAGGCGTAGCGTCTTGACGTTCTCTCCGTCGAGTGTCTCATCCCAAGTCTTCTGGAACATGAGCGCGATCTCATTGATGAGCAGGAGAATGTAACAGGCAGCGAGAACAGCCAGGTCCTGAGTTTGGTGGGTTGTCGGGTAGTCTGTATTTACCCGCCTAGCCTGTGGGCTGGTCTGGCCGGCCTTTTGCACAGTGATGATCTTGATGATGGTCACGGCCACACTCATGATCCAGAAAATAATGTTGGCCGGCTGCCAGTTGCGAATGCGGCCTTTGGCGCCCCGTGTTGCCTGCATAACGGCGGAGACAGCGCAACCTACAAAAATAAATGGCAGCAGACCGACGCCAAAGCCAATTTGTGCTAGCCTTCCAATCTCCATAGCCTCCATGAGAAAGACGACCAGAATGGTAAAGTAGTAGAATGACAGCTGGGCGTGTCTCTGCCATTCTTGCCTGACTTCATATCGTTTGATCTTGTCGACAATGAGGACGGGCACGACAAAGTGGAATAGAGCGAATGTAATGGTGAGACGAATCCATGCCGGTAAAGGTATGATGATAGAATCGAAGAAGCACGATGACGGCAAAGGGCCAAATTTCGAATGGGCCGTCTAGGTGAAAACATTAGCCATGTCACTTAATGATGCCGGCCAAGCGAGGCAGGACAAGCAAGCAGGCAAAAAATGCAACTTACCACGCCTTCGGGGCGAATTCCACACAGCCCCGACATGATTGCTTCAACTCGAGTGACAGACTCGTTGTTTGAAGCCAGTCAGAAGTTCTAGATCAACGGGGAAAAGGGCAAGAATTCATCTTGAGAGGACAGCTGCGACACAACTCTATCTTAATACCATCAATGCCGTGCCGACAGCAGGTCAGACGTGCGCCCACTTGGTGTGTCTTTGGGCATCTTTAGGCGGCCCATGTGGTGCTGGCGGGCTGGGACAATGGAACATGAAAGACATAAACATACGGTGCTGGCTGGGCTCTGATGTGGCTCTGGACTCTACGCTCGGGGCTTGCGGACAGGGGCGTTTCAATGTTGTGACAGTGGTGACGATGAGTATATTTCGAGAGCTGTGCTCATGATCGAGCGGTAGTGTAGTCCTGCATTGGCGACGGTGATTGGTCACTAGTGAGAGACATGCTGCGGGCTGGAGTAGCTGTCCGATGGGGGAAGTCCATTCTAGAAATGCGGTGGCCGTAAGCCGCGGAGGTCAACATAATACTGGCGGGCGCCCGACAGCGCCGCCCGGAAGGAGTTCGTAAAGTGTGGCAGGTCTGTGTATCTACAAAAAGGATGAGGCTAACACACGGCCCCTTGCCCTTAGGGGCGTGTACGAGGAGTGCCGAGCGTTGGTCATGTAGCCCAAGAGTATAAACCGTTAGCCCGGAGTAGATCCCGTCTAGCCCCAAGACGGCGGCGGACGCTGGGGAGACGTGCCAGATGTGTTTATCAAAGCTGGTGATCCGGGACACGTGTGTGTGTATGTGCGTTTGTGCGGCGACTGAGTCTAGCGTCTTGCTTCCCAGCCCTTCCAAGGTTCAGGCTGTTGCATGCACGTACGATACACCCACACTCGGGTTGGAGTTCCTGGATGGATCTCTGACTGAGAGACAAACACTGTTTACCCCTTGGCCGGATCGATCGATCAACTAGGACGATCGCTCGGCCTCCTGAAGGGGCGGGGGGTGGTGAATTCGAAGATTGCGATGGGTCAATTGTTGCTATAAATTGCCAGATGACCGGCTGCCACACGATGAACTCTCACCGCGTTACCGTCCTCCTAGAGGACGTTTGACCTGAGCCGCGTCATGGTCTACCACTTGGCTTCTATGTGTTCCTCTGATCACCTCTGCAATGGCATTTGTATAGCATTGCATCGTATCGTACCGTAAGATTTGTTATTGTTTTGATATGCCTAAAGATGCAGTCGTTGCTGACAACCTAGCCAAAACACAACTTGAGATACAATTCGGATGTTTGAACTTTGACAGCTTTGAGATTGGGCGGTTCTTGAGTGGCCGTAGGCCATAGCTTCTTGACCAGCACAGGGAACAATCTTGTAGGCTGACAGCCAGCAGAGCGTGATTCAAGTGCACGATTCGGCTCGGGAGGATTGCAAGAAGTGATCCGTATCACGAAACGTATCGGGTGTTGTCGGACAACGTGGGAATAACCTCAAGTGCGTTGACTTGGGTGTGGTGCGATAAACCTTGTATGAGGTTCGGGCGGTCCGTTGAAGGGATTGAATGAATGAAAACTCTATTGTTACGAATTTGGACAGCGCCCGAAGAACAGCAAAGTTGTGATATCAAGTGGCGGCGACGCAGGGGTCATAAAACAGGGTTTATTGAGAAGTGGAGAGATGAGATACGAATGAATTATTGCCCCAAGAGGGCCTCTTTTTTTTTTTCCCCTTCCTTTCTATCGCAGTGGCCTCGGCTGTCGGTGGTCGACCGTTGCATGTGCTGGCAGAAAAGGACCGTTTTTTGCACGTGAGGGTTCTAAGATGGGCGATTCAAAAAGGTGTACCGAGCACCACTCGGTAAGCGGCGTGGGTTAGCAAGGCAGGATTGAGACATTTGAGGCCGCGTTTCCGTGGAGCGGTCGGGGGTGCCGGGGTTCCTTTGGTAGTGGAATGTGGTGGTTCTGATGCGAAAAGAGTCAAGAATGTGCAGGACACAATTAAACAATGTCCGTTTGGATATTGAGGTGTGGATCGGAATTCTTTGATGGGGGGAATCTGCTGTTGGATGGAATCGGCCCCCTGCCTCGACCCCTTGCTTGTAGGTTAAGTATGCCGAGTCGAGGCGGCTGTCATGTGCATGCCTTGTCGTGCCAGGGGTCATTATCAAAGCTAACAGAGAGAGTAAGAAAAAAAACCGAGGTATGCATTGTTGAGGGTGTGTTGGGGGTTGTAGGAATGTGTGTTTAGACTGGTTGCCAGATACATAGTAGAATTGGTTGTCAAGTCAGCTTTGTTGAGGGGGAAGGAACACTTTACTTCTTACTTCCTATTGACTGAACTGGCAAGCAAGCAGGGTCACTTGTCGCAATTGTTTTTTAACTAGTCTGTGATAGGTACCTTGGTCGATCTTGCATCGTCTTGGCTGCTCCTTCTTCAAGGAAAGATAATTGCCAAGGTCAAGCTCAGCCCCCAGGCCCTCCTCAAGCCTTCCAAGCCTCCCCCTCTTTTTATCCGCACGCTAGTGCTTGTCTCGGGGGGCCTGGTGCTGACTAGATGCAGCATTTTGGTCCACAAAGGGAGCGATTCCAGTGGAAGCTTAGAGCTCCCCTCCTCCTACCTCCCACCTTTTCCACACATATTTCAGCTTGCCTAGTACTACGTAGCAGCACCGACCGCAGGGGCAACAGAGCACATGCTGTGTGGTCTCGTGTGTCTGGCCGGCGGCCGAGGTAAAGAAGGGGGCAACTGTACCCTATAACGAATGGGTTGTCTGGGCTTTCTGGGCAGAGCAGTAGACATCGTCAAATATGGGAAATGTTGCCTAGGTCAGTGGAAGTTAGGATCATGGGCTGTGATGACCCTGTGAGCTTGTGCCGCAAGGGTACGTGTCGCCGAGTCTTCATCAACTTGCCACCTGACCATTACCAAGAGATTTTGGGTCATTCGTTGTGGTCGAGACGGGCTTGACCAGCCATGACAAAACACCGTCCGTCCGTCCGTCGCTTCCGTAATTATGTTATGCTGTGTGTGTATGTGTAGTGTTTTATTTTGGCAGACTTGTCATCAGCTTGGAGGTTGACGTGTTACGTCGTCAACTGGCTCAGCTTGCAGCTGCAGCCAAGGCAACCTGGACCTTGCACATACTTGCTGTGTGGTAGAGCTGGGTGATGGGTGTATACTTCCCGACCTAGTGGTTTCGTTATCTTCTGTCACTAAACCAACATGTACCGTCCACCCTTTTTTTTTTTTTGTCCTTTGCTGTGAACCTCACTTGCATGGGAGCTTCCCTCTAGCGCCCCAGTATTCTCCGTCTTACCGAGTGAGTGATTGGACAGGAGTGGACCATGAGGGGAAGAAGGCGAGATGTCAAGGTCAAGGGTGGTAAGAGGCTCTGAGGGGAAGCATCAAAGATACGTATTCGGCGGGATGAGCCAGCTGCTAGTACAACCTACGGCTGCAAAGCGTTTACAGTATCCGTATTCCGCGGACAGTTTGGCTAATTCATCACTATCTACTACTTTGGTAGGTATGGAAAAAAGGGCCCACGTACCGGCCACCGTGGGCGGATCTCCCTTCCCCCCCTGCCTGCCACTGGATACCTTTCCCTACCTTTCCACACCAAGGGCCCATCGCAACTGTGACGCAATTAAAGTCCCGTCGCCCTTTTTTTCGCAACACCTCTCTAACTTTACACTTCCTGCCCGCACAAAACCAGCGTCCATCAGCTTCGTGAGCACAGGCAACGACGACCACGATCACAAACCGCGACAAGTATCCCTCTTGTAAGCCTCAACAATAGCTTCAGTGGCGTCCAGAACTTGATCCCAACTCCATTGCTCCCTGTCGTGTGTCCTGCGTCCACCCTTACCAACCTCACCAGCCTCGACCACGCAGGAACTGCCGTCTTACCCCCCCAAAGAAGACCTCACTCCTCGCATCTGCTCTCTACTCTTTCCGGCCCCTCCGGCGTCTTATCTTTTTACCACAAGCAGTTGTAACATCTTTCACCATTCCTTCCATTACCGCCGCCGCATTTGTCGTCTTCGTTGCCGTTCTCCTCGGCCTATTCCTCGTCAAGTCTTCTACTCCGTCGACAAAAACCCCCACAATCGCCAATATGACGTGGCAAGGTATCGGGCCGCTGTATATGGCGCGCAAACCTCCCTTCACCATTGAGGCGCCTGGCTATGAGCGTGTCCCGGGCGAAACCATTCCGCGCCGTCATTGGAAGGCCAAGGATGGTCTCCGTACCCAACCTCATCCCGACATCCATATCATGTACGACATCGTGAAGCGTAGCGCTCGCATCTACCCCAATGAACCGGCTGTCGGTACTCGGAGTCTCGTGAAATTACACAAGGAGAAGAAAAAGGTCCCTAAGAACGTCGATGGTGAAGTCAGGGAGGTTGAGAGGGAGTGGCAGTACTTTGAGCTGTCCAAATACTCTTTCATGACCTACGCCGAGTTCCACACCTATATCCTGCAGCTTGCCTCAGGTCTGCGAAAGCTTGGTTTGGGCAAAGGCAGCAAGCTCCACCTTTTTGCTACTACTTCGTACGTCTGAGCACCTCCAGAATAAGCCCATTGTCAGGACGAAGCTAACCAACCACTGGGGACTTAGCGCGAACTGGATGGCCCTTGCCCACGCATGCGGCTCGCAGTCTATGTCCATTGTTACCGCCTATGACACTCTCGGCGCCAGCGGTGTTGAGCACTCCCTGATTCAGTCTGAAGCCGATGCCATGTACCTCGACCCTCACTTGCTCAAGACCGCGAGTGAACCTCTGAAGAAAGCCCACAACGTTAAATTCGTCATTTACAATGATAACTGCATTTTCACCGAGGGCTCAGAGCTTGATACGTTCAGGAAGACGAACCCAGATGTCAAGCTCGTCAGTGTTGAGGAGGTGCGCCAGCTGGGCGAGGACAACCCCGTTGATCCCGTAGAGGCAAAGCCCGAAGATCTCTACTGTATCATGTACACATCTGGTTCGACCGGTACGCCTAAAGGTGTCCCAATGTCCCACGCCAGCATGGTTGCTGCGAGTAAGTTGCCAGCCCCCTCTCCTATTGCAATGAGTGACCTGAAGCTAATTCTGGTTCTTGCGCCAAGTTACGGGTCTTTTCCATGGCGTCGAGGATGCTGTTACCAGCAGTGAGTACGTGCTGGCATATCTGCCTCTGGCTCACATCTTCGAGCTCGTTGTGGAGAACGTAGCCCTCTTCATTGGTGCCACCCTCGGCTACGGAAACCCAAGAACCTTGTCCGACAACTCAATGAAGAACTGTGCTGGCGACATGCGCGAGTTCGGCCCCAGTGTCCTTGTCGGTGTGCCCCAGGTTTATGAGACGGTCAGGAAGGGCATCATTGCCAAGGTTAACAGCTCTGGCCCTCTCATCAAAAACCTGTTTTGGGCCGTCTTCAACTACAAGAGCTTTATGGTCAAGCATGGCCTGCCTGGTGCTGGTAGCGTTTTTGATTCCATCGTCTTCGGGAAGGTGCGCGAGCTCACAGGCGGTCGTCTTCGCTTTATCCTGAACGGTGCGAGCGGCATTGCAGACGGAACCAAGCACTTCCTTTCCATGACTGTCGCACCTATGCTGACGGGCTATGGTCTGACCGAGACAGCCGCCAACGGCGCCCTCGGCGATCCTCTCGCATATACTCCCAACGCCATTGGCCCCCCGCCTCCGGCCGTCGAGGTTAAGCTTGTCTCCATCCCAGATCTGAACTACTCCACCGACTCGAACCCCCCTCAGGGTGAGATCTACATCAAGGGCCCCGCGGTGCTTAAGGAGTACTACAAGAACCCCGAGGAGACTGAGAAGGCCATCACTAAGGATGGCTGGTTCAAGACGGGAGATATTGGCGAGTTCAACTCTGATGGTGCCCTCAACGTCATTGACCGCGTCAAGAACCTCGTTAAGATGCAGGGTGGCGAGTACATTGCCCTGGAGAAGCTTGAGTCCGTCTACCGCGGCAGCCAGTTCGTGCAGAACATCATGATCTATGGTGACGGCGAGCACTCGCGTGCCATTGCCGTCATCGCCCCTAACGAGAAGGTTCTTACGGAGGAGGCGCAGAAGCTGGGCGTTGATCAGCACGACATGCACACGAACAGGAAGGTCGTTGATGCCGTCCTCAAGGATCTCGTTAGCGCTGGCCGCAAAGCCGGCTTGTCCGGCCTTGAGATCATTGCCGGCGTTGTCCTTGTCGAGGAGGAATGGACTCCTGATAGTGTAAGTTCACCCTGTTATCAATATACACACAACAATGGCCATGCTAATACATATTCAAGGGCCTCGTCACTGCTACTCAGAAGCTCAACAGAAGAGTGATTAAGGACAAGTACAAGCAGCGCATGGAGGCTGCGTTCCCCAAGAACTAAGCGTTTTCTCGGTGTTGTGGCTACATGCTCACTTTACACTTTACACCTGTTCGATTGGAGTAAACGGCGGTTGTGAACGTCTGTAAGGATGGGGTGGGATTAGGATACGGGGGGAAGGCGAATCCATTGATAGCCTGTTTTGATATTTGTGACATGTGTAACTAGTACTACCCCTACCCATTTATTTGCTTATGGAATGAATCGGATAAGCGAGGAATAATATTATTGCTTTTTTGCCTGTCTGTTCATACCTTTGGGGTATTTCAGTTGTTATCCACCCAGTTATGTCCAACATTGCATTGAATTTCACGTGCCATCACGGACTCGACTACCAATGAGAACGAGCTTGCATAGAACGGACGGCCGAAGTCCTTGGGTACTTACGACGACCCCGTTCGATTTCTCCAGATGAAGAAACACCTTGTGAGGGGACATCTGTAAGTTGGGGGGCTGTCAGGGAAGGTTATGTAGAGGGAAACATGACTCTCTCTCCCACGGACAATTCGACAAACCATCACATCACAATCCACAAATTTGCGCAGCACGTTTCAAGGCGACAGAGCACATGTGTCATCAATCCGGTATTTATCGCATTTTGGTGTATATAATGTGGCAGTTTGATCACCTAATCCGACTGACTTGTGGTCGTTAGGCAATTCCTCCTAATGAAAGAGCAGCCTACGCTACGCTACTTAAACATCCCTCTCGGTTGGATCAACCAATCAATTATGAAGGTTCTCGGTTGGTTCTTGGAATGATGTACCACGCCCCCTGGCGTACGAGGTCCATTTCCAGGCCTCTAGTCGCGGGACACTCTGGAGTCGAGGCCCTCCTGAACGGCAGCCAAGATCAAGTCCTTGGCCTTCTCGACGCCTTCGGCGGTACCAACAACTTCGATGGCATCCTCCTTATCGTCGTTGCGGGGGACGTTGATCTTGCAGCCGCTCTGCTTGCGGATGGAGTTGACCTTGCTTCCACCCTGGCCAATGACGAAGCGGTAGGTCTTAGGGTCGGGCAGAACCAAGTAACCAGTGTGGGTGTTCTTGCGCGCCTGCTCAATCGCCGCGGCAATGGCAGCCTTGGCCTTCTCGATGTTCTCGGGAGAGCCGCGCAGGACCCAAGGGATTTCGCCGTCTTCACCAGCAGCAGTGTCAACAACCTTCCAGGAGTGGGCATCCGCATTGGCTTCAGGCTCGTCAGTGATCAACGGCAGAGCGCCGCCGTTGCTGCGGCTGGCGCCGCTAGGCTTGGGAGGCAGAGCGGTACCAGCATGATCAACAGACACTTGGTGGTTGTTGCGCAGCTGGCGGAAGAACTGGCCGTTGTTGGAGATGGAGTGGTGCAGACCACGGGGCACCTGCAGAGTCTCGCCCTCTTGCTCCTTGACAAGCGAAGCGATGTGCTCCTTAGCCTTCTCCACGTTCTCCGGACGACCGGTAATCTTGACACCGGTCTTGCCGTCTCCCTGGCGGGGAATGTCGATGGAGACATTGAGCTGGGACTCAAGCTGACGCTTAGCCTCTCCACCGCGGCCGATAAGGGATCTGTGCTTCTCGGTGGGGACATCCAGAACCTCGGTGACTTGGTTCTCCTTCTCCGCGACGATCTCTTCGATTCTTGCAACGATCTTGTTGACAACATCAGAGCGGCCCTCGATCTTGATCGTGTTACCGTCAGCTTCCTGCTTGGGGAACTGGATAGTGCGTGCGAGCTCGCGGCGGTCGTCAGAGCCGCCAGCCTTAACGACAATGTCACGAAGGTTGGAACCTATCACACGTCAGTAACTAGAAAATACCGTGAGCCGTCAGAGTTCTTACCTCCAGCACCAATGAGAGACTTGTGGTGCTTCTTATCAACCTCAATGGTCTTCACAACAGTGTCATTGAAGATATCTCTCTTCTCCTCAAGAGCCTTCTTGGCAGCCGCAACCTGGGACTTCGTGCCCTTGATCTGAATTTCAACAGTCTCGGCATCACGTCCGCTGGGAATGTCAATCTTGGCGCCAGTGGCCTGGCGAAGCTCATCCAAAGCAGCACCACCCTGGCCAATGATGGAAGGAACCTGCTTCTGCTGGACAGAGACAGTTGCGGTGAAAGAGTTGTCCTTGAGGTACTGAAGGAGAGACAAGATCTCGTCACGAGCCTCGTCCGCTCCCTTCTTGGGACCACGAACGATAACCTCGTCGGGGGCCTGCTGGCGCTTAGGCTTTCCAGCATCGCTGGCAGCGTCATTGTCCTCCTCGTCCTTGGAGCTCTTGCCAGAGCGCGGGAAGAAAATCAAAACCTTGTACTTGGTCTGCAGGCGGTTGGTGACGCTTCCTCCAGCACCGATAAGTTCTCTGTGGAACTTGGGGTCGACCTTGAGAATGTGGGTAACCTCATCAGCAAGAGTGCGGCCCAAAGAGCTGATGTGAGCCTTGGCGGCCTCGGCCTTGGCCTTCGGGCCCTTCAGTTCAACCTTGCCATCTTGAACTTGGATTTCAACATCGAAACGCTCGCGAAGCTCCTTGATGTTCGAGCCTCCCTTTCCAATGAGGTGGTTGGCAAACTTCTGAGGGAACTCAAAGGACATGGTAAAGCCGCGCTCCTTCTCATCCTCCTTCTCCTGCTCGACGAAGGCAATGACCTTGGCCTCAAGGTTCTTGACGGCAGAGGCAGGGCCACGAAGAGTGACGACGGTGCCAACAGAAGAGACGCGAATCGGGATCTGGTCATCAGCCCGGTTCGCCTGCTCCTTCTTGATGAAGCGGCGAAGACGCTCGTGGAACCTACGGGAGTTAGTCCTTGCATGCCAGTGCGTCGAATGTCTAGCGATACTTACTTCTGAGGCACATCAATAGAAGCGGAGGCAATCTGCTCCTGCTTGTTAATGATGTCCACAATCTGCTTACGGGCATCCTCCAAGCTCTGCTGGAAGGCACGGATCTCATCCTGGGATGGGCGGCCGGTCTTGATCTGAGGCTTGGGCTCGGGGGCAGAAGGGCCCTCGAAGACCAGGAGAACAGGAGCATTGGGCTCACCAGTCTCAGGGAGAACAACATGAACACCATGGTTGTCCCTCATACGGGGGCTGACATCCTTGGTAAGGTACTGATGGTAAAAGGGGTCAACAGGAACAGGAACAATTCTGGCGGGGGGGATGGCGTGAACAAGCTTCTCGATGGCCGACTGGGCCTGGAGAACACTCTTGCCATCACGCGCGTACAGCTCGTAAGGAGAGGCACCGTTGGGGCCGAAAGGAGTGTTGATGTGGGTGTTGTGAGCTCTCTCGATCTCATCAAACAAGTCACGATGTCTCAAGAAACGAGTGACGTTGCGAGCGTGGTTGGAATCACCACCAGGGGCGTTCTTGTGGAAACGGCCAATGTCAAAGGTAGAGAACTGCATGTTCATCGCTCTGTCCATGGCAGTCTCGACACCCTTGCTGATCTGGGACGCAGGGCCAATGACGGTGACCGAGTCATCATCCTCATCAGTGGGCAGCAGGATAGTGCAACCAGTCTGGTTGAAGAACTCATCGAGGGTCTCACCACGGCGGCCAGCAATGAACTGATGACGGCCCTTTTGAAGACTGAACTGGTCAACAGCCAGCTGGCTCTGCAGCTCCTGGACGCGGCGTTCAATCTCTGCACGAGCAGCCTGAACAGCAGCACGGTCACCCGCCAGCTGAATGTGGTGGTCTCCGGCAGGGACAAACACGGGACGCTCGCCGTCGTTCACGGGGATGTTACGACCGCGGGGAGCCCAGATCTGGTGAGGAGGGACACGGACCTGAACACCATCATTCTCGTAGCGGCTAACGTGGCTGTTGCTGGGTCCGGCAATGAAGGGGAAAAACTCGGACGGAATGCCACGCAGCTTGGTGTTGACATTGGCGGCACGCTCGCCAGCAATCTTCATGATCTGATCTCTGGCAGAGGCAGCAGACAGGGCGTTACCCTCGACAAGGACGTCGATGGTGGAGTCATCATCCTCGTCAACGGGAGCACCGTCCTCCACCTTGGGCAGTTGGACACGAGCTCCAGACTTCTCCTGGATTGCCTTAATGGTAGAGCCGCCCTTTCCGATGATGTGGGAACGAGCAGACTGGGGAATCGGGACCTTGATGGTAGTCTGTAAAGGCACAAAGTCAGTAATTCGTTCATGAGGCGAAAAGCCCGGGGTTTCTAGCTGACCTTGGTGCCGATCTGCTGGATAAGGTCCTTCAGAGCCTGCTGGGCAACATCCTGGGGGCCAGTGGCGTCGAACTTGAGACGGCCATTGGTAGCGGTAGACAAGGTAATGTTGGCGCGCGACTTGCGGTTGATGTCCTTCATGATATCCGGGATAGGGCGCTTCAGCTGGTTGCGGGGAAGGATGAACTGGGGCTCCAGCACAACCGTCTCCACGTTGCGACCCGGAATCGACATTGAGGGGGGGCCGTTCTTGGGAGTCGCGGCACCTGAAGCAGGAGTGGAGGAGCGAGAGAGACCGTTGGCAGGAGTAGAGACGTTGCTCTTGGCTCCCCAGATAGGGGCGACGTTGGGGCTACCCTTGGGCTTGGAGGCACCAAGCTCGGGGAAGAGCTCATGAGACTGGGTGTCGAGCTTCGAGCCAGAGGACGCTTTCTGCTTTCCGGCAGCCTTGGTCGACATAGGCTCGGCCCAGGAGGCAGAATCGCCGGCGTTGCCCTTCAAGGGGAGGTCCTCATCAGGGACTTCCTCAACGGTGGGGTGATGATCGGCATGAGTCTGGAGGAGCTTCTGGGCAGCTGAAGCCTCAGAGCCGTTGGCGACCGTAGAATCCGTAGAGGCCATTGTAGTTCGTGGTAGTTAACGTCGTCGTCGATGGATTGCGATGGTGGGAATGATATGGGTGATTTCGGTATAACTGAAAAGGGGGCGGCGATACCAAGTTAGCTGAGCTCATGATGACGGGCGTCGAAAAGCAATGGCCAAAGGTGGAGGGGATTATTTGGAGGCACTCACAACTGACGATATATACGGCAGTTAGGAAAGACCAGTAGAATCAGACTTCCGATTAAAGAAGGCCGAAGCGTGAGAAACCGTTGAGCAGCAGATAACCGAGGAGAATTGACTTGTTGCTGGCTTAGAACATTGTGACCCCGACCGGCAACAATGAACAAATCCAGTTGAGGTAGAATCAGGAGGGGAGGCTATGCAGAATGCAGAATCCAACCAATTGATGGTTAGAGGAGAGGGGAAGTAGAAGAGCGAAATGGACTCGAAGCTCGGATCGGCTAAAGGGTGAGGTGGAAGTTTCTCGACTCCACGATGCTGTTCAATTGGGGATGGAATTTCTGGCCCCCCGGCAGGGATCCTTCTTCCAGAAAGGTTCCGCCTGCCCATGATGCTCTCCACTTTATGATACCCCACCCTTAGCCTCAGCCACAACCTAATTTGTTAAGGCGTTGTAAGCGGTCCAGCAAGCATTGGAGCTGGAAAGACTAGGCCATTCCAACCGCACTCATTGGACGACTTCGGATTGGAGCTCCGGATCACGTGGGGTTCGGCTTGACTCAAGCTACCGTCTTCTACCCACTTGGTTTCCCTGGCCTCCGATGACCTTGAAGCTCTTGCCGGCCGGGATTCGGGGCCGGGGCCGATAAAGACCGAGATTCAAGGGCCCGTTCGCCGGAGGTTTATGTGTGAAGGATGCAAAAGATGCCTCTCTATATGACTGCAGCTTTGAGCTGGCGAATATTCACTGACCGCACAACTTTCACGGCCTACTATTCGAATGGCCATATCATCACAGACATGGATGCTTCTTATGTGTCGTGCAGCAATTGAAGATTGAACTGTGTGTCTTATTAGAATACTACCTGAGCATCTGTTCACTTATCCCCTGCAATGACACTTTGATGTACTGTACATATCAAACTAATGTCCAAATGCGTCTTTCAACCATAATGCAACATAAACCCGGCAAAGCGTGCCTCAAAACACTACAGCCACAACCTAGAGACTTTCAAATAGCAAATGCAATAAACTAATTGTGTGTGTTTTTTTCTGGCCCTTGTTATCGTACTACAAGGCTAATATGATGTCTCGGGCCTTCTTGTTGTATTGTTCCTTGATTGCACGAGCCGTTCCCAGCTGAGTTCTCGAGGTGGCAGAAACTGACGTGGAATTCACCAATAAACGCTCGCTGTTGTAAGCGCCAAAGCTCATGTAACCTTCTCAAGCTCATTTCCTCACGTTGCACACGAAGTCAGACAACTAGCTAGGGGGCTACTCCTTATACGATACCGGAACATGATTGATGTGGCCACCCGAGGGTCCTCGCCTAACTTAAGAAAAAGAAAAGAAAAAGTCAAGTTAGATGTCCCTCGGGGAAAGAGGAAGGAAGGTATGGTGGCTTGTAACAAGTCTGCAAGAACTTGCGCATTTACCCGAACGTAAGTCATGTAGAACTGCTCGCTTGAGGGTGGTAGTAATAGTTTTCAACCGAATAACATCATTCACATTCAGTCTGACGTTTTAATCTCGCCGAAGCCATGGGCAGCTTGTGTGTTGAACACAGCCAGAACCATGAATTTGCCCTAAGCACGGAGGTGGCACAAGCCGTTTTACACATAGTTACGTGAACGTATGAAACTACAAGCCATTGTAAAATTCGAGTGGTCACTACTCGATGCAGGGGCAAACAACTCACCCGAGAAACATGCTGCATCTGCAGGAACTGCGGTAAGGGGGGCTTTGGCTTGTTGCAAGAGCAAACAAAGCCTCCCACAGCTGTGTTACGTGGCCAAACATGGACAGTAGGGAGAGAAACATTGTGATTGGGGGCTACTACTGGCAGCCTCTCAGAAGAGGTCGGTCTCAAGTTAAGACGACGAGTCGCAGGTGCTATAGCATCAGCAACTCGACCCCATTAAGTGAGGATGAAAGAGATGAATGCGAATGCGGGGAAATCGTATGTCATAAGTCTGAGTGACAAGGAAGACGAACGTCCTGAGACAGGCTCATTTTGGTCTCGACAGTTGAATTCAACATGCCTATAGCTGAATCCTATGAGGATGTGGACATTCAAGACCCAAGACCCGACAGAGCATCTAGAGCATCACCTTCGCAGATCGGAAAGATCGACAGACTTCCATCATGCCCTGACACAGTTCACACTGGTTTATTAGTTGATATGGAATAAACCCTTGAAGCTAGTTAAGCGTGGTACTCGACATTCGTAGCGTTCAAAAATCACCGGCAAAAAGGCATATGAACTGGCCATACTATGTAGACAAACTTTCTCAATGGCGCCATAATAGATCTTCGCTGTTATATCATGAATCATGCCTAGCTTCCCCAGAACACGGAAGGAGGGGAAAAGAGGTGAAAGGGTAATCTGAGTTGCTGAGCTCTTGTGGTAAAAGGGATGATCCATGAACAGAATGCCCGTAATACAAAACCGTGGGGCGTTCTGGAGAACCGCATTGAGCGGAAGGTGCGGCGGCAAGGCTCGGCATATGACTTGAAGAGGTTATTGTTTTTCACGGCCATGATGAGTTATTAATCCATTAGCATCTTCACTTTGCCTGTTTTGTCTGTATTATCTACCATAACACGGAAACGAAAACCTGAGCGGGTCGGTAACTTGTGGCATCATTGTTGCGTGGCATGTACGCCGCTTGCCCTTCAAGAGACTTCACGAGTACATAGTACGATGAACGAACGGTTCCTGGTAAAGAATACAACTTGGGGGGCGACTTTAGTTCGAGTGAGGGATTTTGACGGGCGAGGCTGCCCATGCCGGCAAGCAAGAGGAGGGTGGACAGAATCAGCAGGTAGCGTTCAAGAATAATGGCGACTTTGTTTGAATCTTTTCACGTCCCGATGGCTCGGATGGATGGGCTCATCTCCTGGGAACCCCGTAACGGGGAGGAACCAGCGGGTAGGCAGGGGCGGCGACAACCCCAAAGGAGAAATGATGATGGCATTGAGTGCGAGTTCCTTGGTGGCATCCCCGTCTATCACTGCCAACCCTGGTACAGGGAACGGGACCTTATTTCACAGGTGTAACGGTCTCAGTGGACGCGAAAAAAAAGGGCCGCCGCCGTCGCCTTCTCAGGCCATTCCATTGGCGATGCTAGGTAAGGTGGCCTCGGCCAGTTTCGTCTCCTCCAACCAGACAAGTTGGGTGCAACCCATGGCCCGGGCGGGTACTAGTATGAAGTTGCAGGCACACACATTCACTCACACCACCATTAGGATTAGGAAGCACGGATGTTAGGCTGGGTTGATGGGATGGGACGGAGTGCTTGCGCGAGGTGCATCGCCAATGACATGGATGTGTTGTTTTTCGTCAATTTCTCGTCAGGAAGGCATCAGAAACAATGTGGATTTGACAACGGCGTTGAACAGAATAACAGATAACGGGCGGAAGGGGATGGATACGATTTCGGTGGACACCATCCTGTTTCTTCAGGGATTCGAACAGACGAGCGACCAGGTTATGGAACCTTTGCAGTTGGAGGACCGACACTGGAGAAGAAAACAATTTCATGCCGAAGAATGTAAGACGCTGAAAAAACCAAAAGCGTTGAAGCATTACACACTACCGGGACCCTTGGTGGATCAGGAAGTCCAAGTCCCCGATGGTTTGAAACAAGATCCAAATTCCCAGGGCAGGCCTGCCGGCCCAGCTCATGTCGGGTCGAGGGCCTCAGGACCAGCCAGGCATTGGCTAGCGGGAACCCCATTCTGCACTGACGTCTGCTGGAATGGATGAAGGTACGTATTGTAACCCTTTTTTTTTTTTTTTTGTTATCACTATCACGGGAGTACCTCTGCTTCACCTGTTTATGGTAGGAACGCTAGCCAACATCGCTCACCTGAAAATAGACACAAGCGCAAGATCTGGTCGGACCGTTTTTCTTCTTATTCTTCTGGACGTCTTCCATCTGCTGATCGTAACCTGTTTAGCAAGCAGTGGGCAAGGGAACTTGGAAGTGTTTGATTTGGGCGAGCACAAAGATGAGCATCATTTCCTCGGCTGATTGGGCCGGATCGCAGCTGCTTAGCTCAAGATTCAAGAGTTGTTGTAAGGTACATAATCTTCCAAGGGGCGAAAAGAGCTTCGATGGGGGCTAATTGAACCCAGAAAGATTGTTGTTTCTTCTTCGTATGACTCCTCTTGCTTCACCAACACAATTGATTTGGGATCGCTGCGCACATAAGATAAGTTGAGTGGTTTTGGTTTGCCTCACTTGGGCACCGAAGCTCTGTAAAAGCTGCCACAGCCGCAATAGTCTCCGTGGTAAACATAGGGCGCGGCAGAGGGGGTTATGGAGGACTGTAGTGGCCGCGATGCTGCTACTACGCTGGTAGGTTGAAGGACAAACAACTCCCACTACAAGGCAGGCACATGTGTGCATGTGTTCATCCATACCCAGGGTACAGAATCTGAGCAAGTTGATAGATACCTCAGGCTTGACGGCTACACACGTCTCAATCTTACGGTACCATGGATTCTTCTCCCGTCCCTCGCTTCCTCTTGTCAGCCCAGTACGACAAAATCTCTACCCATACGGTCGCAATCAAACGGCTAAAATTTGTCGCAGTAAGAAACCATTTCCCTGTCGGCGGAACTAACACCAGCTAAAACGACCTAAGTGACTAAGAACAAAAATAAAAACAAAATAAAACGAAGCTGGGCCACAGGAAGGGGGGAAAAAGCAAACGCCTTCATCTCGTCTCTTACTGCCTTCCCCCTCCCTCCAATCCCCTCCCTTTCCTCCCCTCCTTTCCACAACTTCCCCTCCATATGTATTTCCCCTCAGGCCCCCCTTCGACTGCCCCTTGCCCCCTCGTCACTCAGGTCATTGCCTTACATCCATAACATCATCCAACCTCAAGTCGGCCTCGACCCCGATCAAAATTGTCATTTACGTCCGCACGAGCTGCATAGTATTGCATACTTCATTTAGCCTCTTACGGCCGTACGTACCACAAGGTATCCATTTCCACACCACGGTACCTAAATGCAGAGCACGTAGCTGCAGTAGCTTTAAGTGCTTTGGTAAAGGATATCTGTACCTAGCTGGGGCTGCAGTCTGCCATTGTCTGCACGCATACGTCAAGCAGAAACAGATGTTGGCAGGAGGAGGGGAAGTAAGGAGGGAAGGGGAAAAAAAAAAAAAAAAAGGGCCTCTTTGCGGCGCCTCTCTTTCTTTGTGAAATATCATCTACGGATTGGCTTGCTGCACACCAACTGGCCGGGACGGAGACGTTTGAGATGGCCCCAATCATGGGATTACTATGTAATGACCATGTCCATTGCGGATGTTCTCTGTACTGGCCCTGCAGTCTCCTCTCGGTGTCATGCCCCGGCCCAGATTCAAGACCCTTGGTGCCTCAGCTTTCTCTCCACTGATACTGATCCTGACCACAACTGGAGACCAGGACCGTGACGGCTACCCTGACCCTTGGCCCCCGAAACCCTGGCCTAACCGCACTGCAGCAGCGCATGGCGCACAAGGGCTAGAGCCGCCGAACGATTAGCAAATTCCGTCAAGCAGAGACGCCCATCTCGCTGTTAAGATTGATCAAGGATCAACCACCAGGTCGAAGCTCCAGCACCACGCAGCCAACTGAAGCAGACCACCGACAGCAACCTACTTTAATGGTGCAGGGCAAGCATACTACTGCCGTTGCGCTCCTCCCGAAGCAATCAGTAGGGACCACAGACGGGGCCTATGAGCTGCACCAGCTGCCCTAGCTCTCCTACCCTCCCCCCAAACCCAAACACGCCAGCGGCTCGATGCTGGCTGATTGAGCTCCGAACTAGCCTCTGTACCGTGCCCGAATGGCTTGCTTAGCAGCTACCAAAACGCACGAGAAGCTCAGACTTGCCAGATATACTTCAGATGAAGTACTCTGCATCTATTCTGGGCGCAAAGTTCTTTTCTATACGATGTGCCAAAGCTATGAACACGCCCCCACCTCGGTCTTTGACTCTGCCATTCACCCGTCTGGCCCAAAACACACAAGAACATCTCATTCAGCTCGAAGGTCAGCGCAGTGGTCGCGAGCAAGCACAATGAGAGGTAGTTTGCAGTATTGCCCTTTTTGGGGCCAGCATCACACTGTATGAGGAACAGCGCGAGTACCACACGCTGTGGCACCATCGCGCACTGGTCAGGTCTGTCCACTGCCCACCTGGAGCCGCCGGCAGTCTGGTGGCTCTAGGCGAGCCGAGGGGCATGTGGCAGAAAGACGAGAGAACATTGTCAAAGGGGTGGTACGGAAGGAAAAGAAGAAAGATGTCTGGTAGCATTAACCCAGGTATGGTTTCTTTATGCTCTTGCCTGCAGGCCTGGCAGTCCACCTCGGTCGACTGCACAACAGAGGGCTCCATGGTGCCCAAACACGTAACTTTGCAGCAGGAGAGATTAGTACATATGGAAGTAATATGGTGCATCAACTACCGTAGTACTTGATAGTGAGGCACGTTGCAACGCCCTGTGGTAGGCGGTGGTGGTGGTGGTGGTGGTCTATGTTTTCTTCTTTTGCCGCGGCACATGAAGCTCCAGGCCAACTTCTCAGCAGCAGGCGACCAGTGAGAGCGAGCCGCTATCCGGCAACTCGAATTGTCTTTCCCGTCAGCCGGGATTCGTTGGTTTCTACTCCGTAGTTCATCTATCTTGAAGTGCTTTGCACATCTCTTATTCTGTATCTTGATATGAGGTGCAACTAGAGCACAGCACACTGTGTCTTCTAAGCTCAAGGCACGGGTAGAGAGCCCCTCCCACACGGTCCTGCAGCCAGGGCTCTGTCATCTCAAAGCGCAGGGCGACGGGAAAAATAATAATAAAACAATAAAAAAAAGAGGAGACGCTGTTGGGGGAAGTACTCTCGCAGAACAGAGGGAAAAACAAAAAGGTACGTATTTTTATCTGGTGCGCCTCCACCTCCCCACCACACCACACGGCCACACGGCCCCCAGCCTATGGTTAGCCCACTCCCATCCGTGTCCATTCATTCTCCGTTACCCAAGCCCATTTGCCCACCCCTCACCACTTGTATGCCCCACTTTTAGTCTTTTTTTTTTTTTTTCCCTTGCAAGAAACCACCACACTGAGGCAAGGACGAGTGGTGGAGAGAGAAAGAGACAACCTGAATCTGAGAAATAGAGACAGGCAACTTGAACACCACCACCCATCATAGCACCACTGAGGGCTTGGCCTGACTGCATCGCTCTCTCACACTCACACACACACACACACACACACACACCTTTACCCCGTCCGCACACGCCTCGCTCTCTCCCTCAACTCTCTTTTTCTTTGTCTGTCGCGATCCTGTCTTGTCCTGTCCTGTCGCATGTACCTCGCCTCGTACGTACTTGCTATCCACCCACCAAGCAGGGCCAAGCAAAGGCCTGGTCTCCTTAGCCGTACGTACAGCAGCCCCCGGGCCCATTAGGCGTCTCCATCCGCAGCAACAACAACGAAGCAGAACCCACACAGTCCAGAATCCACTCTCGTCTCCATCCCAGCCAGTGACAGTCAGCGTCACACCGACCTAGGTTCCATCAATTGCCTGCCAACCAGCCCAGTATACTGATACCAGGTATTTCGTACTCCGGTACAGCGCGCGCAGTCCTGCCGCTGGTTGCTGGTCGCTGGGTTGCTGCCGCTGCGACATAGCGAGGGTGCGTGCTTGGACTGATTGCCGCTGCCCGCTGCCACTGCCACTGGTTCTCAAACCCGCGGATGCTGATAGCGCCGGTATGGGCTGTCTCCAAAAAGACGTACTACTACACTGCTTTTTTTACCTGCATTGCACATAGCGAAGACCTTACACCTCTCCTCCTGCTGCTACCGCTGCTCTATACCTTACATTACACTACTCTACATACACCTCTCGAGCACAAGGCACAAGGGGACGGGAACCGCATCGCATTGTGCCCGTAGCGACTTTTTCCTCCTCACACACCCTCTATTCATACCCTCTTTTTTCTTTCGCTTCTCTTTCTTCGACGGTTTTAGACTTTTTAGGGCGGATCATGGATAGCCAGAGCACACCTATTTCCAACGGCACCTCCCAACGTCGCAAGCTCACCAAGAAGCCTCCCTCCCACTACCATACCCGCTCGTCTAGCGGTCTCGATGGTGGCATCGACGCCCAATCTCTCCAGAGCAAACGCAGCTCTACCAGTTTGAGGCGCGCTCCCTCTGCTCCACCCGCGCGGACGACCCCCTCAAACGCTGCTTCAGCTCACAGTTCTCCCCGTCATCTTCCCTCAAGTCAGACGCACCTTCCCAATCCTTCCCCCATTCTGCCTCAGGGTCAGTTCGCCGCCATCGCTCCTTCCCCAAGTGCCTACCACAACCCCCAGGCCCAGCCCTCCACCTTCAACGCCGTCCACGCCTTCCCTCACCACCAGAACTTTAGTCACCAAAACAACAATCACCACCACTTCCCAAACAACAACACCAACAACAACCACAGCACCAGCAGCCCTGTCGGTATCGGTGTTGGTGTTGGTATCGGTCTCGCACACACCAGCAATTCTCCCGCCGACATCTCCAACGCGCCTCTCTCGTCGCAACCCCACGACGAATTTATTGGCGCTCCCTTCGACGGTGCTGCGGTTCTGAACCGTATCGAGCAGACAAAATCCCCTGTTGCCGCAGCTCAACCTCTACCTCTGCCGCACCCTTACGGCCAACAAGGTGCAGCTTACCAGCGCCAGAACGCACCAACGCCTCTGCTCAAGTCCGCTACCGACACACGCGTCAACAGGAGCCCCAGACTTCGACAATCCCAGAGCTTCACGAACGATTCCGCAATGATGAATGAAAAATCACAAGGTGGTCGGGGGGCGGAGAACTCGGTCATCAGCCCCAAGAGATATTCAGACGAGGCAAAGGAGCCCCGGATGGGTGTTCTGCGCAAGAAGTCGGGCTTTTCTGGCTTCATGAACAGTCTGGTTGGCACACCAAAGAAGCCAGTCATCTCGGCGCCTGAGAACCCCGTTCACGTCACTCATGTCGGCTACGACAGCTCTACCGGTCAATTTACCGTCAGTGGCCCTCCGTTTCATCTTCTCTTCTTTCCTGCCTCTCCCTCGACTTTGCTACCGATCGCAGTCTCTCGTTTACTACCTGTTTTTGTTTTTTTTTTTGATGTTTTTCGGGTCGATTTTCTTTTTGGTCCCCATCCGACTTGTTCTCTCCCTCTTCGTTGCCTGTTCCTTTCTTTTCCCTAAGCCCCAATCCCGTGTGGCTGACTTGTAATTGTTCAGGGTCTTCCGAAAGAATGGCAGAGATTGATCAACGAAAGTGGAATTCCCGAGAAGGAACGCAGGGAGAACCCCCAAACCATGGTTGACATCATCACATTCTACAAGGAAACGACGGAAAAGCCAGCCGAGGATCAGGTCTTGGAGAAGTTCCACGATGCAAGAGCTCCTGATTACCGTCAATATGCAAATGCAGGCAACTCGCCGTCGGGTGCCATGTCGCCGGGCATGTATCCGCCAACAAGTTATATGGGTATGTCTCCGATGATCAGTCCACCTGCGAGCCCTAGGTTTCCAACTGTCAATCATGAAGGATCTTTTGAGAACCCCCGCCAGCCACCTCCCGTTCCCGGGGTAGGAGGCACCAAAGGCCCCGGCAAGGATGTAAACCTCATGCCCAGTCGCCCGGCCCCGAAGCCCCCCGTTAGCCTCCCGATGAGGTCCGCTCCCTCGCCCTACCCCGCCAAGGACTCCGGCATTGGAATGTCTCAGCCCGGCGAGGACTTGCCCCCGGTCGCATACCAACCGCCCAAGGAGAACGTTCCTATGCTTCCCGAAGAGCACCGTGGAGAGCACCGATCACGATCCCGATCCAACTCGCGTGTCAATGGCGCCGCACCCGGTTACGTTCCCCCCACACCTAACCCCCAAAATGCGCAGGCGAACATTTACCAGCAACAGCTCATGCAACAGCAGCAGGAGCAGGCCCTAGCTCAGGCCCAAGCTGCCATGACTGGCCAGATTGGCCGCGCTCCCAGCAAGAGACAGCCCGCCCAGCAACCGACCCCTCCTCAGTCGCAGCACCAGTATGCCCAAGGTCCCACCAACGGCGGTCCCGGCCAGCGACAGCAGGTTGGCGTTCCCGGCGCCCCAGGCTCCAGACCCCGACACCGTCCCAGACAAAGTACCGGTATTGATGTTGTTGCTGCACTCAAGCGCATTTGCTCAGACGGCGATCCTCGTGAAGTGTACAAGAATTTCAATAAAATTGGTCAGGGCGCCTCTGGTGGCGTCTACACTGGATACGAGCGAGGTACCAACCGTCTGGTGGCCATTAAGCAAATGAATCTGGAGCAGCAACCGAAGAAAGACCTGATCATCAACGAAATCCTAGTCATGAAGGACAGCTCGCACCCCAACATTGTTAACTTCATCGACAGCTACCTTTGTGGAGGCGAACTCTGGGTCGTCATGGAGTTCATGGAGGGCGGCAGCCTCACTGACGTTGTGACCTTCAACATCATGACCGAGGGACAGATTGCTTCCGTTTGCCGGGAGACGCTGAAGGGCCTGCAACACCTGCACTCTAAGGGAGTGATTCACCGTGATATCAAGTCCGATAACATTCTCCTGTCGATGGAAGGAAACATCAAGCTGAGTAAGCCATGTTTATCTTGACTTGCAAATAGTGGAAGATGCTGATCTTGTATAGCCGACTTCGGTTTCTGTGCGACCATTAATGAGGCCCAGAACAAGCGCACTACTATGGTTGGTACGCCTTATTGGATGGCCCCTGAAGTTGTTACGCGCAAGGAGTACGGCCGCAAGGTCGATATTTGGTCCCTTGGTATCATGGCCATCGAGATGATTGAGGGAGAGCCCCCATACCTGACTGAGTCTCCTCTGAGAGCGTTGTGGTTGATCGCTACCAACGGTACCCCTCAAATCAAGGAGGAGGCACAACTGTCACCAGTCTTCCGTGACTTCCTCTACTTTGCGCTCAAGGTCGACCCCGAGAAGAGAGCTAGTGCGCATGACCTTCTGAGAGTAAGTTTAACTGCCACTTCCGGCTATGAATATGTACTAATTCGGCTGTAGCATGAGTTCATGAAGGGATGTGTTGATCTCTCTCAGTTGTCGCCCTTGGTGCGCGCCGCCAGAGAAGCTCGCCTCGCAGAAAAGGCTAGGAAAGGGCAGTAGGATGCCTTCAGCCGTGCGTCCAAGGACATCTTTCGGCGGTTGACTCATCGACATTAATCACGACCTTGACGACAACAACAAACCCTCACCAGGGGGTTGCCTTTACCTGTGCATTGAGATACCCAGGAAGTTTGTGTTGGCCTTGGCATAATTGACCCGACGACGCTTTTCAAATGCCAACGGCACTGGCCCGTTCAATCTGGAACCGAAACCACTTTGATGTTCTTTCAGCTTGTCCGAGGCAACTAGTGCACGCGTGCGCCATGGCTAGCAGACTTTTGACCACCGATCATAACTCTACTTGCTTTCAAGATACCACGTCGGAGGAATCCCTGACCTGTTTCGGCATGGACTCTCCGGCCTTACTTTTTTCTTTCTTTTTCTTCTTGACGACTTATGCGCGCACATCATCCAGCATATGCACTTGTTGGCGACCAAGCAAAGTCTTATTAACTCATTTTTTCCTCTTTTCTTTTTTTTTTTTTTTCCCTGTTACACATCAAATAGAGGCGGCCACAATCCTGGACACGCCAGTTGCCTCAATGCCAGGCTTGGGTTGTATATGAGCAACCTCTCTTCTCATTGGATTGAGACATCCACTTTGGACCAATTGTGTATTCCCAAGGCTGGTGACAAAATGTCACCTTGGAAGTCGGTCGCTGAGAGAGGAGATGAGACGATGAATCGCATGATTTGATTTGGCCAGCGGGAATGGGCGGCCAACTCACGTTTGTCGGGGTAGACAGGCATACCCCTTTGAAACCTGTCGTGGGATATTTTCTGCTTTGTACGGGACATCCGAAAAGGGAAAGGATCGGTTCTCGGACGAGACGATGCTGGACAGATGCGAGAGGCCAAATTTCCGGCTTATTTTCTCTAGTCCCATACGTCTCTTGCCCACATTGGGCATTGATTTTTGGTCATGTACGAAAGAGACTACCGAGGCGGTGGTTCAACGGCTCTTAGTCTTAGTCTAGGGAGGCTTAACTAAGTAGAGGAATGACCATTCAGGCCGAGCAGGCCAAGGACAGTTCAGAAAGCCTTTTGCTTATGATTCTTTGAAAGCGAGGTGACGTTGATGACAGCGTCCCAGCCATGTTTCGTCTTGCCCATTCAGTCTGCCGTAACGATTGTTCAATCTAGAATCCGCCTCCTTAAGCCCAAGTTTTCCTCGCAAGTTATGTGTGTTCAAAGCTTGTGGGACATTAAGTAGGCGAAGATGGAACAGGCGTGGGCTACTAAGCTGAGGTCCGCGCCGCCACTCGAAGCTTCTCTTTCTTGCTTTCATTGGTCGGCAATCCGTTGGTCTCATCCCACTGTTGTGGGACTGCGGGCTTGTTAGCTCTTTGTTCCGTTTGTTCTTTTATCTCGACGGAGCAGCGCGTGGGTTGTCTACAAAGGAAAATCGATTGAACAATAGACGGACGATGCGAGGCGGGTCTTTCCGTTGTTGTTTTTTTGGTGCCTTTCCTTGTAAGATGACGCCAGTTAGATTCATTGTCTAGCGTCTTGCTAATGATTTCGATAGTCGGGTTTTTTTTTTATATTTTGGGGGGAGGCTGGGTCGTGGGGGTTTTCCTTGGCGTAGGGGCTCCTTGCTGGACCTTTGAGATGCGGTGAGAATGTGCTTGTTGTTACGTTCAGTTTAGGGGTTTCGTGGATGTTAGGGCGTTGTGGCGCAAGATGTCCTCGCGGATGTAATTGGTAATCGACGTTTTTGTGCCAGTCAACTTGAAGGGGTTCATTTAGGGATGGAGCTATTTGTATAGAAACAAGCCTACGTATACGGGCAGTATTCTTCTCGGATTCTGTAAATGTTGTTCTCTATCAAACCTTCGCCTTGAAGTAGGACGAGGTGGTGCTATCGTGTTCCTTGGAACTTCTTGGAACTTCTTCCCCCCTACGCGGGCGACAGAAGAACCGGCCGAGTGTGTGGTAGTGGATGTGGAAAGGCGACCACTTTCTCTGACGCTTGGGTGAGCCACCTCCGTCATCTTCTAGCAGTGAGAAAGACACTACGACGGCTGAACAGCTCGGATACAGCAATTTGTCTACGTTTCAATAAGCCCCTCCTTGTCTACAGCTCAGATACACGGGAGGGCTTTCATAGGTTTATCGTATACTCTGGAGAACGTCATGTCTGAAAGTACCTTACAGTTTCTCTTCTACTTTCTTGTATGTTCCTGTGCTTCAGTTTACACCAAAATCTTGTCGCAAACCGTTTCATTGACCCACAGGGTGTTTTGAGATCCTGCGAACAAAGCTATCAACGATACATGGCTTATAACCTTGCTCTACAGGAGGCTGGCATCTGCCTACTAGTACCACTCTGACTATTTGTAAAACCTAAGGAGATTTTAGCCTCATTTCTTCGTTTATGCTGATCTTCCTGCTGGATATCCTCAGTGCTGTGAATTTCTCCAAGTGTGGGTTATCCCAGAGTCTAGTTTCTCGGCCGTTGGCTTGGACTGAGCAGTGGCATCAAAGATAAGGGTTATATTGCGTTAGGCTCTGGTTACAACCATCCGAACATTCAATGTAGATGAAAAGGAACTCAGCATTAAGAGATTAATGAAATCGGGTCTAACCCGTACATCACTATCGCCTAGGAGTATATAAAATTACTACCTTGGTTAAGTAACAAACAAGGATGGTCATCGGTCAACTTATCCCACTTGATGTTCTTCAAGCTCTCGACGAACTGCAACGAGGCTATATAAGCCGTTGTTCTTCGTACTTGAGCGTACAACAGCATCCTAAGGCCGGCGTGCCCCCTGCCCTTGGCATACCAGCAAATTCGGTCCATCGACTACAGTCTTCGGTTTGATCTGAGCAAGTGGGTTTTTTGCTGGGATGTAATAACCTCAGGAGAGTTCAAGTATAGAGATGTTATAAGTAAGTTATTCATATCGATCAAGTGATAATTGTCCAACCGAGCTCAAAAGGTGGACAAATGGGCCCATCAGACAGTACGCTCATCAATTTCAAGGGTCAGGATAGAATGAAGTCATTGAAAAAGTAACCATCCGAGTTTCTTTCTCGTGGCCTACTCGGTGACGTTCGTCGCACCGCACGGCACTGTTTTATTCTCTCGTAGTTATCCAAATACTAATGAAAGCCAGATACTGACCAGAAAGACCCATGGAATGGCAAGTTATCCGCGCTATAAAACTCACACAACGCCCGGTGACGAACTGAAGCAACCCAAAATTCCTCATGGACTGCAGTGATCGGCTTTATACGCCTGGTTCTATCTTTATGTGTCTCCTTACGTCCACGCTCTTCCCATTCTCTCTTTCCTAGGTAGTTTATCCACCAGAACGAGGAGCAGAACGGTGTATACAATGTCATAGTCTATGAGTATAGTAAGATCATCTGTATGTCATTCATACTAAAACTACATGTTTGGCTTTTGAGACGCGATTTCTAGGTTTTGGCCCTCACAGGTCATGAGAAAAGCAGACCACCGAACGCAACTATCGATTCAGTTAACCGAGCATGGCCATTGAAAGCGGCTGTCCCCCAATCTATTTGAACTTGAAATTTTGACCCATTGGATGCCACGCGAAGGATTTAACCCTGACAAAGGGTGTTACAAAAAGCATGGTAGAATGCGTATGTTTCTTACCACATTCTCTACTCCAATGGTCCTCCAGTTTGCTTCCCATGTATATTGACCTTGTCATTTTGATGAAGATTCAGGAGGATGGTTGAGTCACTATATCGCCTGTACACCATCATACAACTATTCCAACTGCAACGACGTAACACAGTAAGCTTTTGGGTAATCGTTGACAAAAGTCTGTTAGAGTAGCCACTACAATTACTTGGCTCGCTACCTAGGTCGCTCTTCAGACGGGCTCCGTCCCTGCATCATCTTATGACCACGACTTGAGTTCTTATCCTTTTCTAAAGTCTTCGCCACTCGGTTTCTGCTCTTCACGGCCCTCTTTTCCAAGAGATATTGAGCAAACATAAATTGAAACAGTTAAACAGCATGGTCCTGTTGTGAAGCCCCGGGATATGCCAAGAAGAAACAGTACCGGTCAGGTTTGAAGAAGGTCAAAGTGCGACTAGAACTGCTCAAACCGTCAAAGATAAATATTGTAAAGAGAGTAGTCCGTATCTGTGGCGACACTTTCTCTCGAGCTGGCGGCTGTTCATGCCCTCCCATTCCCGGTCGAAGCATTTTCTCATCCTTTCTCTGTGGTTACTGAAGACTAAATCAAGCAGCCCGCTGACCGCCAACATTACCATGAATCAGCATTAGCTGCAGGCAGGGCTGTAGGTTCACCCTTTTCCCGGGAGAGTCCCTGTCCAATTTCGCACAGAACCAAACGGCGGGAAAGAGGTGTGGGATAAACTCCCAGATCAAGTCCTTAGAGTAAGCATATGCGAAACCTCAACTGAGAGAAATGACAAAGTGACAAGATCCTTGGCACAAAATTCATTACGCCGTGGCGGGAGAAGGGATGGCCCCCACGGCACCCACGCTCGGTCATGGCATCCCAGCGGGCACAGGTGGAGGTGGGGGGGCCCTGACATGTGCAGGCTTCGAGAAGTTCTTTCCGTCACGGACTGTTTCGTCTCGTTTTCACGGCAGGCATAAGCGTAGAAAGGTGGTCGCCTGCGCAGAACATGTGGTTGCAGATGGGATGATTGAAAACTTTTCGCCGCGTCGTCGGACTTGCACGGCAAGCCTTCTAATATCAATAAGCCGGTCTCGATTGTCATAAAGTTGATAGGCTTGAGTTCGATGTCTTGAAGCAGGGCGAGCCCCACTGAAGGGTCATTCTGATTAACAATGCTAACGTGAGAGGATGTTACTGAGTGTCGCCCATTCAACTGAGTCATAACCACAGAGGCGGTGTATTTCGCAAAGGGGCAGCTAGTGGACGACACGACTCCTACCGAATGATCCGTTCTCCGAACAAACTGGAACCGCTTTTGGACCAAATGGGTCGTCGCTTGCTTGATGCACGTTAATGTGTAGGCTGTGG